GGGTCCAAAACTTTAACTAAATTTCCATTGAAAATTAAAGTTTCAAATGTGCTCCTATTAACCATTTTCACACTCCCAGTGAAAACCGGGCGACCGAAATATGCGTGCGAATCGCTGGGATTTCAAGCGTAAAGTGGGGTGGTTATTTGATCAAAGAATCGGGTTCTCTTGCTGCGGATGGATGGAACCCGCGGGGCGGCGGCTATGAGGCCTCAGTCTCATTCGATTACCGAGGCGTCGTCTGCACAACGAATCTCGGGGGCATGGCCTAGGGATGGTCATCAGGGGCTAAATCTACTCATCTAGGGGGGGAAAAGATGAAACAGTTTTGAGAAGAGCTTAAGATCGATAATCTAGAAAAATGTATTGGAACTTCTATTATAACGAATAAAAGTAAATTGTGAAACTATTAAAATCATGAGGATTCTGTCAATTTGAATCTCTGTACGTTTTTTGCCGTTTTGTACTATTTTTTGCAAGCTTTCAAAGATTCATGAATGAAAAATAACAAGGCAAAATTTTCAAAATTAAGGTTTGCGAAAACCGAATTTTTGAGAAATGATTTTCGAGAAATGATTGTCGGGCATTTTCTACACCATAAAATATTACCCCTTGAATTTACCAACCGAGTTTTCGATTTCAGAACTCCTCATAGCCTCACAATTTGCGCAGCATTTTTTTTAATCCTCCTCCTTACTCCACTAATCCATCCATATTCTACTGCTTCTCGAGGCCGACCACATTTGTGGCCGCGCTTGGCCCCGGCTCGCCAACCGATTCCCACATTGCATTACCCGTGGCGACGACTCCACCGCCGCCAACCACCAAAGCACAGCCGTTCACCCAATTTTCCCAGACTCCATAACCCATCATCGGCGAACCCCACCAACCGTCCGCCACCCAATTCATAAATACGCATAAATTGCGGCGGATAGGAAATCGGTGGGGGGGGAGCTGTGTATGTGGCGCGCGGTGGATAGTTACCGAGGGTCCGGATTTTTTCCGCATTGAGGGAGCGAAAAGAGTGGCGGGTACTCCCTGAAAATGTCGCGTTCAAGGCCGAGGGGAGGCTGTCGTGAGCGCTCGTTTCGGCAAAATATCGTCAAAAAGGGACACATGTCCTATAATCCCCTTTGAAGCCTTAGAAGCCCTCCCCAGAACTACGATCATCCCGTGCCACCGGCCGTTCCAATATGGGGGCCCCCGGCCACACGGGCCATTCAGTCCGGGGAGTTCCCGGGGCCATCTCTAAAAATGCAACACATGAACAATGGCGGTGTGCCCACCAAAAAAGGCTTTCTGCCCCCGTTGGATTAGACGCTTTTCAGCATCTGTAATTCGTATCGAAAAAAGCATTCGTTCTCCCATTGTCCTGTTGGTATGGATGGGAAAATATAGAGGCCTTGTGGCTGAAAAGGGCTGCTAGAGGTTCCGGGTCTCAAGGAGACCTTGGTGAATTTTGAAAGGAAAGAGTTTTTTGGCGTTTGAGCGCGAAGACAAGGCTGAAAGGTCATCATCTATAATGAGAACCACCAAAACGCTTCCGAACGTGGCGATAGGCTTTTTCTAATTCCAGGGCCCTTCCATTAAATTGGATCTCGTCTAAATCTAAATTTCCCAGACATTTTCTTCCTTGGCGCCATCTATAATGAGAAGCTCCAAAAAGCGCAAAAAATCGTAGCGCCTAGCTTCTTCCAGCACGGCGTATCTCAGCTAATTTCAAAGACTTTGCAAAAACTCGTTTCCACCGCCCCGACACTTCTACTCCATTCCCAGGCCAACCAATTAATCCAGCGAACTCCAACATATCCATTTTCAAGAAAATCCATGAAACATCCCTCGGGTTCTCCGAAGGGAAGGCAAAAGGCCTAATTTCCTTATGGCTGAAGAAGGGGCCGACGGGAGGAAGGGGCGCCGCCAAAAAAACGAGTCGATGGCGTGTAAAATGTATCTTCGGGACTCCGCCGGGCTGGGGCTTCACACAATACGCATTGTGAGGCTCATTTCGTACCCTGGCGGGAGTTGAAAAGGCCTGAGGGGCGGTGTTGTATTAAAATTTGATTTTCATGCAAGGGATGAAAAGGTGATGTAAGTTGCAAAAATCCATGTTTTATGGAGGTGGCTGGACTTTATTAATTTTTGAAACCATGATCCTTATGAGATACATCAGAGACCAAAACCTACAGAAATTTGTGCTTATGAAATGCATTGAGTATTTATCCATGCGACATTAAAAACGGTTTTGACAATTCTAAAATAGTAAATTAACTTGAATTAATTAAACTCTGTTTGACTTAAACAGTGGCTAAATTACATAAATTTGTAAAGTTTTTTGATATTTCTTATAATACGCATTAAGTTAAATATAGATTTTAGACGCAGTTTTCAAAGTTGATATTGAGAAAAATTTGAAAAGCTAATTTTCATATTTCTAATGCCAATATCCGATAATTTGAATTTTCGTAAATTGAACGTAGCTGCCTCGATTCTTTCCCTCAAAGCCTTTGCTACAAGAAAACATACCTTGAACTTCGAATCTGATTTTCTTGCTGGACATACATCCAGATTTATGCTTCCCCCTTGACTCCCCATATCAATAATGTTGTGAGAAGCTGTAGAATACGTTGATCGCTGGCCGAGATGGTGTGTCTCTCGAGGTGGAGATTGAGGAAGCGATGTCCCATCCCTTCCGCACTCCTCGTGCGGCAACCATCAGCGCATAGCCCGAGGGCACATCTTCCGCTTCTTCTTCTTCTTCTTCGTCTACATCTCCCAGACGACCACCCCTTGGGACCCATCGGGCTGGTCGCTACAAAGTCGCCCACCATATTTTCGGTGCAAAAATCCGTCGAGAAGCGTACGCAACATTGACGGGACCCGCGTAATCACTGCGTACAGCACCATAATTATATTCGAACTTACGAAGTTATTTGGGATCTCTCGACCGTTGAGGTAGCAATTATTTTGTTGGCGATTTCTTGGGATCGTTACCTCCGCTGATTGCGAGGTTCAGGATCGGATTTGTTGCAGAAGATAATTGTGCCGGGTTTGGAACGTAAAAAAGCCCAAATGCTTGGTGTCTCATAAAAGTATTCCTTACCAGGGAAGCCTCGGAATCTTTTGCATACCCCTGGAAAAAGGTACGAAACCTAACGCGATTGGGTTTCTAAAATTATTTAGCGCCAGCTGAAGAAGACAAGCGTCCCTAAAGACAGCCAACCAGACAGTGTTTCCAGCCCAAAACCAGAAATTATTCTGGGAGCAATTGCATAAATGTAATTTTTTTATTGTTTGCCGGTCTTTCATTTTCCAGTTTACAATTACTAATCTTGAAAATTAAAAGGCATACTTTCTAGGGTTTTCGAGAATTTGACTGAGATATAAGCCATTCGTCCGCGCCGTTATGGTTTTTTTTTTTCAAAATTCTGTGAACTTTGTTTTAAAAAATTTGATTTTTAGCCATTAAGTGGGTTAGAGTATACGCGGCCAACTTTCTACCAATCTACGGGCATGCCATGGGCAACAATCAGTACTGCCTCCTGCGACCATCGTTCAACCTGAGCACTCCCCAGGGACTCATCGTGGCTTTTCTCATTCGCGCACCTTCCCCTGGGCCCTCGGCCCCCACCCTAAAAGGCCCAATCCTTGGGCCACGTAAAAAATGGGCCCCTCGAAACGGAGGCCCCTGCGTGCCCGACGCCCAGATTTGTGGCCCCCGAAAAAGTTTGCAACATTTCGGAGGGGTTGGGTGGAAAGGCTGATAGCTACGAACAAAAAATTCCAAACCAATTTACTCGGCATCCACTTAAAAATGTGGGAATTCCCGCACTCACGAAACAAAACTCAAAGCAGACAACATGATCCCGATCCCAGACTAGACCTGATCTACCAGGTCGTTTTTTAACCAGGCTTCAGCCCCCCGGTTGATGGATAACCGATAGCTTCCTGACAACCCATAGGATGGCCCTCCCGAAAAACGTGTGAAAGAGCAAAGCACATCCACCTAATGCTCATTGTAACGGGAGACAGAGAGAAGAACGATCGGTTCATGCTGGGCGGCCACTTTACAATCCTTCGCGTTTCAGCTGTTTCGATGCTTCGATGCATTCCTTAGGGGTACGCTGGATACGTGCAGGGGGCAGGGTTGAAAAAGGTCTAATCCTAATCTGGAAAGCAAATTCATGGGGGATTTTGTGTGTTCAAAGTCGTTAATGGAGAGGGAATCCATGGAGTGTGAGTTTTGACACGGATAAAATCAAGGATTAAATTTGATCCTTTCGCGGATGAGAGTTAAAACACGAACTGGACAAAGCTGATGGGATATGTCGGAGAAAACAACAGGGGGAATTGGTAATGTATGCTGTTTTTGCAAGAAATTGTAGCAGTAAACGAGTAAAATCGGTACTACCTGACCTGCAAGGCTTTATTATCGGAACACCTCGAGGGCAAAACTGAAAAATAGAAATTTTTTGGATTCAAAAACGGTGAAAAGGGCTGTTTCAGATTTCAGATTTTGCATTTTAGCATTTTGATTCGCCTTATGCGGTCTAAATAATTATTTACCTCTAGTTTGCAAGTTGATTGAAAAAATAGAAACTCTGAAATTCTAATACAGGTTATACGGTAAGTTTATTTTCCTAGCATACGGAATGTTTTCACGCCTTTAAACTTCGAATCACTAATACTTTGATTTTCGAACCTTTTTCACCACGTCAAACCTCCAAGCGCCCACCCTGATTGGCTACTTGAAGCATACGGGCGGAAAACGAAGGTAGGACAGTCATGGAGTTGCGCAAATAAACTTCACTCCTCTCCTTCGCATCGATCTCGCCGGGCGCACTCGAGCCGTCTTTTATCGTGTTCTTAGGGCCCACCACCTTCAAAGTATGGACGTTTTTATGAATAAAGTCCATCATCTTAATTTTGCACCCGTAAACAATTTCGAGGATGATTTTCTATCCATTTAACGCTAAATTGCGTCTTAGGAAATCTGCGATCCGATGACCTACACGCGTAGCTTTAGTCCAAACGGACTAACTCGACCGAACCCTGATTATATGATGTGTGGAGGAGCATTTCATGCAACGGTATTATCAAATCTATCTATATACCTTATTATATCACCAAAATTTAGACAGCCGCAAAACTCTTCGCAATGCACCAATTCCTCTCCTGCCTCGTGTTTTCTGGCTTTAATTTTCTACTCTTTGGCGCCGACAAGGTAAATGAAAGCCGCTAACCTGAACGTCAAGTACCACCCTTTTTAGTATTACCTCTCCGTATTCTGTGTTGTATACACTGTCTATTCGGTGGTTGTCATTTACGGCGTTTTCCTGGAAAAGAAGTCTTTCCTCTTGCCATTTTTATTTATTCATGTAAGTTTTCGGTCTCCGTAAATTTGAGTTTTTTTAGTTTTTTATTGCCTTGGGTTTTGTGGCCGTTACAGCAACTTATGCCGGGTTTGGCACGTTTACCAATTTTATCGCCGATCAGCACCGGGATAGCAAGCCGTTGAGGGATATTTATCATATGCATGCGTTGGATCCGGATAATGAGCATAGTAAGTTTATAGACATATCTGTAAGATCATGCCTGAAAATCTTCAACTTAATTTAAGAACTACCAGGGTTGAAAAGCCGCTTCGCGACTTTTCAACCCTGGCCCCGTCTGATCCCATGGTATTCTGCCCTTTGCATAATTCACGCCATTTTCGATGACAAAAATGAGAAATGCGACCTCTCTTCCCTTATATAGGATACCGTAACTTCCGGAATATGCTAATTGTTTCGTAACAAAAAGGGCGCTCGATTTTTCAACAAAAAACTTAATTTTAACATCGAAAACCCCGAATTTTTGAACATTTTATGCGTGTGCAGTCATCCCACGGTCATTACGCACCTAATGAGATATAAAACATACCCCTAAGTACTTCCCTTCTTGAGATACTACTGGAACACGCTGACGGAAGTTGCATGCAAAGTGGCACGGACACACTCACACATACACAGACACTATTTTTTTATATATAGTAGGATAATACAACAAATTAGAAAGCTGAAAGTAGAACTCGGTATATCGATCGATTTTAGACATTAGCTAGTATACAGGCTATTAATGACACTAGAGATTAAGAGGCACCATTTTATTTATTTTATTATATAATTTTTATTGAATGACTAAAAATTAAAACTTGGCTTATTACAGATACTTTTCCTAGTCTGAAAACCACCTCCCCGACTAAGAAAGCAATGTAATTTCCAGTGCAAACAGTGGTCTCATCGGGCCTTCTCTTCTTGCTGATAATCTCCACGGCGGTGCAGACCTTCTCGTGGTTCGTCATGTTGAGGACATACAAATGCTATCGAGACGCTGATGATACTATTCTACCCGAAAATGGGTATCATTCGCCGTCATTACCTACCAAATTCAACTTAAGATACCATCGAGGGATCATCGCCGACAGCGGGAACGAGTATTAATTCAAACCTCGATAAATCCTCAAACTTTCTGAAAAACTGGTCACACTGTACGAATAAAATCTGAATCCCGTATTACACATTTTAAACAATACCATCCCTCGGCCAACTATTCATAAGCCAACTTTTGCATAATCCGCTACTGCAGTGCACTAGCGAGCCCGAAACCCGCTATGAACAACCTCACCTCACGCTACATTCTCTATTGACATTATTCAAATAACAAAAAGTAGTCTCGCCGCTGGAAATACCGTTCCCCCACCTTTTCGTTGTATTTGCAAACAAAACATTTTTCTGTTGTGTAGTTCTCTTTTTTGCTGACCCCAACCTTTCCCCGGTATCAAGGCCCGTTGAAAATTGGCGTCGACAAGTTTTATGATCGCGAGCGCGCGGCATTTACGCTGAAATTCGTGTGCATGTATTGGCAAATTTAGCTTGACGAGCTCTACATTGCAAAGATTCCGGTCTACGAAGCGCAACCGCCGCTATGTACCCTATACGTGACGGTGGCTGATCCGAATAATCCGGTGAGAATTTGAATTACAAACCAGGGAGCTAAAAGCTAAAGCTAAAGCCACTCTGCATATTTTTTCGGAATAATACTTACAAAAAACCCTTGATCTTTAATTTAAGGTATCCCTGGCACGAGCATATGCTAAATACATCATAGCTAGAGGATTTTGACAAAACTAATTTCAATAAAAATAATTTTGTGTTGAAACTGATATGCCCGCAGTAGATTCCGTTTACTTAGATTGACCGTTTTCTGCCCGTCCAACAAGGCTGTGCAAGAAACTCACAGAAGTGCGCATGCAAATTTACACAAACACTATTTTTGGCATACCAGCTTGTCATGCCAAATTTTAAATACTGATTTTAACATAAAAGTTCTTACTCTCTTGCCTCACCTTGTTGGCTCGTCACCTAAGATCAAGCTGAAGCTAGACAGTGCTAGTAGAGTGGGACAGAGGGCGCGAGAAAAAGCGTGTGGATGGGCCTTCATAGCCTCCTCAAAGCGTGTGGTCGGCACTCTTTGGTAAATATTGTCGGGCCGATGGCCCAGCACATCATCCTCTTCAACCTTTTTTGATATGGCCCCCCACGCTGCAATTCGGATGACCGTTCCGAAGGTGCTTAAAAAAGCATTGGGGGTTGGAAGTGTCGATAGGCATATTTCCCGAAAGTTGAAGTCTTTCTCGGTGTCATTCTCGAGGCTTTTAGTAGGTTTTACCTAACAATTATATAGTTTACAAAATCTATATAATAACCGCTAAAAACAAATAAATGGTAGCGAATCCAAAAATAATTAGGAAGTAATGTTTGAATTCATGTGGCTCACTTTAAAAAAATTAGAAAAACTTAGAAAATTATAATTTAGACAATTCTTATCGCACTTGCTATTCATCAACCGGCAATTTAACTAATTATAATATACTCATTTGGCAATTATTTCATTCATAAAGATCTCTCTTAAGCCTTGTCATTTTGCTCCAGATCTTCTATCCCTCATCTTCATCCGAACCTATCAGATATCCCGAAATCCATCCATCACGTTTATCACAGCTCCCAATTATTTACTCATCCATTTTTTCGTGTCTTGGTGACAAGTAAAATAGAGTAGAAAGGAGTGTAAGCTGGATGATTGTCGAGTGTTCCCCCCACCCTCTGCCCAAAACTCCTACCAAACAGTCAACCCTCCCATCCCCCCTTCTTCTCCTCATCATCATCATCTCCCCTCCGGACGAAGACACGAAGATGTGATCCGCCGTTAGGTCGGAATGCCAACAAAAGCCCAGCCATGACTATTGTTTACTTCATGAAATCTGTTTTCCTTGTGAGTCGTGCGTTCCTGGGCTTTTCGGCAGTAGTTGGGTGCTGTTGGGATGTTAATTAATTTTCTACCTTTATTATTTTTATACCTAGTGGATTTTCATGATTTTATAGCTATAAACTAGTGAAAATTGCAATAAAATTTATTAAAAGGAATTCAGCTAATCCTTAATAAAAGTAGTAATTTTGATCCATGAAAACTTTCTTTTATATGGCAGGTGTTGGGATGTTAATTAGCTTTTTTCTATTCCTATATCCTCAATACCTAACAAATTTTCCAAGCGAACAAAAATATATTTAAGCAGGCTTAAGCATATTTAGTAAAAACTTGCCAAAACTAATCAAATTTTCACTTTCGAAAACTTTATGGCGTCTTGCAAACCCATTTCCCAAGCTCAATCAATAAGTTCAGAATTATATAATCTGATTTTACCCTCCATAATTTTTCAATAACTTTTTCTTTCTTTAGGAAAAGGAAATCACCACCACCCATACCTTTAACAACACCAATCCGAGGAAGTACCCCCAAACGCGTCGCGTCGTCGTCAAGCCGCTTAAAAGTGAGTCCGCTGCGTTTTATTTTATACAAAAAAAAACCCCCGGCGACCCCGCTCCAAACCAAACTGGCTTGATAAGGGCCCAGGTGCGGGCAAATGCTTGGAAATTCTGGGTATATGGAATTTTTTCTGGTAGATGGAGATAAACTCTGGAATTTGCCGATGTCATTAATACATATTCATTTGAAAGAATGGATTTTTAGTTTGGGATTGGTTGGTTTATTAAGGCGTCATGTGAAGCAGGTTTTGCAGTCCATGGAAAATCAATAATTAGACCGTTTTTCCAACAAACTTAAGAGTGTTCGGTAGAAAAACATGATGACTTTTAATCGACCCATCCCCGGTAAGATATGGATTTTTTGACGGCTTTACGCCCACTATCAGGCCAGCTCAGAGTTCCGGGCAGTAAAAAGTGGACTTGGTCTGCAAAGGGACCACCCGACTCTGTCTCGTCGCGAGTTCTCCATTCCGAAAAAAGACTATTTGATTTCCCGGCACCAATTCAATACATACAGACCCTTGGCCCCATTGGATACTACTAGGTCCCCGCACTTGCGGCACCTGGATCATAGGCGCCTTGGCGCCTATGATCTTTTATTTCTTTGGGGTCTATCCGGTGTTTCTCGGCGGTATGCGAATTTTGGAGGCTGGTATGAATTGGTATTTTTTTTTAGAAGAAGGTGCAATGACCGACTCGCCAGCGTTTATTGATGGGGCTGAGCAACAGCGAGGGAGGCAGAACCAGGTTGGTCCTTATAGACTTTATGCAGGGTTTTGTGGAGTCACAAAGACAGAAAGGTGTTATATGGACTACCGAAAGGGGTTGGTGGAAGGGTATTTGTTTTTAATCAGAACAAAAGGGGCTCCCGTTATCAGTAAAGCTTGGATTAGGTGGGCATTTCATAGGGTCCTTGTCATATTTTGGGAATTTGCTTGGTGACGATTTTCTCGATCTATTTCTTTCTCGATACCTAGAATGCATACCTATATATATAATATACACTTCTTTGTCAAGGTCTTCGATTATTTCAAACAACAATCGCAGAAAATAGGTCTTTTTATAGGGCTAAGGGTGCGCGAGCCAATATATTTAACTAAAACAAGTTTTCGATTCAATTGTCTGCAAGGATCTACTTTACAGAAATTATGTAATTACGATCTTTTGAAAGCTCCTCCTCGTCCACATCCTAGGTCCGATGGCGTTGCCACTTTTTTCAATGCCCGGCCATTTTTTCGGCCTTTTTTGTTGACAATACTGTCCAACGCGGAAAGGCCATAATTGGGGTCGGAGTGCCATTCTCCCCTGTTTACCAGCTGGGTTCTAGCGCGGCTCAGAAATTCACCCAGCAAACGCAAAGACCCCGACAACGATGTAGGGAAATTCCGTCCCTCTTTGCTGTCATTTTGCTAAAAATAATTCGATTCGTCTCGATTTTGCTGCAGCAATTTTGATAAACAATACATTAAAAATTCCACGACTGAATACCGGAAGAGTCAGTGGCCGATAAATACAGCAAAATAGGTTTAAGAAAAAGATTTTTATGAAAAACTGAACGTTACCCCCATGCCCACGACCCCTTCGACAACCACATTCCCATTGGTCGTTCCGTATCCCAACCCCCCCCTACGGGGTGCAAATCCTGTTTCCACCCATGTCCACCATTCCACCCCCTCAAAAAGGCACCGACTTTTTGAGGATCCACACCCCTCCTCACGCAAATCTTGGAAGCGATCCCTGGCATTTAGTATTTGTTACGCGCTGCCGCCCAGATGCTTATCAGCTGTACGGAGGACTGGTTCCTCTATGAACAGTCGCTAGTTTTTCGAAATACTCCTAAATTTAATATTCCTTTTTTAATGGCTAGGAGTGTGGGTTTCTGTTTCTCACAACTGCCATCCTTATCGGGCGCTGTCAGCTGGGTTGTAAATTTGCAAAAAAGTGGATCGGGGTGGTGTTGGAATTCAGTTGTTGTCAGTTTTGAGGTTAAGGCTATTTTTCGTCAAAAAAATGGATTTATCATCTAGCTTTAGCAACAGAAGTTTTTCATTAAATTAGGTATTTTTGCGTAGGAGGCATTGGCATAAATCCTTCATCTTGGGTAATTGTGAAAGTTTTGTCTTTGAATCAGTTGTCCTATTTTCGGATCTCAAAATATATCATTTTATTTAGTTAAAAAATTAAATCTCTTATGGTAGTCTCATAGAAGGTCTCGAAATCAAATAATAGGACCTTATTAAAATCCCTATATTGCCACAAAACTTAGTAGTTGAAAATTAATTCTTAAAATTCCGTTTGTCCCTCAAATTGCCTGCGTCATTTTAGAAATCCCTCTCAAAATCGAACGCAGCTTCATTTTTCTATCCTTTTTTTATTAGCCTCCATGACATCCCTTTTTACCCACTTGCAAGTCAGAGCAAATTCAGTGTCGTTCAGGCAACCTGCCAACCCGCCAGCCTCAATTGCAAGGTTGTGAAGGTATTGGTGGCGGATGGTTGTGGGAATTGAGGAGGTTTTTGAAATCCAGCTCCCCAGTGGAGTAGGTGAGAGCGAAACTCGTCTCTCGGCCTCCTCATCATCCGCCCCGTACCCCCTCCCCCACCTTCTTTGTGCCCTTGCTTTTTGAGCAGCACCTTCTTGGCGCCAGGTCTCGGTGGTGGCTCTCGATTTCTACGGCTTATACCCCCCTAAACAAGTAGCTCTTGGGGCTGACGGCCACGATATCGCCCGCTGTCATTTTGCCGTATCAGCCCGGGTGCTAACAGTTTTTATGAGCTATTTTCCACCTTCACCCCCTCTTTTCGCTTCTTTTTTTGGGGGCCGGCCCCGCAGCATTCCTTTTTTGAGTGGCGGTGAGGAGGTCTCAGCCATGCCCGTTTATGCTTTGTTATTGTTGGGGGCAGTTTTCGGCTGACCCGAATTTCCATCGATTTGCGTGATCGTATTTGATTCGCGTTTGCGTACTCCGTTTCGGGTTTTAGATTTGTATCCGGGTACATCTATGAGGAAAAAGTAGTCGATAGGCCCGGATGTCGGTGGCCACGGCTAGACGTCAGCATACCGTAACGGCAAGAAAAGTCGGTAGTCTGGTCGTGCCGATTTTTTTCTATATGTTGTATGAATAGGATTGAGTTGTCTCCCAGATATTACCCTTTTAAAACCGTGATTTTTATATGTTTATGGAATTTCATCCAGTTCTGACCGGTTCGGGAAAACTTTCTGTTATATAGCAGTTCCTTTCGAATTCTCCTAGAAGTTATTGGCGCGAAAAAACTTAAGCATACCGCGTCTTCTAGAAGTTTTAATATTTTAAACAAAATACTAGTATCTTGCTGCCTTATGACAATACGAAACCCTGGCAGCAACATCCTAATTCCGTCCAAAAATTTAAATTGCGTTTTCAGCATCAGGCGTCTTCGCACAATGGCGGCCACGTTGGGAACGCCCTTGTTCAAGAAGTGAGTCATTCGGCCGATTATTCAAAAAACCAGATCGGGTTTCTATTTTTCTCGATGCACATTTACGGATTAGACCCCTCGGCAGCCCCCGGGGGTGCGTAAACTTGGTTCTCCTCGTGTGTTGCCGAGCCCTAGGGGCAGCAATTGGTGGTTGTATTGCCTCGAGAGTTCCATGCCTTCCTGTTTCAGAAATTTCATTCCAGGTCTCCGTCAGCTACACGGGCGTCCGGGGCGCTTCACCGCCACCCGTATTTCACCAGAAGGCCCCTGACGCGCGTAGGCCGATTCAAGTCGAGACTGGGCCTGCTTCGGCATATACACCCTCTCCGATGCAGCAAGGTTTGTTTACGTTAATGTATTTGGGGGTCACGTTAGTGGGGGTGGATGATTTTTACATAGGAAATTGCAGTGACGGTTTTTTTTAGGAAGCTGTCATATGCAGAGATTCGTTTCTTTCATACTGCCTCGACTACAAGCTAGCATATGTTATTTATAATTTTGAAAATTACGTTGATCTTTGTAAAATTTGGTTCTTATGCTATAATATTGAAACTCTTGAATTTTTTATATAATATAATCTCGATTCTGAATCCAGAATCCAGAACTAGAATTGGTCCAGAGCTCGATCTAAAAATCATCCAAAAGTGACCTCACGCTTTTCAGGCGTAAAATTGTAAGAATGGCTGCTTTTAATTAAACTCCGAGGAACGAAGCTATTACGGATCCAATCATGGTTTATTTTATATTAAGTGAAAACCTGCCAATTTTTTCCAGTTTGCACGGCATAAATAACCACTCGACCAGTCCCCCCCCCGCGACTCCGGAGGGCTTGACCCAAATCTGGATTAGCATGGACTAATCTTGTCGAAAATCTTTTTCAACACACACAACAGTCACCCGGGGGGCTCCACTCGGCTTTTTTCAGTCTCATCCACGCGCAAGGGCTTTCCCCCGATTCCCGGACCTCATCCGCGCCCCCTTTCACTGGTCCACCTGTTTTTCAGCCACACCCCGGTTGGGTGTTGGGGGGAACACCTGATCGGGGCGTGCTGCCATTTATTGCCACTTGCAACGAGATTTTTAAAAAGATTGTTGGGGTATTGGGTTCATTGATTGAAGGAATCGGCAAGGCGGCATTTTTTTTGTTTGGGTGAAATGGTGATTTGCGGGTCTTTTTGGGCTTATCACGCGAGTAGTGGGGTGTGGAATGTAGGGTTTATGACCCGTAAAAAAATTCAGAAGCCCCATAGAAAAATAAATAAACTAAAAATGTAATGAGAATGGTGTGCTAATTACCCTAAGTTTATAGGAAGCAACAAGATTTGGTAGACGACTAAAGAACCGTAGCAGCAAAAATAAATAGAATACTATAACTTCCTGCACTTGCCTTATTAAAATCTTGGACATTTATAGCAGATTTTTTAAAACAATCTAACTTTAAAACAGATGTAAAAGTTTTATCAAAATCAAAAAGTCCACAATTTCCAATCTCGATCTCTCCAGCTCAAGGCACCCACGCCCCCAACCACCCCAAAAAAGCAATAAGCCGCGCAGTTCCAGCCAACAAATATTAGTTTTCCCTGACTCTAGGTGGTCCGAAATGCCTTGAACAGTCAGCCGTAGTGTCCCTAAAAGGGCCCCCGCTGACTAAGTAGGCAAAATAGAAAACGGGCCACCCCCCGCTGCCATGTCAAATATACGGCTAGCTAGCACCCGGGGAACTTGTCCGACGAATCGAAGGAAAGGTGGCGGTGGCTCGCGCTCAGACCTGAAGTTCGCTGGTTTTTTGTCGGATTTTGGGTTGGGCTGGTTGTCTCGTGCCTTGGCAATGTCTTTCATACGAATTTTTGGTATTTTAAGCAACGGATTTCCTTTTCTAGCTCGGGTTTTTTAATTTTTCCGGTAACATAAATGGGTTATCTACTCAAGCTTTGGATGCATTGATCAGTATTCCAAAAATATCGTTAAATTTCCCATGCCCATCTATTTCTCCACCTTAAGTTGCTTAAAGGGCTAATGATAGCGACACAATTTATATCTCAAACCACTATGCAAAATTTGATTACAAATACAGCTTCGCCATGCTGATGTGAAAAGCAGGCCGATTAGTGGGAATGCGTTGCAATACTCCTTACTGTCTTCATCCTTTTCAAATACTACGTATATTTCCTAATTTCAGCCGGCCTCCCCAACTACTTGGCCCAGTACGAGCGCCGCATCTCTGAAGAAGAGACGGTAAATCGCGTCTCCCGTACTGGTCGCCACGAGACCGAGTTCCCGGGTAGGTGAAATTAGCCACCATTTCACCCTTCCCCCTGCTCAGCCCCACCTATCCCCCCCCGCAAAAACAATCCGGGAAACTTTTGTAAAAGCCGGGTGATCGGCTTACATCGTGCATATTTACCGGGGGGTGTGGGGTGGCGCCGGGCCTGGAATGTGCATCGAACTCGCGGGGAATGCAGAATCCGGCGATTTGGAGTGGGTTGACAAAGAAGAGTCAGTCGTTTTGACGCCTCGCATCCGAGTTTTTGGGGCTGGGGTTTTTGAACTGTGCTGATGGGTGGGTTTTATCAGTTTACCTACAGGTTTCCGGTTAAACTTATCAGATTTAGCACCAAAGTTGTTTTAAGAACAGTCAACTCTTGTTTTCGACCGTGCATGCTAATCTTGGTTTTTATAAAATTACCTAACTATTTGTGTTATCATATGTATTATTTATGGCTTGGGGTACCTAGAGCTTTCCGGCTAGCTAATGAATTTCATAACCAAAACTTGCTAAAAATACGTAGCTATATTATGCTAATTCAAACTGCATAAAATTCCCTAGTATTGCTTTAAGAAAAGCATACTTTTGATAAAAGATTTTCACCCCAATTTTCAGTCCGTATCGCCTACACCAACAGCCCACTCTCCCCGTCCTCGACCTACTCAGTCCCGATTCAGCGGTCTGAAGCCTCGAGGTAAAACCCGCCAATAATTCTATTTTTCTCTAGAAGACTCGGCAGCAGTCTCGGCTCCCTAATCACCGAGACCACCGAGCAACATTACGAGGCGTATTCGACCAGGTAGGTGGTACTCGATACCCACGAGGTTCCCCCAGTGAGTGAGTCCGATTGTTTACGATTCAAATCAGTCGGTCGGGGATTATGCAAATGTGCGGGGGAATCGAGCATTTTTCGGGGGACCAGTCGCTAGTAAGTGTTGGGTAACTATTGCTGGTTTGGATCTTTACGATATATTTTTGTATTGGTATTTTTCTCACGTTAATGAAGATTCGCGTTATAGCGGTAGCGTGCTCTTTAATGGAAGCGTTTTTAAAATAAATAATATTCTGTTAGTGAGTACTGCTCATTAAAAGCCAATTTTAAAGACAATTTTTTATTTTAAAGGGTAGGATCAATTTGGTAGGATCAGGAAGTCCATTCAAATTAGCGTAGAACTAATTTTTTTGTGAAGGTGCACAAATCGGCTCTGCCTACTCTTTCCGTGATCCATTATATCCTCCTTTTTTCATCGCGTCTCTGGTTGGCTTTTTGCAAATTGTAGATCAGGTCTCATCTACATGTGACTTCCTTATTCCTTTAAAAGCCGCCTTTATCAAGTTAGAGCCACTTTTCAGCGTATCAGCTAAACCTGGCTATCAGCTAGAAGCGATCAATCCTATCCATTTTTCGCAAAAATCCTTACCAACCCCCCACTGTTTACCCATCCATAAAACTTTTGTTTTTGACAACAAGCCTTTGCCCCCTCTTCCACCCCGATATCATCGCCCATTCCTCTCCACGGAACACTTTTTTACCTGCACATTGCCACAGTCCCCCCATACCAATCCGCCGAGTCGAGACCGTGTTTTTCCACCAAAACGCAATATCGACTATTTGCATCAGCGACTGAAAAGCCTAAAACGGCTCCCGCGGATCGAGCCCATTGTCGAAATTCGTCAAAACTGACTGGTCTGCCAGGAGCGGCGCGCCCGATTTACTTTCGCAAAAGCCGCTCCCGCCGCCGCCACAGCCACCCCCCACCTACGGCAGTCACCAATATCCGCATTTGGCGCATTTCCCCCATTCCTCGCATTCCCTTTGATGAGGGTATTTAGTAGCGGAGTGTACGGCTAAAGATTTTCTATATATGCGCCTGGTGGGTGTTGAATGACGCCGCCGTCCCCCACGCATAAAGAATGGTGTACTACGGTGGCAAAGTATGGGACCGAGGACGAGAGTTTAATGTGAGTTTCGCGGTTTATTGTTGATTAAATTTATATATTGATACTAAGGTTTAGTTAGCTGATTTGCATTATTACAAGTGCTTTGCATAGATAATTGAACCGTGAAAATTAGACAATTTTTGCTCTTTCAATTTAATTTTTTTGAAATGAGATTTTCTAAAACAATTACCTATCAAAAAAGCTTTTTTACGTAGCTCGATTTAAGCTGATTAATGTTTACTTTTATATATACTGCTTCAAAGTCAAAAAATTATTTTTCTCAAAACCCATGGTTAAGGTTCACATTTTCAACCCCACTCAACCCTAGTGAGTAAGTGTTATGCCCCGGGTTTCACACGCGCACCCCCTCGCTCCCAATGCCCGACCAGGCAGGGAAATACCAAAAAATTGAGTGACTCTACTCTTTTACGAGTACAGATCCGGTCGGTGCCCCCTCGGTCCCCCCTCCGATACATACAGGCCAGCCAGGCCTTTGTCCGACTGCCGCTCAACCCTGAAAAGAGCGGGGGCAAAACTTTGTGTCCAGGTAAATGGAGAGCAGTGAAAATGTTTGTCAGTTGCTTTAACGGATTATAGTGTTATAGGTGAATTAGAAAAGCTAGGGATGAATCAGGGAGATTTGGGGGTTAGCAGCTTTGCGATTTTGCGCCGTGACATAACTCATCTAATAAAAATTGAAATTCTGAACAAATTGCATGTTTTTAAAATGTCTGAACGACTGCGGCATTATTGAAAAATTGGTTCGAGGGGGTCGATTTTGTCCATTTAGCCTTGACAACGTTTGAACTTTGTGCAACTTTGTATCCAAAACGGCCGAGTTCAGCGGTTATTGCAACACGAAATTTGTTCAGAATTACAAGCTCTGCCAAATCGAAACCTTCCAATGTCCTTCAAAACGGGTCCTTGTGAGGAAAATCCGATCACTGACCCTGGAGAATGGGATATTGCGCGTCATCAAAACCCAATGTATACCTTATTTTTTAATTTTAGCTCAAGACAACGAGAGATGGCTTCGAGTCCGGCTACAGTGAACGCGCTGGCTGCTCAGTTTGAGCAGACGGCCCGCCAGCAGAAGGAGGAGGCCCAGAAGAACGGGAGCCGCCGCAGTCCGGCCCAAGTCGTCATGGTCAAGCCGTCGCCTGGTAGAGTTTTGAATATTCAATTTTATGAGTTTAATTTAGTTTACAAGTCCCATTCCCCCCAAAGCGACCCCGGCTATGACAACCGTGTCCATCGAGTTGAGCGTCAAGTGGGTGAAATTTGTCTATTCTAGTTCCTTTTAAAGTTTAGCCTTCCACTATTTCGTCTCATATAAGCCAAGTATTTTCTCTTTTCGATTCGATGTATGAGGGACTATATCCTAATCTTCCTAGCTGCTTTAAAAATTCGAATATGGGCCTTAAATATGCCAATGAAAATTTCCAGGTATTCTCGCCTCCAAACGAACGTTCCGTGCTCACCTCAACCCTCGTCGACATCGAACCACCCGGCTACGGTCGTCGAACCCCATCATCCCAATCCCAATCTCCACAGTACATCCAGGAGACAATCCAGGTCTGCAAACGATACTTTTTATGTTGCAATCACACAAAAGCCATGCCCTGTCGCAACCCACACTCTCCATCATCTCGTTTACCAACTTGTTCATCAAATCTTGAACACTGTTTGCCAACCAAGGGGCCCAATGCCGAAATGCCCCCCACCACTAGATTCCATTCCCGTTCGACCTGCCACCAAAAATCACCCTTGCTTTCTTTATAAATTCCAACCCCTCGCTACGACCCAACCAACGAATACCCCAAGCTAAAAACAGGCCCCCCATATATGGCCCGAGACGGCGCACGTGTTTGCTAAAATCCGCCGCACAAACGAACGGCGCTGCCCAAAAATAACGGCCAGCTGGCAAGACTGGGTTACCCGAAAATCCCTCGTTTGAGTATATATCCAATACTATATTAAACCCACCATTCTATGGCAAACATTACCTGCGAATACATCCACGCCTACTCGAATTGTTATTGCCCGATTTGCGGCAACTTTTCGTTTGGCTATTTCCTACTGGCAAACATTGTATTGCAAATGTTTGTCGTCGCGTTCATGCGATTTACTGAAAAGAAAGAGGTGGTAGTGACGAAACAGGCAGCAGTTAGTTGTAGAGAGAAGTTGTTATAAAAATTTATTTAGGAGGAGTACCACACGATCAAGCGCTATACACCGACCCAGACTCATGGAGCCTTGCCTACGCAAGCTGGCGTTCGGGTTGTTCCTGTGGAGAAGGTTTGGGATTTATGGGATATTTATTGCACCGCATTTTCTCTAATAAATCTTTGATAATTTTAAATCGGCCAAAATAACAAAATTCTAGGTTAAATTAGTCGGTGCTGGCCAATTTACTCGATTTTTGCTATTTTAGGTTGTCTAAAATTCGAATAATAACCAGAAAATCGGATAAAAGCTCCTATGAGGGGAATTAGAGGAAATACCGGACCAAAAGCTAAATACTATTTCAGCGCCTGTACTCAAAAACTATCAATAAACAAATGCAATTCAAATACCTGGAAAGACGCTGTAAAAGAATCAGGGTAAAACCAACCATGTGTGATTTGCTTCTTTTCTCTGGGGTTGCTACTGGGTTAAAATTGTACAGCTCCGATGTTTATCTGATGTTCAGGTGTCACATGCCCGTGAGACGAGCCGAGACTCAGCTCTTCGTGCCGAGGACACAGCTTCTTCTCGGTAAGTGTCCCCCCCCCCCCCCCCGTGTTTCGAGGATGCGCACCTGTTGACCCGAACCTCCTGTTTGCCAGCCGTTCCTCCCAGTATTTTTGTCGGTCAGGGCCTTGGTTCCATCGTCCCGTCTTTTCCATAATTGTACAGTTTTTCCTTTCGTTCACAGGGCCCCATCATCGGCTTCATCCCGTGTGTTGTCCCCAGTCAGGACTGTCGTCGAGCGCTTCGAATCGCATAAAGAAGAGAAATCGTCCGAACGAAGGTGCTTGGTTATTCCTTTGTTGCTATCTAGATGTTCTAACCTTATGTAGACTAACTGGCTCGTTGTTACTTTTCGTTTTCCCGAATCAATTTCAATTTCCAGACCACCAATGATCGACCAAATTCGTCAAGAAATTATTATGCAATCAAAGACTTCGACAGTCTACAGTGACGAGGAGAATCGATCTCGCGTAAGAAGTTAATAATTTTTTGTGGGGATTGCTGTGTTTTGCCGTTCAGCTTTTCTAACTATTTCCTGTAGGAGCAGCAGCAGCGCGAAGAAGAGCAGCGTCGTCGACAAATCGAGGTGAATGAAGTTCTTTAGGGCCTAATCCTTAACTGGGGTGAAGACTAATCAACTAAATAATACCTTCCTAACGCAAAATACCCTTTAATCCGAAACTTATAAAGGAAGAGAACCGGAGGAGACAACATGGTGGCTCCTCTCAAACTACAACGATTATCGAAGAAGAGACCTTTGAAGAAATTCGAATCAGACGGCGCAAGAAGCAAGATGGACAGAAAAACCAGGTTGATCATCTAATAATAATGATAACGACCTGCTTAATAATGAGCTCTAACCTTAACCCTAGGACCAGGAGCGCTTGCGGAAAGAAGCCGAAGAACGAGAAAGAATTCGGATTGAGGTGGCTACTAATCTTTTTGCAATTTAGCATAATCTAATACCGCTTACATTGCTAATCTCTAGGAAGAGCGCTATCTGCGTTCGCTTGAAGAACGGGAAAGGCAGTTGAGAGAGGTGTGGCTTACTAACTGCCGTTTCTTACAATCTAAAAAAATCTTCAGAATTGAATTTGCGTGTTTAGGAAGAACGTCGACGACGCGAAGAAGAGATCCGAATCCAGGTTCGACAAATCAAATTAATTCTAAATAATGCATAGGAGGAGCTCCACTACCGTCGTGAACTCGAAATCATTGAACAGCGTGAGAAGAAGCGGCAGGAAGAAGTCCGTGAAAAACAGCGTCAAGAGGTACCTGTTCAGCACTTAGAGAATTAAGACTTTTTCCGAATTAAACTTGAAATGGATTTACTAAAACTCAGAAATTATCCATTTCAAGTCCTTTCACTTCCCAATCCCGGTTTGAAATAATCTACTACCACCCAAATCTAGCTAACTTATTACTTCGGTTGATGTGGTGCATGGAGTGAGTGTTTAGGCATGGCTACTAGAGCTGGAGAGGATGGAAAAAGAACGGCAGGCTCGTGAAAAAGCGGAAAACGAAAGGATCGAATGGGAAAGAACCGAACGCACGCGAATTGAGGAAGACGAACGCATAAGAATCGAGCAAATTGAGATCCAGCGTCGTGAGGAGAGGAGACGGCAAAAGGAGCAAGAAGAAGAAAGGGCCAGAATTGAACGCGAACGTGTTGAGCGTACGCGTATTGAGGAAGAAGAACGGATTAGAATAGAACAGGTTGAAATTCAGCGTCGGGAAGAACGTAGAATTCGGCGTAAGCAAGAAGATCAAGAACGTCGGCGTTTGGAAGAGGAGTTGAGAGCAAATGAAGAAGCTGAGAGGGCGAGAAAACGAGAAAAGGACGAAAGGGAGAGAAAACGCTTGGAAGAGGAGTTGAGGAGAGAACGAGAAGAAGAAGAACGAAAGAGAAGGGAGGCCCTTGACAAGCGAGAAAAAGAAGAGGCCGACCGTGTTCGTAAACAGAAAGAACGAGATGCCGAAGAACAACGGCAACGAGAAGCTGATGAGCGGGAGAGAGCACGTAGAATTGAGGAGTCAGAGCATGAGCGGCAGAGGAGAGATGAGGAGGAGAGGAAGAGGAAGCAGAAAGATGAAGAGGCTCGTGAAAAACAACGACAGGAGGAAAGTAAGCGGCGAATGGAGGAGATTCGAAAGCAAAATGAACGCGAAGAAGCAGAGAGGAAACGAAAGGAGGCAAGCGCATGTTTTACTTTCTTGTAGTTGACTAACGGTGTGCAAGTTTTAATAGAGAAGTAATTTAGTTTGGATATTAACTTTGAATCTAATTTAAGCTTATAACCTGCCTCTTCAAATTAAACCTAGATAGTCACCGTTGATTTGCGTTTTTAGGAGGAAAAGCGCGTCGAGGAAGAGCGGAAGTTGCAAGAGCGCTTGATTATTGAGGTTTCATATAGAGGAGAGTTTTTATGGTAGTAATTCAAGGAACGCCGTCGAATTGAAGAAGAAATTACGATTGAACGCCGTCGAAAAGTGGAAGAAAAGCGCAAGATCGAAGAACAAGCTGAAGAGGTGAGACTTTCACGCTACGTAGGAGGTTTTGGAAGTGCATCCAAGTTCCTGGGCTTTCGCTTAATTTTCTTTGCACTTACTTTTCGGGATTTAGGAAGAGCGACAGCGCAGAGAAGAGGAACGCAAACTCCGCGAAGAAGAGCGCCAACGCGAAGCCGAACGTCGTCGCCAAGAAGAGCTTCGAATCGAAGTACATATTTATTCCTTCATTTTTTGAATCTTTGTTCATCCACACAAGACACCTGCACTTTAGGAGGAGCGCACCAAATGGGAGGAATGGCGTCGGCAAGAAGAGGTGAAAAGAGAGGAGGTACTGTGTTTTCATCGGTTTTTCATCAGCATCTGGCCAGCTGGGGGATTGGGATGGATTTGCATGTGTTCAGTTCGTTTCTATCCTTATACATCACAGCTTGGGAAATGCCTATTTCCACCGGCACTATTAGCATTCGTTCTATTAAGGCGCGAAACCAGGTAAACCGGGTTGGTTCGCAACTTTTGGGGGGAAGTAGGAAAACTGTCACCTCTGCGGGCCATCAAGCCGAGGGGCGGGGTATTGTATGGAAGGGGACGCGTGGATTGAGGGGCAGTGGCCTGGAACTGGGCATGAGAAGCGCTTTGGTCAGGAAATAGGGGGATGGGTCAGTCATAGTGGGAGGTGAGAGCCGGACACACTTTTGAAGTTGCAAGGGATTTACGAGATTTTTTGGGGGAGTTTAGTGGATTTAAATTAATTAGAATTTAACTTATAACACTAGAATAATGATTTTCAGCATTTATACCGTATTTGGTTGATCCTGCCCAATGGCTACCACCGGCTAGAATCCAGATACCCTTCCACACGGACCTTCACCTATTGTATCCTGTTGACCTCCCTGTTGTGCTACAGTAATGTAAAGTATAACAGACGATGCATCAGTCCAAGACGAACATTTTACTGTACTTTACACCCCTGTAGTCTGGTGGGGAGCCGAGATACCGGGCTGGGACTTAGGGGGGTATCAGCAGCCTTACCATAGCCTTTACCTGTCGCGCGTATTCCGACATATTCATATTTTTCAGTTTCTCTCAGGATTTCCCTGTTCTCATCCGCCTTTTTAATCCCAGTGTCCCTCCACACGTTTACCCGTTGTTTGGGTACCACCACCAAAAGCGAAAAGTGAGGGGAAACAGAACCGGGATAGGGGGTGGAGAGTTATACCCCCATAGCCTTTTATTCTTGCCAGGGCATGACTGGATCAGGGCCGCATTGACGGGGGCTGAATTGCCTAACTCGGGTTGAGGCTGCCCGACTGACTCACAGGTTCTCCCCCGGCGTCCGCAACCCACGATTCCGACTCCGAAAAGCTTCCCTTGACGCCGCACCCACGGAAATATCCTGTAATGCTCGGCATCTTCAAGCACCATTCGAAGGTTTCTATCGGTGACCTGGGTGTTAGGCGGAGTCCTGGGGAGGGTACAGTAATAGATACCTAGTCTTGCCGTCTTTTTCCATGAAAAACCGCAATCATACTGTAGCGGTACTCATGGATGGCCTGCATTTTAAGAGCCATGTTGGCATTGAGTAATTGGAACACAAACTGTCTAGCAGCGATAGCTTCCACCCCTCCTTGCAAACCAACTAAATCCAAAATCCGGTCATTCCCTCCCTCTTCTATACTCCAAAACCCCTGTCTGTCCAATCGTTGAGAGGATCTGTGTTTGCATTTAGCCGAGCATCGATAGCATCCTCTTCCCAAGGCTTCCCCCGCACTGCCCCGTCCCTTCCACCCCCCACCATATTTGCATTTTGATAAAATTTCCGCGACTTTGCTCCACCGCACCAAAACAGTTTTTGGCCATACCCGACCATCCTTTTTTATTGTCCCCTGTGAAAACCCGTGGCTCGGTTTGTTATCTCGGAGTGCGTAGTAGCAGGCGATGGGGTTAGATACACCGGGGGAATCCATTTTTGACCCGTAGCGCCCCCTGGAAATGTCTTCGCCAAGCCGACTGCGTACCCCAATGTTCATTCCATATGTAAGTAATTTTTGGAATTGCAGGAGCGCAAGCGGCAACAGGCCGAGATGGAGAAGGCCCGCGAATCGGTATGAGTTGGCATCAGTTCGATTTGAATCACACCTAAATTCGTACAAAAAAAAAACTTTTCAGACGCCCACCAAACCGGCGAAACCCGTGGAGCTGCCACCTATTGACAGGCAAGTTGAATACTTTTTATCGGAACGCATTTTTGGGTGGGAGGGAGTAGAGTGAGGAGGTGAGGGTGTGACATAGCTCTACAGTCGGCCCACTTATTTGCCTTGGACCGTAAAAAAGCTGTCGGTCCCGTCACCGGCAATGAGACACAATGGCGAGCCGGGGTTGGGGTGGTCCAACCTATGATGGGGGGGGTGTATCCATTTTTATTTCCCGGGCGCACCGGGTCGCGGACGATTATTTTTGAACGTTTTTTATGCTCGATCAACCCCGAGCGGCTGTTGCGGGTCGATCAATTCGAGTCGAAATATTCTTTGTGACGTCCGGGGATGGTGGGAATAACAAAAAAGTGTTCCAGTCGACCGTTCGGGCGAATTTTGGGGTAGAATTGAATTGGATAGATTTGAATACAGCCCACGCTGGTATGAAGTCATAGACAAAATTTTAACGATTAAAACCATTACGCCTTACATTTTTTTGACCCTGACTTTTCTTAGAGCCGTCTCCCTCCTCTGTGTTTGGATTTTGCTCTCAGTGACTCCAAGCGAGGCCGCCGGCGCAGGATTTGCATAATTTCCGGCTTATCGTCGTACAGTAAACGGCCAGGGAATCGACCGCGAGCACGAGTAGCGAGGGGCGCTTACTGTTTCCAGTTTTGCGCCACGTCCAACCCCCCCTCCCCCCGAATGCAATCGTCAACAAGCGCTCCCCCTTTTTAGCCTTTTTCCACTCACAAAAACTTTGAACTCTTATTCTCTTTTGAATAGATAAGCCCCTCATCGGCATTCTCCCGCTTTATCACCCGGTTATGTTTATGACCCACCTAAGCGTGGGCAGCCCACCGGCTTAATGCCACATACCGGGACCCTATCAATAAATTCCTCTTCATGTAAATAATCCAATTTTTTATACTTGGACCTTACTCATGGGGGGGTGATAAGTAAAAGGCCGCCCACATTTGGCCAGGGCATACAGAAAAATGGATGCCATGCTCAGGGAGATTCGGGGAGAAAGTTTTGTGTACCCAGTCTCGACACGATTTTGGAACATTTTTCTGTCGCCTTGGTTCAGCGGTTCCATAGTTTTATTTTAGCAAGATGTCGGAGCCTTACCACAGTGCCATCTCATCCAGGCCCGGCTTCAACTCACGTTCCGGTGACTTCTCGTCTTCGAGCACCACCACCTATGGCTCGCCCCTTTGTAAGTTATCGCACATCAGCCCCTTTAGCCGGGGCCGCCTTTTTATAACCCATAATCTGAGATGCTGTGGGCCCGAGCTGTGAGCGCCTAGCCTGCGACTGATAAGCATATTTCGCTCTAAACGCTCCGTACGACCGCCAACCGAGGCATTTTCCAGCGGGCAACCGAATGGTGAAGGTTGTGAACGTGATCTCTTCATCGACGCTCTCGGGAATGTCTCCTTTTGGACAACATGCCGCTTCATCCATTCGGTAAGCTTAGCGCATATTCCAATAAACCGGCCAACGTAGAGCGCCCTTTTAAAACCAATAATGTTATTTATTTATTTAGGGATGCTCGCGAACGCGAGAAGAAGGAGATGTCCGATTTGAACGATCGTCTGGCCAGCTACATCGAGAAAGTCCGCTTCCTTGAGGCCCAGAACCGAAAGCTGTCGAACGACTTGGACTTGTTGCGCTCTCGATGGGGCAAGGACACCAACTCTGTCCGCGCCATGTATGAGAGCGAGATCCGTGAGGCTCAGGTGAAGCTTCATTCTAATAAATAACTATCCAAAAACCAACACAACTGCAGCCCCTATCCTAAACATCTTATTTATAGAAACTCATCGGGGAAACTACCCGCCAGCGTGACGAGCTAGAGAAAGAAATCCGCCGCCTGATCGATGAAGTGGCCAACTACCGCCGCCTTTTCGATCAAGCTGTCCGCGACCACAGCGCCGACCGTCTGAAGATCGAGGAGCTTCTCGAGAAGTTGAGCAAACTTGAGGCCGACATCAACCTCCTCAAGCGCAAGCTCGCCGGACTGGAAGAGGAAGTGACCCGCGTCAAGAAGGAGAACCAGCGCATGGTTGGCGATCTCCAACGTGCTCGCCAGGACCTCGACCAAGAGACGCTGAACCGCATCGACTATCAAAACCAAGTGCAGACCCTCCTTGAGGAGATCGACTTCATGCGCCGTGTCAATGATCAGGAGATCCGTGATCTGCAGGCTATGGCCTCTCGCGACACCACCACCGAGAACCGCGAGTACTTCAAGAACGAATTGGCATCGGCCATCCGCGACATTCGTCAGGAGTACGATCAGTTGATGCAGGTCAACCGCAACGATATTGAGTCGTGGTACAAGCTGAAGGTCCAGGAGATCTCCACTAGCTCCGCCAAGGTCAACATGGAGCAGGGGTGAGAATCTAATCATCGCAAAAATAATAATGTATTTTTAGATACGCCAAGGAGGAAGTCAAACGCCTCCGCACCCAGCTCGGAGACCTCCGTGGCAAGCTGGCCGATCTTGAAGGCCGCAATGCCCTGCTGGAGAAGCAAATCCAGGAGCTGAACTACCAGCTCGAGGACGACCAGCGCTCTTACGAATCCGCCCTCAACGACCGCGACTCGCAGATCCGGAAGATGCGCGAGGAATGCCAAGCCCTTATGGTCGAGCTGCAAATGCTGCTTGATACCAAGCAGGTTGGGAATCAAGTAAAAGACGTGATCATCGTTTTCTTAGACTTTGGATGCTGAGATAGCGATCTACCGTAAGATGTTGGAGGGAGAGGAGAATCGTGCGGGTCTGCGACAGCTTGTTGAGCAGGTTGTCAAGGTCTCGGGCATGACCACTTCTGAGGAGCATGGTAGAGGAAACGGCTTTCGGCAGTGAAAATAAAAACTTATAGATACCATCCGTACTCTCAAGAGCGAGCAATCTTCCCGAACCTCATTCCAACGGTCGGCAAAGGGCAACGTTTCGATCCAGGTACAGTGTCTCTATCTGGAAAATACCGTATATTCTAGGAAGCCGCGGCCGACGGAAAATCGATCGTGTTGGAGAACACCCATCGTTCCCGCGAAGAAGAGATTGGAGGCTGGAAGTTGAAGCGAAAAATCGACGGCAAGAAGGAGATCGTCTACACGTTCCCCGCCAAGTTCACGCTCCGCCCACAAAAGACCGTCAAGGTTTAATGATTTTATGAACATTTTTAATGCCATCTTTCTAGATCTTTGCGCGGAGCCATGGACTCGGCAACGGTAGCGATACCCTTGTCCATGATGGTGACGATTCCTTCGGAACCGGCAGCAATGTCCACACCATTCTCTACAACCTTGCCGGAGAGGTATACCTTTAAAGTTGATATCCACTAGGTTATAATAATTTCCAGGAACGAGCCACCCTCATCGAGCGATCGTCCCGCGACTAAACAACAAAAAACTATACCCAAACTCCTGCCTTTATCCTGTGCTAGAGACAACTACTGCCCAATGTTTCCTCGTGTATCTTTTTATACTTTTTATAACAACCCCCAAAAATGCCACAAAACAAGCTTTAGCACGTCTTCGGCTCCTGCAATGACTATTACCTGTTTTATGTTTGCATGCTCACCTATATGTTCCTGGAAGAAATACTTAAATTGGTCAAAACGCCCCACCTTCTTTTATAAAGCTTTATTTCCATACCCTGTCGCTGTGTTTGCACGCCAGTGTTTGGCCCGGTTACGGTCAAAACGTTGTTTTGTGTCATCTGCTCGGGCTCCTCCCCGCGTTGGAGGAGTGCGACTGATTTCCGACACGCAACTATACACAACGAGCACCTCTGAGCAACACATCTATCACGCCCGGTCTATGTGTCGTTACGTCAAAACTGCCAAAATTATTGCTAGTTTTTCTCAAATAAATTTTGATTTGGAGATTCTGAAATAGGATACAGTTTTAGATGGTAGGGATATAAACAAAGTAGGGTTACATAGCGGAAAGACAAACAAGGGTTTTTTTTGGATTGATCGATATTAAAAATCGGGTCTTACTTAATTTAACTAAATTCAAGGCGGTTTCTTTTCGTATAGTCGGTAAGTATCGAATCGAAAATCCAGTATTTTTGCGTCGTCAAACCGGAAATGTGGTCGGATTACGGAATCCTCTCATTTTCCGCCCACCGCACTCAGGGTTGTTTAGCATTTGGAATATCCACAACCATCGCCTGCATCTTTTTTGAGACCAGGAATCCAACTAAGAAGTTGATTAAATCAGCGCCAATTAAGCGTTGACCCCTCCATTGCTGAGCATTGAGTCTCTATGGCACCTTTATACGTGTTGCCATCTGGGCATCTCCAAATGGCACAAAGAAAAAGGACCCCTGACCCTACGCGACACCCCAATAAACAACCTTCGACATGGCTTAGAGCTTTAACGGGGCTCTATGTCAACTCGCCAACCCGGCAAATACAACTTTTTCATTTTCGAAAATGTTTTTATCCGGTATATTTTCGGTGCTTTTCAGAATTTATATTAGTGGGAGCAGGGTGATAGCACAAGGTTTTTTTTTGCTAAAGTGAGTCATCTACCAAGAAATGGTGTGTTTACATTTTTCATCAACCCAGCGATCCTTTTTTGAACTGTTTATGCTGCTCGTGACGGGGCATTCATCATGGCGGTATGTCGTTTGGGGGCTCATTGCATTTTCGCTTAGGCGAATTTGTGGCACCAATAGTGCGTGCGCATCGGATTCAAATTTTCCCGCCCGCAGCCATGGATCGATGTCGCACTGATGGGCAGATCATGTTTTCACCACTTACCAGCTGTCAGATTTATATACCAGACAAAAATTGATTTGTTTCCGGAGCATCCTCATTAATTTTGGGGCCCCCATTGCCACATCGTGGAACCGCTCGCCCTATATACCAATAAATTATATTCAGGCCTCCCAAATTTCGTCTCGCCCCCAAACACTCGTGATCTGAAAAATTCTCAATTCCCAAAAACCCCGGCCAGCTGCATTCCGAAACTGGTTGCAGGTGGCCATGGCCTTCTGACTTTGCCCATCCCATCCTCGTCCCCGCCCAAATTGTACTAATTTGGGGGATGGGGCTCAGTTGCGAGCCCCTCAAAAGCCGTTGCCCCATTCGGATCATTTTTACATTCGCGCTCGGTGCTCTCAGATTTCTTCGCTTTTTTTCCAGGAAAGATGCAAGTTCCGATCTGGCTTTGGCATCCATCAAAGTCCTTGGATGGTCCGGTACATGCGAAGAATTATCGATGCTGTTGCTCGTGCTTCTCATCTCCTGTAAGTTTCGCCTTTTCGGTGTAAAAACTTAAAAAAAGTGTTATAAACCTATCGGTTTTTTCATTGCCATTTGTTTCCATTTTCAGGCCGGCTTCAAACTGATGAACTACGTCTTCTTGGTGTTGTTTATCTTTTCATTCGTTCTCTACAGTCTCATCGCCGCCAGTGGGGACCTTCACGGTGAAGTTCGCGCCGAGCAGGTAAAAGATAGCCATCCATACTTTTTATTACGTACATACCTGATCATTACAAGCAAATTTAAAGTTATAACTCTTGAAACTCTAAGGTATCTAATGAGGGGCGGGACACGGCTAAAAAAACATGTCTAGTGGTACTCGCTCATCTCCTGGACCATTGCCACCTTCGTCGCCTTCTTCGCCATCTACACCCTAAAGCCGTTCTACATGCAGCTGTATTTGATTTTTGCGGTAAGAATCGTATATTTGATCCGGAAAAAAGTTAATTAGACCTTCACACTGACCATCGGAATTACCGCCTCGGCCGTCGGACTGGTGATGTTCTCCATGGCATATGTGTAAGATATCCTTATACCAATTCGTAGAATCTGTGGTTTTAGCGATCTCCGTTCGCACGATTCCTACCTCCATGTCGGCGACCTGCGCGAAGCCAATCTCTGTATGTGCTTGATGCACTTGCAGTAACCTTTGAATTTCAGTGGCAATCATCGGCCTGTTGATCTTGCTGATCCTGCTCATTGGGCAGATGCAGTTGACCCACTCATACTACAAATACATCCGGTTAGTAGAAGCCGTTCCTGAGAATCTAGCCTATTTTTAGTGATCGCCAGCTGGAAATCGAAGTCGAAGCCGCTCGTCCTTTGTCTGTCATGGTTCCCACCACCATGACTAAGGAGCTAAAGGTCCAATACATTCTGGTAAACATAACTTCATGACTTTCATACTTTAACTTTTACAGCCGCCACCATATGAGGACTGCTAATGCCTATCGGTCACATAGAAATTCTACATTTTTTCTTGCTAAGTCGGGATGCCTAAAGCAAATTTTTGAAATGTTGACGCTCTGGCCATGACCCTGCCAAAATGAAACTGCTTTGATTCCTCGCACTTGTTTATGCCACAAACCCAAACTTCCCTGCCCATACAAAAACCGGAATTCAATCACCACATAATACTACAATTTATTCATTGAATTACGGTATCCCTCATATGTGTAGTGCGTATAAAGCTTGTTAGCGACGTCTGGTGCCATCTTCAAAGAAAATACCGCCGTCAATTGCACAGTACTTGGGGCAAATTCCACGTTCGCCAGGCTGACCGGGCTCGCCGGGGATACCGGGTTGTCCTCGGTGGCCAGGAAGTCCAGGGCGACCGGGGAGACCTAAAAGAAATACTGATATTTTACGAATAGGGACCAGTCTAGATTATATCAAGATAAACAGCGGCTTACCTAATATACCGGAAGCCCCATGAGGTCCATGTCCAAGATCTTCTCCCGGTGGTCCATCAAGACCAGGTAGCCCAGGTGGACCGGGAGGGCCAATTGGACCTGGGTCACCAGCTTGTGGATACTCACTAGCCGCGTCAGCACCCGGATTTCCGGAATTGCCAGATTGACCATCTCGACCGCGCCTCCCAGGTTCGCCTTGAGGACCCACAGGCCCTATTGCTCCGAGGTAACCGGGGGTTCCAGGGTCTCCTGGTAATCCTGGAGCACCGAACGGGCCCTTAAAAATGGCTAAAACCTGTTGACTTATCGGTTACCTGCGGGCCCATCGGGCCAGGCTGACCTCTTGGGCATGGGCGACAAGGTGGAGGTGTAATGGGTTCACATGGAGCTTGTGAAGGTTTTCCATGTTTCCCCGCTAACCCATGAGCACCAGGGCGGCCCGGAGTTCCTGGCTTACCTAGACAAATTACCTCATTTCTGCTCGAAAACAGACCTGGTGGCCCTTGCAACCCCGGAATGCCAGGCTTACAACACTCGTCACAACCAAACGAAGCCTCAACACCCAGACTCGGGCTCTAAGGTATGTTTGGAGTATTCCGGCTAGTAACTTACAACAAAATATTGATTTGCACCTCTGGTGAACCGGCTGCTATTGAAGTAAATGACCTCTTCAATCTCTTTAGAAAGTTCGGTAATTGTCTCCTAAAATCATACCCCAAAATTCTACATTTATCACGCTTACTTTACAATAATTCATCTTTGTTCCATAGGTATTTTGTACGTTTTGTGAGAATTTAAACATCATAACTGCGGTGAAGCATAGGGAGGTCAGCGATAGGGCCGTCAAGCCAAACGTGAAGCATATTATTAGACGATAAACCTGGATCGATTTAATCGACAGTTTTGTTCATACGGTGACATTAGAAGAGACGGTGAGTACATTCATCCGAAAGACGCGGTTTTTTTTTGGGGAATGAGCACCAAAACTCACTCCTTGACGCTAAATACCAAGCATCAAACGGGTTCCACATACCTCCAAATGAATGCCTAAATTAGCACCAATTCTTTTCCCCGACTCACACACCCTGCGTCTACTACACGAGTAACGGTCTGGCTAGAATAGAACTATCGTACAGCACGGAATAGCCATTTATTCACCAAAAAACTATTCTACCTTTTTCCGAAAGAATGCGTCCGATACCCGGGAAAATGCAAAACAACGACTTCGCGGGTACTACACTAAAGAAGCCGTACCATTTCTAATCATATTTGGCCTTTGAAATATATATCCTTATTAACATTCGGAGATCACAAATTGTAATTGGCTAAGGGAGAATGGAGTCTCGTTATGGCGAAAGAGTCATGGATAGGTGGCTGGCAATGAAGAGTCTTGGATGAATCGTTATACGAGTGGAATTGCGGGGATGATGGTTTCGTTTCGCGCGAGAAGTTCCTTCATCATGGTCACATTGCGCATCGGGTGATCCTGGAGATCCTCGTATGGAAAAGTAGCAAAGTCTTACCGCGTCATAAGCCCATAGAGGGAAATGGTCTAGATGTAGTACAAAACGTCCCCAAATGCCCATATTCAACATCGTCAAGCCCAGGCATGAGATGGTAAGAAGAAATCCGGAAATTGCCTATAAACTTTTGGATTTAATGTGGATCAACGCCGTGGGATCAGTGATAAATCAGCGATCGCAAAATTTTGTTTCTTTTTAGAAACACGCACCATGTCTTTGACCTTGACCACTCCATGAGAAAAGACGATGGCATTAGGTGGCGTGGCAACTGGAAGCAGGAAGGCGAACGATGAACCGACGGCCACTGGCAGCATGAAGTACAGAGGATTGATGTGGAGTGACCGAGCCAATTCCGAGACGATTGGGAGGAAGATTGATGCCACGACTAAAATAAATAAAGACACATGCCATCGGGTTCCATTAGCTACCTGTATTCGAGCAAATATTAGTCAAAACGAGCGTAATGGTGAGGATGATAAGCATTATCACAAACATTGGGAACACCTCGAGCTGCTGCATAATCGAACCGATTAACAAGGAGAGCTTCGATTCCTAAATCCAAGTCTTTTTGTCATTTTGCATTCCAAACCTTAACACCAGCCGCCAATGCAAAACCTCCGCCCAAAAGCAACAAAATTGACCAAGGGAACCGTTCCTGGATCGTCTGCCAATCCAATAGACTTCCACGCACGATACGTTTAGGTGCTAAATACAGTTTTTTTTTGAGAGTTTAGTTCCATCGAATACCTTGCGTAATCAATCCGACAGAGGTTTCCACTGAAAAGCATTTCGGCACCCCGTCAGGGAGCATAAACAGCACAATTACAATGATGATCGCTACCGTGGAGTCAGAGAGATAACTAAACATTATTTGATTTTTTTAAAAATCGGGATCGTTACCCGTCCTTGAACATTGAGCCATAGCCGGCAACAAAATCGGGTTCTCGGAACACCCACAACCCAAGCATAGTCAGAAAGCAGACGGAAACGGACACTTCCGCAAACGAGATAGGTGGTAATTGCTCGTATTTATCCTGAAAATTCCGTGACGTCTATTTAATGAATTACTTACATGCAGTTTCCTGGTAACGATCGCATTCCCTTTTGGACTGTGTCGCATGAACAGCATCCACAAAATCAACCAGCACATGAAAAGGCAGCTAACAGCTAGGGGAAGCGCAAAGATGATCCACGACAAGAAATTGATCCCAGTGTTTGCCCCCGGGAACAACCTGAATTACACTAACTCTGTTTTTGCATCTACTACAAACTTTTCTAGCTGCCCGACCAGCACCAAATTAGTGGCAGTGCCTGTGATTGTAGCAGCTCCACCGATATTTGCAGCAAAGGCCACCGAAATCAACAATCCCTTCGCCATCGATATTTCACGCGGGGAGTACGCATCGGTGTTATCATGGTTTCTTAACAACCACACGTTTCAAATCCATTTTTTGCTCACATGGGTTGCACGTTGTATTCATGGCTAATAGACAACCGTCGACATTCTACGGATCTTCTTCGGGTCTCCATGCTCGACCGCTCGCTCAGGAGGAACATCTCAAATTTGGGTTATTAGGCATGGGAAAAGGCGCGCTGCTCTCCTACTTCCTGCATTCGGTGATTGGTCACCAACTCCATAATGACCCCTTGGACAATTGGCACCATTAGGGCTGTCGTTGCAGTATTCGAGATCCACATGCTGGAAAAAGGAAGATCAACTTTTGGGGTTATTTTGAGGGCTGCATACCTTAGGAAACCGGTTACAGACATAAAACCGAGCATGATGAATTGTGGTTGTGATCCGCAGAGCTAAAAAAGGTTATTTCGATTTGTGTCTAACGTCGATACCTTCAAAACCAAAAGAGCGATCCTTTGATGCAGATTTGACTTCTCCACGGCAACGGCAACCATCAACCCACCCAAGAAAAGAAATGACGTATCCTAAACACTTTTCAACTCTAGAAATTTTGATAATACCGGAAGATAAGCCTGCGCAACTTCTTCAGATCTCATAATCCCAAATAATGGAAATAGCGCCATCGGCATAAGAGCGGTAATGGCCAATGGAAGAACTTCAAAAACCCAATACGTTCCCATCACCCCGACAACATAGGCGCATCTTCTTTCGTTCGAAAAAATATTTTTCAGTTGTAAAAATAAAAATATTACCTGATGATCCAAGTCACCAAATAGCAAAAGTGGTAAAAAAGCAATTGGGGCGCCGATGAGGACGATGGAACTCCAGTAGGTACTTAGAAAGTCAATGCTCGAGTTTCTAAAGAAATACGTGCACCGGGCGCCGAAAACATACCGTTTCTTTGGCATTTTGATCGAAAATGGCTACGCTATTGGCTATTCTGAAATATAGGCTATTTAGAATTACAGAACGAGGACACGGACGAATAGATAGTAAGTGTAGAAGGGGGATCAGGAATATTTGGATTGTCGAAAGGCATAGTGTCAGCCGGGATGATTTACTACCGTCTCGCGACTGGGAGATCCGACGCGATCAGACAATCAGGCACCACCGACTAATAAGCATCAATACACGTGAAGATCCAGGATTGTGGATTGTGAAAATCCAGGAAGGACCCAAGAAACCTTTCCCCAAAAAATAGTCAGACTCGAGCAGACTCTTTTCCTGATTCATCATCACCAATAGGAACAGTCAAAATATAGCTGGATCAAAATCGATGCTGACAGAGACAGCAATACTGCCGAAAAGAAAATCGCGTGCACCGAGGATAAGAGAGACAATGGAATTCCCGGAATGAGCTCCCCTGAAAAGTGTTCTTTTTTTCAGGTATCGATCCAAATTAAGTTATTAGAGGCGCCTGCCAGAACGCACGATCCCCCAACAATAATCCCGATCAACCGTCTAAGGCGACATCTGGCTGATGAATGGCATCACTCTGCCGATTGCCAATATAGCTGGAACCAGATTTTAGCTGATTTATAGTTTCATCAACTATCGACTGACGCTCGGGACCTTGTCAACATGGATTAGTGGTGATCAAATGCGATTGCAGGTGAACCCTGCCAGATTTCTGGGAACGAGAGTAAGTAGGAAACAGGGAAATAAATTGTTTCTAAAAATTTTTTGGGCTGAGAAAAGGGTTTGCTGAACGGTGATTTCTTGGACCAGTGAGAAAATCGCGATAGTAGACAGATATCGCAAGCTACTGAATACTCAACGGATGTAGCACTGCCATCTCGATGTCCCGATTTTGAATCATCACTTTGCCAGTTCAGAAACTTCCGGAAAACGGTTCCCTGAATTTTGAATGGCCATTTGGTGCTGACAGGGCTACAATGTTGGATTTCGGAAACTAACGGGCTAGATAAGCTCAGAGCGGACAAGAAAAAAAAAATCGTGAGCTTACCAACAGCAAAGGGGATATTAAGGGCAAGATACCAATGAAAGGCAAAGCTATGAAAAATTACCACCAGGAAACAAAGCACAAATTTAAATTCAAAAAGTTTCACAAGATAGTTGTGTCTGCATTTCTCTGTTGCAGCACATCAACCCATCACTAGGTCAACAGCAGCAATATGGGAGAGATGATCCGGACATTCACAGGCTTCACACAGCTATCGACGAATGGCCGTGGATCTATCTGTATGTCCGTCTATCTGTGTGGATACAGGGTTGATAAATGGGCAGTTATCCTCTCCTTCTTCTCCCCACCATCGAACGCACAAAGTCTGGGATTTTTGTCTCTCTTGCCCGGATGTCGACCAAAAAATGCACTAATCAACCGTTCCCTCGTCGATGAGTCGGGATCGTCTTCGGGTGAGGGGTCTCTCGTCGTGTCGCACGACAAAAAAAACCGAAACCGTTGTGGGTTGTGGAAGTGACAAGCGATTAGCAGTTGTCAGAAGGGATTTGGGCTTTAGGATACCGGGGTTAGTGCAATTTTAGGGATGAGATTAGGGAGATTAGGGAGATCACATCCCAATGTGATCTGAGATTTGTGATGGAGGTATCTAAAGTTTAAGTGGAGCATTGTGAGATCTAGACTCTGCAAAAGACTCATCAAAGGGCCGGCCCGAAAATGGAATAACTCGACGCGCATTGACTCAATTGTGATTTTTTTTTCATGATTAGACGCGACGGGTCCGTCGGCTTATTATCTCCCAGAAAAATTAAGGCTGTAGACCATTCCCATGCGGAGTTATTCCAGTTTCGGGCCGGCCCGGCCCGACTCGGCCCGCAAATGGAATAACTCGATGCAGAGTAGCTCAGCCTTTTTGGCACCCGAATAATACGGCGAAATTGCCAGATCCGTCTGTTTTTAAACGATGAATTTAGCGGAAAGTAACGGAATTCTCGCTAGCATAACCTCCGGCTGGATTTCCCATTGCCATTGATGAATCAAAACGTCCCCGATAATCCAGAAAGCTTTATTCAGACCATGAGCAATCAATCACAACTAGCAATTCAATAAATAATACACGCATCCAAGGTAATGGTAAAAGAAATAGATATGCGGCTGTTTGGCTTTGTGCCAACAAGTGGCTCCGTAGCATCACGCGGGTGGGGGAACAACCATTTTTCAGGAGCATAAAGCTTCAGATGACTCTTTTAAGGGGGGAAGGGAATGGTTTTTGCACGAAATTGTTCTTGAGGTTACCCGTTGGTTTTTGGGGGTTGAAAGACAGAGGTCTGGGGCGAGGGGTAGAAATTTGGATAGTAAATAAATTAATGCATCTCAACGCTCTTATCGATGCGGAAGAAGGAAACCGGTATGAAGGAGAGGAAAATGGGGATAAAGACAAGGCCGTGAATCATTCCAATGGTCATTGTCAGCCAGATGGTTTTGAAGAAGGTGAGGATGATGTAGGCGTTGACGGTGTATAGGATTGATATACCGGCAATTGTTGATGAAGCGCCCTGAAATGTAGGTCATAAACTCACAAAAAACTCTAAAAAAAAAGATTTAAAGTAGATGCAGCCCATTTCTTTGAAAGCATAGATTCACCACAATTCGCACGCAAAAACGTTTTATGATCCCGCGCCCAGAACACACAAAAAACCGGCTGGCACCCATCCCATAGTCTGTAGCAAAAAAATGGATAGCTGCGTGACCGCGGCTAGGCAAATCAAAAAGTGGCGCATCAAATTTGCGAGCGCGGTGGGATAGATGTGCTCTTGTTGCTGGCCCATCAATCAAGAAGTCCTCGTTCCTTTTGTGAGAGGGAATCAGCCGATTTGAAGATATAATGTCGCGGATTACGTGGCGAGAGCAGAAGGACGAAGTGGTAATCGGTGTATCATTGGGCGAAAGAGTTTTTAAAGGGGCTGGACAATAAGCTGACCCATTTTCGGGATTTCTCTTTTAGATAACAATAATAAGGTTTAAATCAACACCTAAACCCACCTGGAATATCGGCCAACCAAGCCCTTCGAGGGCTCCAATGACACGCTGTTTGGTATCACCATGCGAAGTTACGAAAGCGTAAATGATATGTGCCGACAAATCGACAGCAAATCCAATCGACATAATGATAGAAATCATCGATACTGCGTCCAGGTTTACGCCTAAAAATAGTATCAAAATTTGCCTAATATAACGTACCCCATATTGTCATATAACCAAACACACCCATCGAGATGGAAATGATGGAAATAAACGTGACAACGCCTAAAGCCAATAAACTTTATGGTCGTCAACCTTACCTGATGGTAAACTTGGGACCAGCAAGAATGACACAACACCCATGCAAATCAAAGAAATCCCGATATTCATCGCTGTCGCAGGCAGGATAATCAGGTATTGATCAGCGAAAGGGAATGCTTCATGGAATAGTTCGATCTGAATTTCAATTCAATAGTTTGTAATCGAAAACCCACATGGAACGGTTGACTATCAGCAATTTCTCGCAGCATCTTCGTCATCACCTTGTGGTCATTGGGCTCAATGATGTTTTTCAAGGCAATCTGAGCAAATATTTAGAATTAACTCTAGCCATTTTACCGTGAAGCGATAAGAAATAAATTCCTTTGTCGTCTTGTTCATCCGGATATCACTTTGCCACTGGGATGCACCGCCGGTGTATTTTAACCAATTGAGCAGCTTGATTCTCCAAATCTTCTCCGTGTTTTCCGGTTCGGCATTCAGTTCTTCCAGATAATTCATATATTCAATCAGGAAGAACACGGTGCCCTCCCTTCCAAGGGTGTAGGGCGTATTTTCCAAGGAGGTGACGATGTTCATCAAAGCATTTCTAAACAAAATTCTCAATCATTAAAATATAATAAACACCACCTTTGGGTTTCATTGACCAAATTTGGTGGATCCAGAACTGCTACATGGAGTTGAGGACCGCTTTTCCAAAACGCCTTGATGTCGGTGAAATATTTGGCAATGTAGTGATCGTTTGTGACGAGGTTCGCTGGGTTCAAGCCCTCCTAGAAAATGATGGTATAATGACGCATCAGCAGGAGGGAATACCCGGAAGTTCATACATCCGTAGAGCGCTATAACCACGTAGATGACGTAGACGAGGACGGCAAGGGCGCGGACTCCATCTTGTAAGATGAATTTGCCATAGGTTTGTCCGAAGAATTTGACGACTCTAGTTGGCTCGACGGCGGGGTGGGATGGCTGAAAAGAGTTTTTTCGTTAGCGTCTCGACACCAGGCCAGGGCAGCTGTGAAAAAGCTATTAATAATGTTAACCCCACCTTTGTAGATACTTTATCGGAAGTTCGATAAATCGGCGGTGCTACCGGGCATGCTGAGAGCGGAAGTTCCGGCATTTTCGCTCGCTTCCATTCTTTGTCGCTGTGTCCCGGCGAAGTTTTTCCAGACGATAGCCCACTATCACAAGATGATGTGCTGACGCCATCAGAATAATCGGCTATCGTATAACTGAAACGAGCCAGTTTCTTTTTTCTTGATTTTTCAAACCTCTTTATCGGCGTCCTCTGAAATTGCCGTAAATTTTCCGGATAGGCAATTCGCCTCGGCCTGTCGTTGTTCTTCTTGGTGCTCACTTTGTCTTCGACTTTGTATAAGAATAAACAATGTCGTTTGTTTTTCTCCATATCGCCCATCACGGCCATCCAGCCGCAGACAAAAGTAAGCTAAAATCAAAGTATGATCATAGAATCGAGTAATTTTCATACCTGATAGATGTAACAGAACAAGATAGTAACCCAGGTGTACAAGCAGAATAATTGAATTCCCGGTAGATCGGTGATACATCCTTAAAAACTATTGAAAAATCGAGGAAATGCCTACCAATTGCAAAAGAGAGGACATCAGTAACGTTTGTAATGGTGATAGCGACTCCGGCATGAGCGAGTGTCTTAATTAAAGTAATTTTTATTATGCTTGCCGCTTTTCGATACCTGTGAAATTCTGTCGGCAGTAGATTTGTTTGGATCCGACCCTTCCCAGCAAGCCACCATAATAAACATATCGTCGATACCGATGGCTAATAACAGCTTGAAAATCATTTTTTTGACTTGCCGATGATCAGGAATGGGATGATCGTATTAATAACATTGTAGTTATAGCCAAGCATTAATAGGCAACCGAATCCACTACCGATTGAGAGGAGGGTGGTTGTCAAACCTGAAAAGCTGTTCTAGCGATAATTTTAGTGTTTTCCTACCAGCCACCGCCACCCAAGGCTTGCTTTTCACCCAGTCAATATGCCTGCTGGTCTTCCTCAACGAAAACGAGCAAATCAAGGCGTAAAGAGAGAGTATGGCAAAGCTGACGACAAAATTCGGGGCGAAATGCTTGGCATTCTCATCCAGACCATCCTGTAGAGATTTGGAGACTTGGTATCAGAAATTGAAGACCCACTTGTAGGGATTGATAATGCGCCATCGAGATTTCGATCAAATCTGATGTGTAGACGTGCAGTAAAAATCGTTCGACAGCATAGGAAAATGCTGATGAGTAGTCACGCAATAATTTCTTAAAAAAATTTATAGATTTACGTATTTCCATACCTGATCTTGTTTCAGGAAATAAAACAACTGCGTGATTTTTGCCGACGCTACGGTACTATTTGGGAATAGTACGACATCACCAAGAGTCGTTCCAAGGTACACAGGGTTGTCCTAAATATTGATTTTATATATTTCAATGGTTACAACCTTTGTCCCTCCTCTCGGAAATGACAAATCGATCACTTTATCCACCCGACTGCGCTGCAGGAACATTTCAATGTGCTCGTTAGCCAGACACTCCCAATCATATGATAAGCACAGGTCCTAATGAGCACGAATGAATGATTGGAGAACAAGGCGGCAAACCTGATAAGTGAGATTGAACTTTCCATCAATTGTCGGGACGCTGATGTTGTTCATGAGCCAATTGTTCAGTACTTTGATCTACAAAAGGTGATGACGGAATTGGGGGGTTGGTACCTCTTTTAGAACATCTTCTCTCATGACGTCACCACCATCTTTGGATTGAATAAGTACATTGATGAACCGCTTTGTTTCGAAGGATTTCCCGGGTAGAAATTTATTTTCATCGAGGGGCCAATTGTCGGTAAAGATTTTGAGTTCTGTTCGCCATCTGAAAATTAACTTAATTTTTAGAAAAGTGGGGATTCTATGTATTGATTAAATTACAGCCAGATGTTAACACACCTTGCCGTAGATGGAGTAAATACATAGGACGGATCGTCAACCCGAAGTTCCTTCAATCGTAGCAGCCCTATTGATAGTAGGGCTGTGAGGAATATTGGAGCAAGGATGAAGGGGTAGCGGCACTTATGGACAACCGGGCCAAAGCCCTCGAAGAACCTCCTCACCAGAGGTTCCAAGGACCAAATGACCATCCAATGCCCCTGGAAAATGATGTTTTTCACCAGGTTCAAGGTATCGGTGGTGAGAGAGAGTCGAACGGAGCGAGTTCTATATACAAATGAGGCTTGGGGTTAGAATGAGGAAGGGTTTAGACGATTTCGAGGCATTTGAAAGAGCGCGGAAAATACAGCGGTCCAATCACCAACTGTTGATTTAGCGCACAAAGATCGGGGGCTTTTACACAATGCAAAGCTTAGACAAACAATTTTTGTACTATGTTTCTTAAATGTATGCTCGGCCCAGGAATCCTGGAAGCGATTTATTTTAGAGGATTAAAGAAAGTATAGTAATACGAAAAAGGAAACCATTGAATTACGCCTATCAGCTTTGCCTCCGGTAGCTACAAAAAGCAATGCCGGACCATATGCCCCCTTGCAAATTCCGAACGATATGCTTTCGCAATTTCAAAAACTCAAATCTAGACAGTAAGCGAAAGCCAGTCAGGCTATTCGGGAGGGGAGAGAGTGAGTGGCTTTGCGAACAAAATTCAGAGGATGAAAAGCGAGTGGCGAGGGGGGATCGAGTGCCAACCAGTCCTGGTGGGTGAGCCCACCCAGCAATGGCATTCGCCCTAAAGGGGAATGGATGCGTCAATCAGACAATCAACCTCCCGGGAAATGGTGGGGAAAAGCTGTCTGAAAAGGGCATCGGGTCTGGCTTTCACCAAAGACAATCATAAATCGTTGTTTAGGCTGGGTGGAGTGGTTTGGTGTGGCAAAGGAGGAGGATTAGACTAGAGAGTTAATATAGAGCGAAAAAATGCCGTATTAACGGTGCTATGGTACCGTATTTTCACTAATATAATCCACATCTTCAGATTGCCAACAGGATCAAAACCCCGAATTTCTTACAAAAAAAAAAGTTCCAATAGGCAATTTCAGGTTCTAAACATGCAATCAATTATTTTATACTTTTCCTGGTATTATTGCAAATTTTAAGCATGTTAGGGTGCCGAAAACCCACCGGAATTGGTAAAATTTGATAGATCCTGCTTCTTATTTTCGGTATGAAAGTGAGCAAAAAAATAGGAGCTTCCACTAATAAAATTCACCTATTCGGGTAAGTGCCAAAAAGAAAAACATATATTAGAGGAGGCAAGGTAATAAGGAGATTGAAACATGAGTTGCAAAGGAACAGAAATTAATAAAACATAGTAAAAATCAAAAACTGTGACTATCAACTGTGGAAGGCACCAAACATATAAAACCGCCTAGCCGTTCACCCAATCACCTCACCCCTCTGAAGTGAATCAGCCTTCCCTGCGATCTCTTTGGGTACGTGACTCCGGATCACCGCAAGAATGCGCCCCAGGGATGCAATGGAAGGGCGGGCGAAAGTGTGCCAAGTTGCCCTAAGGATTTACAAGCGGATCCCCCCCTGCTTTCCGATCATTCAACCTATACAAAAAGAGCGCGCTCTACTGATCGGCGCGCCCCGAACAACTGGATTACTTCCGATGTTCTACTTTTCGCATTTTGACGGGGTGGTAGTAAACGGTTGGGATAGGGGGGCAGGCGGAGGTGTAGTGGATACGGGTTTACGTCTCGGACTAGTGAATTTGAGTGGTGGAGGATGACTTGGAATATTTTAGCAGTGCTGGTTTTGGGCAGCGGATAGGTTGCGTGTCGGAAAACCTGATAGATTGGGTTAAGGTGGTGAAAACTGTGGACACCTTGAAAAAAATTTAGGTTTCAAGAAAGGACTACTAACAATTTTATAAAATTGATTCGCGCTCGTGAATTTGGTTATTTTGGGCAGGAGCCCAGGGAGAGCATCAAAACACTTAACGCACTAATGAGAGACGTACGCCGATTCGCCTACCTTTAGGGCATAAAAGCGTAAATATCGTACACCTAGCTTTTTAAATTGTACTGTTGAAAATAGCTAAATTAATACAAGGTAAAAAATCTACATAAAACCCGAGAAGCTCGATCCACCCTCTCAAAGCACCCATTTTCAGGGAAAGTGCCAAACAAGCCCAGACGCTGAAAGCGAGTCCGGCTTCTTCAAGGACAGTCACTCCCCCCCGAAACGAAGACTGGTGCTCAAGAATTGATCCCGCTCCCAAAACACTTCCCTCATCCTCATCTCCATCCCCCGTGCAACCACCACTTTTAGCTCGACCATGTGTTTAGCACCGCGACAAGTTCTAGAAGACAAGCGGCTAGGAAGCGCGATCAAATCTCGCCAAACGACAGAACATTTGCATCCCCCCCCCCTGCAGCGGCCTGGGAAATAGGGTCTGCCCACCAAATTTCCTGTTCCAAGCGGCGCGCGACTTCGCAAGCTGTGAGACTGTTTTTTTGATTGAGGAGGGTCCGAAATGTGGTGGAGGCGGGAATTTGGTGTTTAAGCTTCAGATTGAACGCGTTGACGGATTTAATAAAAGCAGAATGTGTTGTGATATAGAGAAAAAGTGGTGCAACTAGACGTGTTTGGTCTTAGACTAACACGTAATAGAAATCGACATCTCGCACCAGGCACAAACCACGAGTAACGGCCGCTACTGCCAGGAATAAAATTTGGTAAGTCATTTAGCTATTGAATTTGCCCTCCCCCACCTGCCGGAGAAAAAAAAATAAAAAAATTTGGATTTGACAAAGAGTTTAGGGTGGCCATGCTTGAGTTGAAACAACAAGACCATATAGGACAATATCCGTTTCCCCCCCCCCCCGTTATGTCACCTCACCCCCAACCCCCGTTAAGCAACATCTACCGCGGTGGCTAGAAAGACGACTATTTAACCAGGTATTTAAATATTTGAAATCAAGGTAAAAAAACTTGGTAAAGACTGTACCAAAGAATTCCTCCAGGGAAGTTTCTTGCCGCGTGCCACCAGAATGAACTAAAAGCTCTACACAGTTGTGTTCTCATGATGCCTCCTCCCCAAGCAAAGCACCTAGTCCGGCGGAAGAACCCGCCAAACTAGTACCACTAAAAAGTCAAATCCGCCGGGAGGCGGCTTTTCGGAAAGCGCCCCCGGCAGGGAGGACAAGTTGCAAAGCGTGCGGAGGAAGGGGGGAGAAGCCATGGGCACGCGCGCCACACAGACACATGCAATATCGAGGTGTGTTTGGTGGCCGCCGGGGGGGCAGAACTGGTAGGCAACGATTCGGACAAACAGGTTCGGTTAACACAAAACGCGCGCCTGTGTTCAATGGGCGACGAATGACCACCAGCCGCCTGGCCAGCCCCACGGCTGGTTTCGAAAAAGTCTGGCCCAGGGGGGGGCGGCCTTGGCAGGACCAGTGTAGATGTGATGGTTTTCACTTGGCTACTTGAGATTTGCGGGCCAAAACAAACGCCGCACGTGGAGACGTGAGGGAGAACTGGTTCGAGGATGACAGGAAGGGCATATGTTCGAGCAGGAACTTGGAGGGATAAACTGAAATGGAATGCCGCTGAATGGATAGGTTGGATGTGAGGGGCCGGCATGGATAGCTGCCCCGAGAGAGGCATTCCGCGTGCTTCGGTAGCTCAATAGGGAGAGCATCGGACTCGAAAGCCGTAGGATGCGGGTTCGACCCCCGCCCGGAGCACTTGTTTTGCGGATTGGACCCGGAGCTAGGCCATGGCCATGGGACCCCAGAATTCCCAACTGGCGACCACGGAAGGATCCACCCGGGCTCTGACGGATGGTACACAGTGTCTGATGACTGTGGGACCAGTCATCCCTGGGGGGTGGATGGTTGGATGTGAGGGCCGGCATGGATAGCTGCCCCGAGAGGGCATTCCGCGTGCTTCGGTAGCTCAATAGGAGAGCATCGGACTCGAAAGCCGTAGGATGCGGGTTCGACCCCGCCCGGAGCACTTGTTTTGCGGATTGGACCCGGAGCTAGTCCATGGCCATGGGACCCCAGAATTCCCAACTGGCGACCACGGAAGGATCCACCCGGGCTCTGACGGATGGTACACAGTGTCTGATGACTGTGGGACCAGTCATCCCTGGGGGGTGGATGGTTGGATGTGAGGGGCCGGCATGGATAGCTGCCCCGAGAGAGGCATTCCGCGTGCTTCGGTAGCTCAATAGGGAGAGCATCGGACTCGAAAGCCGTAGGATGCGGGTTCGACCCCCGCCCGGAGCACTTGTTTTGCGGATTGGACCCGGAGCTAGGCCATGGCCATGGGACCCCAGAATTCCCAACTGATTCAGCATGTTCAAGGTTTGCTAGAAAAGCATAACAAGGTACGTGAGTTTGACGGGTTTTTCAGGTAATTCCTATAATTCGGATAACCGTTTCTTGATCAAATTTTTAAAATCGGCGTCTCGCAAATCAGAAGTTCGAATTTTCATGAACATGAATTTTTAAAACTGGAATTTCCCAAAGGATCGGTTGGAAAACTGGACTAACCTTAAAAGTATGAAAAATTCGAGGCTGAAATGTCACTCTGTAATTCAATATTTTGATTCTTGAGATTTACGTTGATGCGGATTTTAGCCGGAGTAGAAATGCTTGTCAATAAAATTCAGTCCTTTTTAATAAAGTCTGATTGCCCAGTAAAATTTCTAGAACAGCCCCCACCAATCACTCACAAAAAAGGAATCGCATAAAATTGACCGGCACAGTCTAGGAAAAGCAACTGATCAAGGGGGGGGGGGAGAAGGATCGCGAATTATCTCGTGCTGACCCAAATCGAATCACCATCAAGCCCCGCTCCGCAAGGAGAACTGGAATCGGGTTTGATTTTGGCCGTTCCCTCCAGACTTTCGCTCTCCACTTTTGGGCGGGTGAAAACAGAAGCGATGTGAAATATCCTAGTTTCGGCTAGTGTGACGAGGTGACGTGATGATTCTTGCTTTATAGTAGTTGAAATTAGCACCTCATAGGCAAATGAAAAATGGTTGAAAAAAATGATATTTTGGCCATTTACGGCTTTAAGCATCCCGAAGCTCTTGATAATACTATACCACGAATCCGCCAAGCGTCGCTTCATAACCATAAGTTTTAAATACAGTTTGTGAAGGATTTTACCAGGAGCGGCTTATTATGTTATTCGAGACTTCTATTTTTTGGACCTATGATAGAGAAGGACTCGGCTTTGAGGATATATGGTAGTCGTAAAATACCTATTTAAAATTAAGTAATAACCAGACGACACGAACAGTATCGTATTAGTACAGGCCGCCCGGGAAACCCCGAAATAAAAAAGACCACCCACCCCCGGCCCAGGCTACTAACCAGTCGCCGATCTGCCACCAACGGATGTCCAAAAAATCGGCACCCCACCCTGCCCCTAGGGGGGACTCGCGCACGCTCACCGTCCGAAAAAGGAGATTAGTGAGTAGAGTGTGGAGAGGTGGATGGTGGGGAGGCTCATCATCAACTGGTTCTGCCAACCGAAGCCCTCAACACAACTCTCTCCACCCTCACTCTTCCCATAGCCACTTGGCAGCAATGGAAGGCTGACCATTCAAGGCGCGGCTTCTTCCCCCCCATGCCTTCCCCTCCACGCACTTTTCATCCGGAAAAGACGGGCGAGGATTGTATGAATCGGTGGGAGACACGCGCATCTTTAGCGTTGTGTGGGCAATGATGCATGGTGGATGAGAACTGTGGAAGTTGGGTGTGAAAGGGCTAGATAGAAGTTGGGTCGAGATTGCGACCGGGGGGTTTGAACTGGCAAGGGAAATAACCATATCTACATATTGGCCCGTGATTTTTTTTGTTCATTTTAAATATGGCCAATCTCTCTGGATCGAATGATAGCCGCCCATCTAAATAGTCACTTCCGCTTCCGGCGTATGCTAACTATTTCTGAACCAAAGGGGATGACCGACATATCGAAGAAAAACCGTATTTTACTAGCAAAATCATGTATTTTGAAAAATCGGATATGTGGACATTTATTCCGACGCATTCCATTCCTCAGTGCATTTTTTAATCCGAAAAATTCGTCCTTGGTGCTCTAGATGCGGAACAACGACACGATACTGTGTACGCTAATGTAAGAAAAATAAAATATTTTTCTGAGATATCGTAAGATGATGATGTGGCTCTGTAACTGTATCTGCATAAAAATGTCTTTTTCCTCTCAAAAATTCGTTTATTTTATGAAAAAATTCATAAAGCTAAAGGGAATGAACGGGGGGAGCTGGAGGGACAGTAGGCAAATGCACAGGGAAGCTGTTTGAAGAATTAGCGCAGAATTATAGCGGCATTTACAAAGAAAACAGCTTGATTGCGAATCACACTAGAGACTAGGGGTTGAGGGAGAAATCACGTAGATGTGCAATGAGGATCGCCAACAAGTCAAGACACTTTTTAAACACTGACAAACTGCTCGATGCCACGACAGGCATTTTTTCAAGAAAATGTTGGGAATCTAGGTATAGGCTTCAGGGTAAGGCAATATCAATTATGAAGATTTGTTGTATTAATAAGACCTTTTTAGTTATTGAAACGCCTCAGCTACTGAGGGGTAACCCCTAAAGAGTGGCAGGGACGCTTAAGCAGATCCTCAGCATTCCTCCAAGAGCCTGAAAAATCGCTACTTAGGATTGTAGGTTTTTCAAAAAATTCTTAGAAATCCATTTTAAAATGAATATAACATGCGAGAAGGATGAGGGCTCTTACCAATTTAGTAAGTTGCTTACTCTTGCCGGGCGTTGGTGTTGCGTCGCGGGCCCATACCCCACTGAAAAATTGAATTCTTTTTGTGGATGGTGATACTGTTTATCGCTGATTTATTTTATACGAAAATTGGCTGCCAGAAATTATTTCTCTACGTCATAGGTATTTTATGCCCTAGCGTCAAGCCATTCTGAAATCCGACCCGTTTATAGGCCACATGTGGAGTCTTTCGTTTACGACCATTGAGCATATGTTATACTGAGAGTGACTAAGATACAGATACTTTTATTGAGTTTATTAGCTTTACTTTGCAATTAAAAATTTAGTAGCCACAACTTAAATTATTAATTTTTACCTTATGGAAGACGGTAGCATCATCATCTTTGCTAACACAGCACCATAAAATGCAGGTCATCGAAATGATGGCCACCACCGAGAAGAAGCAGATCCATCTGAAAAATGAGCCCTCCAGCTACGTTTTTACCAACTTACACTGCGACTACTCCAAAATAATCAAGGGTGTCCAACTGCTGCTTGAGGTCGACCATTTCTGGATGCAAATCAGCGTTAGATGCCATTTTCGAAGAATGGGGGCAAAGGTCGTCGAAACGAAGAGAAAATGCGGTGGAGCCGGTGGCATGGCCTTCCTTTTAGCCCATCGGCCGGAGATTTTTGGGGCGATAAAATTTTAATATAGACAAACGGCGTGTCCTTGGGAACTGCAGGAAATGAAATAGAAATTCGCCATTTTCGGCCTTGTAAAGGCCTCATTTAAAGCAAAAAATATCACTTACTTACGGAGTAGACCTTGGCCAACCAAAACAAAAACACTGGGCCTAGTGAGAGGGAGCAGGTGGTGCCCAGGGGGAAAAGAACACCACACCGCCGTAATCTACTATATATAAATTTCTAATGTCCGTCCGCCCGTCCGACCGACCGGGAATTCAGCCAAATTTTGCATTCAAATTACAAATTCAAATTGTGGGGGGTGGGAGCTACGCGGGGGGGTCAGCGCTGGTTCCCCCTAAATGACTATTTCCGGAAACTAGACTCCGGCAACACGACGTCCTTGAAATTACTTAATAATGAATACGAAACCCAGGAATGGGGGACTATTTGCCCCAACACTCGAGACGCGTAACGAAGCCTTTGAGGCGCGCATTTGTGCGACAGGAGAAGCGCAAACTGACCGGAGACTCGGCAGGGGTAGAAGGCGGGTTAAAGCTAACGGTAGGAAAGAGACCGGGAGTGGCCCCAAACGAAAAGTTGAAGTCTAAACATTCACTGCGGAATCGATGAAGTGGAAGGGAAATGCATGGCGTTGGGCCCCTAGGATGCGAGAGAAGGCGAGAGGAACAGCTCTAAGCATTTGGAAGGCACAAGCCTATCGATCGGCTGGTGGGGACCCAGGCCAACCCTCGGAGGTCGGGGAGTGAGGGAGAGAGGGCCAAGGGACCTATGTCCCCTCAGTCTCCGGCTTCCTCTCCTTCTTTCTAGCCACGAACCACTCTGCTCCCACAGCCCGTCGCTTCGAAACCGGCGGTTCGAGGCGAAAAGTGGGCCCCTGGGCCCCACAGCGGGCCTGCGTGGATTCAATTCGGAATTCTGGAGTGTGGCTGGAGGGTAGGGGTAGCGGAGGAGCATTCATTTACGATTGATAAATAACAGCTAGAGCAGGCATTCGGAAATGGGAGCTTCCGTTTTCGAGGTATAAGCCTGGCACGCTAACCAAGAAGTGAAAAACCTTTGGATATACTATTACATATAATCCGATGGGCTTGTGCGGTTCAGATAGAAAGATTCAATTCTACCCAGAATACCGTAATCTAGCGCCAAAAACGTAATTTCCGCAAGCTTTAGTCGATTCTTGCGCAAAATGGCAGATCTTTTAGGACGCCCTCCCACCAAAAAGACCTATGAATCACGTAGCGCCGCGCCAAATGTTCAATAAAACCCTACCTCGGATATAAACGCTTAAACTATACTCTACCCACCATAAATAAAATATACTTAAAATCCACAGTACTTTCTATAATTTCCAATCTTTATCAAGCATCATATCATACATGTAACTCACAAGAATCATAATCCAAATCAATCTTTCTGAGACCATCTTCTAAAAAATGTACAATTGGTGTAAAGCACTGCAGCTCATTACTATAATGGGAAGAAATGAGCCAACAAGGCCCGTGTCAAATAGAGGAATGTGTCATAAATCATCGAATTCTTAGAAAGCTTTCATCCCTTGATGAATTGTCTGTGCCGGCTGATTTGCGGGCAAGTCTTCTAGGCGCATTCCCTCAAAAAGTTGCTGTTGGAGCTGGGCTTCTTCACGCATCTTCACTTCAATGTCCCTGGAAAAACATATTATACTATTTTTTTCTGTAGGAGTTTTATACCTTTGAATATCCTTTATGGCGCCCTTCGTCCTTTCGATGGCGGATTTTAATCTGATAGCGTTGGTATAGGCAGCATCGTACCGTTGGGGCCAATTGGCTTCGCGTAAGGGGCGGAGCACCTCTTCGAGGTTTTCCTGAAGTTATTAAGTGAAAATAAGGAATCTGTAAGCTTACTCTTTGTCTCTCCAATTGCATTAATTCCCGGCTGTCTTCTTGGGCGTCAAGGTCAAGCTGGTAAATTCGTCGTCGCTGTTGTTCTAGGATGACGCTGAAAAATGAAGCTTAAGAAGGCTATTTGAAAGCTCAAGTTTTGCAAGAAAAAATGACTAGGCTAAAACACGGCTTGGTTTTCACATTACAACTTGCAGCCTAAATACCTGCTTCAAATCTAAGTTAAAGTAGATTTTGGCAAATAAATCGAAAACTACAATAGCTGTCGGGTTTAAATTTACTGCAAACATTTTAAGACAGTTCTTCATCTCTGCTAAGAATTTCAAGTCGGTCCGACCGAAAATGGCCAAATACTTGGAAGAGTTTTTTTACTGGAACAACTAGTATCCATGAAATTACTGATAACTAAAAGTTACGAAATAACAAACACTGGTGATGCACTTGCTATCAACATCCGTCACTGATAAATACATCTAACGAACTTACTTATTCGCCTCAATCAACCGTTCCAACTCTTCATATGGCATACTAGCTGTCGACGGATGCATCGGTTCAAAGCTAAAATCGGCCAATACAAAACAGCCGCGCGATAATTCCCACCACGCATTTGTGAGCGGCGGCCGGTTGACTGGGGTGTTGCGCGAGAGGGAGTTGAAACGTTTCTCCATGACATGGGCATAGTCTGAAAATAACAATGCGATCCCTGCGCCTACCCGTGATTGCTCCTCCTACTCCTATCAAAAGAGCCAAAAACACACAAACAAGACGTATGTGGATGGGGGGGAAAGAACAATGAGCGGATGGGATATTTGAAACAAACCGGATAAAAGGGATACCTGGTGGTGGGGCGCGATTGTGGATGGCTCCCAGGGAAGATCCCGGTCTCATGATAACACCCGGATATGCGGGTAAGCTTGCCGTGCTTGGGCCACTCATTGGGAAGGCTTTTTGTGCTGAAAAAATAAATTAGAAAGTGTTATAGCAATTTTCCGATAATACGAATACGAATTGATTCCGTGGAAAGGTCTTTTTCGGCTAATTATCCATTTCAAAACGTAATGGCTAGTTATGACAACGTATCTAAATCGCATGCACCAAAGCATTTACCAAACTATACAAATAAACTTGGTATATTTTGCATTAAAATGAATTCATCACAAGAATTATAGCAAAAATTCCATTACATGCAAAAATTATGTCATTTTCTAAAAATTCAAATTTCCATTGCTACAGTAGCAAAGACAGGGGCACCATCAGCCCCCCCGACAGCGTAAGCAACACCTTTTGTTACGCGGAGTAATCGGATCTGTGCGACCCGGCGACACGGGACCGGAAATTTGCCCCAGCCTTCTCGATGATCGATGTGTTTGAACACACGGAAAAATTTGGGCGGGCTTGTTCGCTGAAACAACTCGAATACCTGTATTACTGATGGGGGGCATTCGGCCGTAGAAGCGAGACTCGGAGACGGTGTGCGGTAATGGAGGAGCGGCTGAAAAATTGTATATTTTGAGAAAAGGACCGATCTTTTGACAAATTTCCAATGGGCCTTAAGAATGGGAGAAGTTTTACTTGTTGAGGGGTGAGACCTATTCGCTTTAAGGAATGGAATATAGCATCATTATCGCCTCTGGGAGAAGATGTTTAGTGGATTGTTCGATTACAAGATGCAAAAAATACGCATGAGGATTCTATCTCTATTAATTATGCCAATCATTTATTGTTTTATCAAAATTCCAAAAAAAGAGTTTATGTCTTCTTTGCCCGTATCTTCAAATACATAGTACGTTACAAACACGTTTTAACCTGTTCTGGTACGTTTAAAGGGATTTTGAAGTAACTAAAACCTAAAGTCAAGCGGATTCCCGCAAAAATTCGTAAGAAATCAGCCCGAAAACGTAGAGTTAAACCCAGTGCGGGAATTGTAACTCTCACAGCTGGGTCAGTCTATAATAATATGCCAACCCCCGTCGTTGGACTCGCCGGTGACCCGGCCGTAAATGACGAAAGGACAAATTGGCAGCAGATGTGCAGAGAAGGGCCTGTGTTTAGCCAATTCTGCTATGTGCCGAGTGGTGGGGAGGGAGCGCAAAACAATGGAGCATCCCCGAAATGGCCGGATAAAAATTAGGGCGAGCCAGTGGAAATCAGGGGCGGGTGGCAGATGATTGTGAAAGGCATTTATGGCATGGATTTACGGGGAAGGGGTGGGAACACGTTTCAAGGGAAGGGACAGGTGCGCGGATGAAGATATTGGATGTGGCGCGATGGCGTGAAGCTTGCCTGCCAAAGAATTGCCAGGAAACTTAACTTTAACTCAAAAAAAGATAGTTTTGGCGCGTTTTATGATGCTTCGTAGTTCATGCACTTTTGAAAATCGCTGCACGATAACGGTCTTGCAGAAAATGTTTCTTTGGAAGGGCCGATTTTGGCATCCGGTAGTTAATCATAGCTATAAACAATAACTTCAAAATAATTATTCATTATTATTTTTATTATTTATTTATTTTCATAGGGAATCCTAGGGCAAAAATGGACCATCCGTGAATTTTGGGTAAAGAACGACAGCCGGCCGGTTTTGCTATTGTTGGTACTAACAAAACTATCTTGAATACAAAAGCGCATTATTCCTGAAAATTACTCCTGGTAAGAAAGTCAAGGTATCTAAAGAAATTCCTTTCAACGTATCAGCGCGTTATGACAGTATCCCAAGCAAAAGCCCCAGGACCGCTGCTCGATTATGCAGCCAACAAAACCGAGTCGAGACCCCGATAACTGCCAATAGGTGAAAGTGAAATGGACAAACGAACACACACGCGCACACACGCCCGGCTGCTGGTCAATAAAGTAGCTGTTCGGAGCTGGTGAGGCGGAGGAAGCGGGACCGCGTCCTGAGGAAAGGAGGAGGAGGAACAATTAGTGTCGATGGACGAGCAAGGAGGGGGAATTCGATTGAAACGGAATGGGGGATTGGAGGGATGGCAGGCTCCCAACCGATTCAATGGGTTTTCTCCCTCCCGTTCACCGACACTTCAGCCCATCCACAAATACGAATGGCCCGCTATGGTCGTGTATTCAGGGGCCCAAGGGCACGGGCCGTGGCTGTGTTTGCACATTGCTGCTTTGATTCGGAATGGACCATTTTTGAGGCGGTCGTAAAACAGGTGGCTCTAGCCAAGTTTTGGAAAGTTTTGGAAAGCTAAGCGTTTAAATGTGACTTTGAAATCTGAAATACAAATGGAGAGAGTAAGAGAGAGAGATAGGGTGGGGGAGAAATAAAGAGAGAGACAGCCAGTTATTAGAGACCTAGAGCGAAAGAGCGATAGGTAGGGCGGCAAAGGAGAGAGAGAGAGAGAGAGAGAGAGAGAGAGAGAGAGAGAGAGAGAGAGAGAGCGAGAAAGAGAAAGAAAAAGAGACAGTGAGATGGATATTAATAGAATTGGAGAAGAGTGAGATAACTGAAACCTTTGCCTACCGTAGCTCGCAAAAAGCAGGTCAAAGCCGGAAAGGATCGCAGATTGCCTTAAACTATGGCAGTAAAAAAGGACGAGAAAGATAGAGGGGGGAGAGAGAGAGAGGGAGAGAGGGAGAGAGATAGAGGACAAATCATTACGCCTAAAACTCTTTTCAAACATACTGTCAGCAAGAAATGCTTTGCTACCAAACACCACCGACCACGAAAACAAGGTAATTTTAGGATTGAAGGAAGGGGGCCGCCCGCCCGCGCCGGAATGACTGTGAGGATTGCTAGTACCGGTGGAGGCAAAAGAGGAGGAGGAGGACTAGCCCCATTAGCGCCTTCTTTTCCGAGTACGGGGTCATCCCCTGACGGCTAGAAGAAGAAGAAGAAGGCTTCTCAAAACCCCCTACAGGGGTCGTCGCATAGTCCTCACCCTAGCCTATCTCACCCCTAGATCGCCAGCTCCGCCAGCCCCCCAGCCAATCTGCGCGCAAAAAGCAAATGATGCCGCAATGCAGCCGAATTAAAGGTAGATGGGGAGGTGGGGTGGAATAAGGTGAGATAATTGAGATAATAATGATCATAAAATTGAACAGGACAAAAATTGAAAGAGAGGTAGGGCCCTGATTATTTTGAACGAGTAACAAAAATTTCATCATAAAACAGAAATAATAACTGAATTTCCACGTAATAAAGCTAAAAAAATTCGCGAAAAAGTTATTTGGAAATCCGATATAGTATAAGAAAGAGACCATAAATTTTCATTCCAAAAAATTACGAAGGGATTCAGCGTTGTTTCGAGCACGGATGAAAAATTGCCATTATATCAAGATAAATTTCAACATAGGCAAACCAAAAAAGCGTCAAAATGGGACTGGAAAACCCCTGTTTCAAGAGTCACCCTGCAATGACTCAAGCCGGAAATCAAGCCTCCTCCAAAAAAGATAAGACCACCACCGCCTCAGATCACTTCCAACATCGCCCGCCATTTCTATTTACACCCACAGAATTTATAGCTGAAAGTGGCGGGTGTGGCCAAATTCGGGATCCTGGGGAGACGAACGAAGTGGTGGTGGGAGGGTGGGTGGATACCAGGAAAAAGTGCAAAAACGAACCAGCTGGCATCCCTGTGATGTTCTCGTTGTTCTCGATGCGCTCGAGGTGAAATGAGATGTCTTTCTTTTGGTCCTTCAAATTGCCGAGAACGTGGATGAGACGATCCGAGGGGAGGAGAGGGCGGGACTGCAATACAAAAAGGTTATATCGATAATTCATACAAACAGTCTTAATAGGTATGAGCAATAAAACTTCGCAAAATAGCAGATGGACTGGAGTAGATTATTGTAAGGTTGATGGGACATTTTACCGCCTGAGTTCCACCAAAAAACCCGTTCTTTCAAAATTACCGAATTGCACGCAACCATCCCAAAAATTCACAGAAATCCCTTTTTTCAGGATCGGCATGCACTGGAAATGACATATGAACGCGCCCCCCCCCCATCCTCTAAGCTATGTATTGACGTAAAAATGATAAATGAGCGACGATCGTTTTGAAAGTAGATGGTTCGCGGCAAAAGGGGGAGAATACAGGGGGCAGGGGATGCCCCGATGAGGGTAGGGGAGGTGGAGAGGGAGTTGTCTGTACATGGCGATCGATGGATAGGCAGAAAGAGAGAGTGAGAGAATGAAAGATGGGCAGACAAGGGATCGTATGCAAATGTGTACAGCAACGACGGTCTGCGGGCCAATATCGCGATCGCGCACCCACCTCCACAATGACATAATCGGAAATAGCAATCGAAAATTGGCTCCGAATAGAGCGGATGAGTGTATAGGGGTTGTCTGCGAATTACGAAGGGCTTAATTAGCGCTTCATAAAATAGATACGTTTCATAAATTCCTTGGTCACGATTGAAGCTATTAATTCTAAGGTCTTTGAAAGAACTGAATCGGTTTTTTTTGAACCATGGATACTAGGATTTTTACTTTGCTTTTATAGAAGCGGGGACGAGTTTTGAGCATTTTGCTTGAGTTTTTGAAAATCCAACAAGTAGCAAAATTCGTTCTCAAGATTCATCACATTAGTCTTGCGACAGAGCCCACCGATCCGCCATTATCTCCGCCCTCTGCCATACAGGGTCGCCCTGTGTTCCCCTTCCCATCCTCCCATGTGGTCTAGTGGTTAGGATTCGTGGTTTTCACCCACGCGGCCCGGGTTCGATTCCCGGCATGGGAAGTTCTTTTTGCTTTTTGGTGTAGTGGAAGCTCATGCCGTTATGTTGCCCTAGCAAGTTTTTTGAAAGTTTCAACACCCTCAATTTATTCTTTTTATCACCGTTTTCGGGGGCGATTTTGACATTTACCTCTCGGTCCTGTTTTTCAAGTAACACATAGCGACCGGGCCTTCCAATAGAGTGAGCCAGCGTATAAATAACCTGAATAAATTAGATTGAAACCCGTTAATTATACTTACCTCCTCACAAGTCGTGTTTTCCGTCAAGCCGCTCAAAGTTTGTTGTTCGCCAAATACATTAACTGTCAGGTCCATCTTAAAATTATCGTTGGCAGCTGACAGGTGGCAATAAGAAATAGGCTTGACAAGAATGGTGCGGCATGACGGAGGACAAGTTTTTGGGCTTTCAACGTTCAACAAGCGCACAATAGGGCGACCGGGGGCACGGCAAGAATTCAGGTCTTGAAGTCAGCCGACCCGGCGCCTTGCCGTTATGCTAAATTTGTATGGAACGATGCGCCACATAGGTTGGGGGCCTAGATCAAAAACTTGGGTATGTGATGAAGGTGCTGCAGGCCACTTCGCTGCTACCAAGTACATTTGCAAACATTGACTGCATCTATCAAACAAATATTTACGCAAAAACGGGTCAGTTACTGCTCCCGGGGTGGTTAGATGAAAAGTACAACATCTATTCAAATTTTGAAAGGTTTTCGTGTAAACTTCAAAAATGATTTGTCCTATTTTCTGTAATTTGTTTGAATTCCGTCTTGTCCGACGATATTAATCCCGCGCCTGCACATGCACACCAATTATTCCAGTAGGAAATAAATTTATCACTAAAAACTTTTTCGCAGCTCTATTGAAATTAGGGGCAAATTTCGAGGTTTTAGCGATTTTTACTTGTGTTTCAGTTTCCAAGACTTTCCTTAGTTACTATATTAAAATGGTTTTTCATGTTTTTTTTATTTATGCTTTCGTTTCAGCCATTTTTCCGAGTAATTTTGTGGAGACGCGTGTTCGGCTGGGCCGTTTTTTGCAGATCCCAGCCAGTCCAATGCGTGGTCCCCGGGCCGAAAAGGGGCCCCGAGACTTCCAAACTGAGACCACCATGTAGAATAATCAGGGTGGTCGCGGCCTACCGCTGTCGACCTACCCCAAACCCATCGGAATTTAGTCGAAACGCAGATGCTTGTTTGCAACAAGGGAATCCAAACCAATATTTATCAAAATTTCTGTCTTATTCATAACGGTTCTAAAATTTAAATATACGGATCAAAATCCAATTAAGATAAAAATGATACGATTATATTAGATGTATATGGTTTCTTTTTGTTAATAAATTTTGTTAATTTTTGTTAATTTGATTTTGGGTAAATAAGGTAGGGAATCCAAGTCAAATTATAGCTCTTCATAAATTCTCGCACAGCCAAAAAGGGAATGGCTTTAGTTGAAATCGGTAAGGTAAGTTAAGAATTTGCGTTGCTACGTTCCATCACATGGCTCTGGAAAACAACTAAAAAAGGGATTCCGGCATTTTTCAAGGTTCTAGGGTCGGAGCATATGAAACCTGACAAAATATTCCAAGCGAAACTCCTGGGGACAACGAGTTCAGTTCGTCATTTGGAATGAGGCCGAGGCTCAAAATTGGCTCCAGAGAGGCTTAAAAGAGCAAAGGGGGAATGTTTTTGGGGAGGTTAAAAGAGCCGATGTGATGGAAGGAAGTCTTGTAGACGCCGTTGAGTGCCCTCAAGCCTAGTGTATGGCTCTTTCCAAGAATTGTAAAAATACGTGACAAGAGATTGCTCGAAAACTATAATTCAATGTGGGAGGGAGTCAAGTGTATCGCAAGGAGGTGAAGTTCAGGTATTCAGGAAATCTGACATCTAAGACGTTATGTACAGACCAAAGTTCGGTGTGTGAAGGTGGTTTGGCTTGTATGTGGGGAAAGGTAGGAGCGAAGATGATGGTGTTGGGTCTCTGCCAGCCGCGGCAAACAATACGCATACTCATATGGCAACGGCCATGAGTAAACATGCGCCCCCAGGGCCGTCCATCATCCACAAGGGCCAGCTCGTTTTACGATTTTCATTAGCACACAAGGACTATCCATTGTTGATTTACCTGGATTATTTTATATGGTAGAAAATTTCGATAAATTAGCAAATATCCTATTCTTGAAAAGCATAAAATAAATACAATTAACGAATATGGTCATTAACTAGAGATCAGAAACAAGTATAATAAACATGGCTAAATTTTCTGGCAAAAGGAACATTTACTACTATAAATTCATCTAACAAAACGCGGCTCAAACTTCGTAAAGCGATCAGAACCACCCGACAAATGTTTTTCCGATTGCAAATCCACCCGACTGGCAACTAGTACGACAGCTGTAGCCTACCGAACAAAGAGTCAAATGGGACCTTCGCGCGTTTTTCAAAATGTTGGTTGCTGAAGGGGTTGTGGGATAACCTTGGATGTCCTCCCCCATCCTATCTGTTTTCCCACCTCCTCCGGCCACCCGGCGGGCCAATAAAACGAACGGTCTTCGCACCACCCGATGCGGGCTCGAATAATTACGACCTTAAATGGATTCATATAGGTTTGGGTTGATAGCAGATGGAGGAACATTGGTCCGAAACCAACAGGTATAGTATAAAATGCCAATTTGAACATCAATGCTTGAAATCTATGTGGAAAGCGGATTTAGTAAAGATGTCGGAAAAAAGTTCTCTGGCTTTTTATCCACAAAGATCGGGGAAGAGCGGTGTTTTGGTGAATAATCCCGTCTGCTATTTTCTTTCTACACAGCTCCTCCCAAAACTACGAAAAGGCGCGTGGGGTCTCGAAGCTTCGTCGAAAAATCGTTACGATCGGGTGTACGTGACGCTTCTGAATACGAAGGCACTTACGGAACGTCATCTCTGTTTCGAAAGAGACAAAAAAATAGAGAAGATGATTTTTGCACCGCGCAAAAGTCAAACTAAATTCAAGAATCTCTTAATGCAGTATTTCGTAGCCAATATAAACATTAAACTCAATATACATTGGAGTATAAAATTTACATATTCAAAAGGTCCCCTCAAACAACAAAAGGTCTCTTTGAAGGCCAATGTTTTTTCCCCTGGCAGACGCCTGCCTTAAACAAACATTTTGTTCCTAACAATTTCCGGTTTTCCTACTTTACTTTGATGTTCGTTTGTTGCAGATATCGGCGGTGGCCCACTCCTATTTGTGTGTCGTATTCGTCTCTCGGAATGCGCTATCTTTCGTTGCCTGCGTCCTCTTCTCCTCCCCATTCTCTGTCCCCGGCCCAGACCAGCGTTTTCTCGAACACGTGTGCGTATTTGGCACAGGTACAATCAGTCCATCCGAAACGCTATGAAATTGCCGGCTGTTTTACATGTTATGACCTGACATTGATTTTGAGGCGTAGTGTTTCGTATTTGCTAGAAAAACTGGCGAAAAAAGCGTCAGAGTAGCACTAAGAAATAAAAATTTTCGATCCTTGGCGATTTTTTAATTAGCAATAATTTTTACTTAGATTGTTAATATAACCCTTGAATTCTATAAATAATTTTCAGGAAGACGGCCCAACTAGCAGTAGCTGTTAGAAAATTCTAGACGGCCGATGGGCAATGTGGAAGGGCTGGATCGTCATGGCCGGGCTGGTTATTCTGGTCGTCTGCCCGATAATAGCTGGCCAGCGACTCGATTCTGATGTGGAAGATGGACAGGTAGAAAGTGATCAGCATCAGCAAATAAACCGATTTTCCAGGTCGAAGACGTCGTTCACGAATCTGCAGAAGCGCCAGAACCTCCGGTCCAGATCGAAGAACCAGAATCCTGTACAACCTATTCAGAATCAGCACCTCCATGCTGTGGAAGCCCAGCACACTTGGCAAATACGCATTATCTCCTCGTAAGTGGAGACCCAAGAGTATAAGTTTGATAAATTTTGGGTATCCACCATGGACGGAACCATCAAGGCACTTGACGTCGGCCGTGATGGCGAGATTGCGTGGGAGGCGAATTTCGATGCTCAACCCCTCATGAGTGGATCCATCGGTAAAGTTCAGGTTGGTAAACTCACTATAATCGGAAACAAGTCAATTTTACAGCCAATGTCCTCCGAAGGAAGAAGCATCCAACTGGTCCCAGCGCTCGACGGATCGCTCTACATGTACAGCGTTGACGAGCGAATCCTCGAACCAATTCCGCTCAACACCGAGTCGTTGCTTCAAGCTTCTCTAAGGATTGGGCACGAAGCGGTGGCTGGGGGCAAGGTTGTGACGACCACTGGAGTTGATCCGGTGTCCGGCAAGGTGCGCTACCACTGCAGCCTCGACCAATGCGACAAGCTCTCCACCGATGAAGCGCATGCGACTTTGGTTTTCCGAAGGACAGGGAACTCGATTCGAGCTATGGATGGACTTACAGGCTCGGAAAGGTAGGTAAATTTGATGCGGTACCATTGCAAAGTTCTCCTTTAGTTGGAACCTTTCGATTGCTGAATACGAAGCCACACTGCTTATCAAAGAACGCGCTAACGTGAAGAAAGCGGCACCACGTTTTTCTTATCGAGTTAGTCCTCCTGAAGGTAAAGTCTATTTTTTTTAATCAATATTAGAATTTAGGCATCATCACCGCCTATGATAGCTGTGGTGAGAAATGGACGATCAGCGTCGGCAAGCACGTGGCTCATTTGTGGGAGATGAGTGGCAGCGAGATAAGAGAGGTATTTAGAAAATTCACTTTTTTCATAGCGAGTTTCAGGTTTCGCTGTTTGAGTCAAGAAATATACATACACTCTCCGCGGAAGATGAGATCGCGGCTCGGCATAAGATGCCGGTCCAGGAGACTGAATCGTTATTTTATCTTGGTAATTGGGTGCAATATTTTAAATCTGATTTAGGAACCTTCAACAACCTTCCTTTCATTATCCACTCGCCATATCTGAAATCTGAGTCCTTACGGTTGGGCTCTAAGCCTTCCAGGTTAGATATCAAATTATTGTAAATTCTTTCCTTACAGAGAATTCATCGAAGGGCGTGAGCGACAACTCCTTCCAGCAGTCCGAAAGACCTATTTCGAAGAGCCCACCACACTTGTCGATATGCTTTCGAACTCCTACAAAGGATTGGTGGCAAAACGAGTACAAGCTGCAGAAAATGACAACAACAAACAAGTGGCGATTCGAAAGGAACGCGGTAAAAAAGGCGCAACACAACCCGAAATTCTGTATTCAGACCGACGATCGTGTTTCTATGATGAAGACGTTGCCTTGATTGGCCAATCGGACATTCGAAGCGCGAAGTTCCCCGCACCATCGGATGATGAAGCCACGACAGGTACAACAACTAACCGATAAAACCAGATTGTTTAGATGACGGCTACTTTATCATGCGCCGTACATCCCCGCGACAAGACTGGTTACGTCGCTCCAACAGCATAATGCCCAATATCAGACGCCGCCTTCGTGTGGATGAGAATGTCAGCGGGTGGTGGTAAGAAAAGCAAAAAATATATTATGCAAACAATTCAGGAGAGCAATTGCACTTGGTGTGACGATCTTTGGAGGAATTATAATAGGCGCCCTGTATCGGTCGTTCGATCGCTTACGTGAATACCGCCGTCGCCCACAGTTGGAAGCCATTAGATCCCCCGAGTCCGTCGAAACATTGTATCCAGCGGAGACTCCTGCTTCAGGAAGTACAACTGCTACCGAGGTACTCTATCGCTCTAAAAAACTAACAGCCTTATTTTCAGGAAGTACTTCAACGCTTGGCGCCAACGAAATCCGTATCGACTGATATCTCCTCGGGTCCAGCTCCGGTCACAACAAGAAGCAGCAACCAGAGCTTCACCGAAGCACCTTTTGAATCGAAGTAATTGGAACCCGGAGCTAGCAATATAATAAATGGTTTTTCAGGTTCTCTCAGGACTTCGAAGTCCTTCGATTCCTGGGCAAAGGAGGCTACGGGGTTGTTTTCTCTGCCAAAAACAGAATGGACGAGAACGTGTATGCCATCAAGAGAATCGCTGTCGCGCAGGATAGAGCTATCGAGCGTGTGCTTCGTGAGGTTAGCAGCGAAAAATCGGCTTTAGCATGTTTCCAGGTTCGCGCAATGGCAAAATTGGACCATCCTGGGATCATCCGATATTACCACTCCTGGATGGAAAGACCACCGCCAAACTGGCAGGCAAGAAAAATGGCGAGCACTCCTACGTCGTTTTCAGGAAGACAGTGATAAAGAGATGCTAAAGGCCCTCCGTCTGGCCAAGAAGAACAAGGAAAACGGTATTGACGAGGAGAGCCACCAACTTGAGAATATCAGCCTCCCACCTGCGGTAGGGGAGAGCCAAGGCCCGAAACGTGAGGTTCTACCGGACGACCCGCAACCCAGCCAGGATACAAAGTAAGTTATCAACAATCAACTTTACGCAAAATTTCAGTGTTGATAATAGCATGGAACGCTTCAACCCACTACGCCCTGATACTCTGGAACCAATCCCATCCGATCCGAACCAGGTCTCGAACGTATCGGATTCCGGCTCTTGGCTTGGCGGTGATAAAGAAGGAGACAATCCAGCTTCTTCTTCTACCTCATCGGATAGTTCAGATGACGAACGTTCTTCTGGAAATTATAAAGGTAGCCTCATTTCACAGGCTCCACTTTTATTTTAGCTCCCCTGAAAGACGAGTCTTCGATGATCATCTTCGGCGAGGCATCAACCTCAAACCGAACCCGCCAGAAGTCCTTCAAATCAACTTCTTCGCAAGAAGTTTCGCGCATCGAAGCCCCAGCGGTGCTCATCACCTCACAGGACAACGATCTGCTCCCATCGAAAGATCGAGAGATCAAGTCCCATGCATATGTGTATATTCAAATGCAGGTACAAACTATAACTCGCTTCCATAACCTTCTTTCAGCTATGTCAGTCCAAGACCCTCTCCGACTGGTTGAAGCGCAACTCAACATTCGATGCCAGGAATTTACATCGTATGCGCAGCTGGTTCCAACAACTTGTCGAAGCTACACAGTACATCCATGAACAGGGGATGATTCATCGTGATATCAAGGTACTCCGGTCAATCAATATTTTAATAGATTGTTCCAGCCCCAAAATATCTTCTTCGCTTCGGACGATGTTTTGAAAATTGGCGATATGGGGCTGGTCTCCAAAAACTTGAGTGCTGAGGATGAATTTGCGGGTGAGTGTTGGTAGTAGCAAATGAATATCCAAAAATTCAGGTATAGCGGCATTTGAAGATATGAGACACACAGGTAATGTTGGTACGAAGAGCTACATGAGCCCAGAGCAGGTAAATCCGAAATTTTCTATCTAATTGAATGATTTAGCTTGCCCATAAGCCATACACGTTGAAAGTGGATGTCTTCTCGCTTGGGGTGGTGTTCGTCGAGATGATTTTACCATTCGCGACAGCTATGGAGCGGCTACAAACCTTGGCACAACTTCAAAAAGGAAAGGTTCCGCCGGAGTTGGACAACTTCCCCAAAGAGGTACGAGTAGAAAGCCTTGAGACTTAGTTAAGTAATTTCAGAAAGAATTCGTGCAGCTGCTGTGTGCCAAAGACCCAACCCACCGACCAACATGCTCTCAAGTGCTCGAAAGCGCATATATTCAGGGAGAATGCCTCCGGAGGCGTCGCCTTTCCCGACAACCATCTTCTAGACATAGTGATGACGATTCCTAGCTTGTTATGTACATTTTGTAAGGTTTTTGTTAACGATGTGATTCACCTCTGTCCACTTGTCATTCGATACCTCGTGTGATACGACTAGATGCTACTGTTCGGTTACACTCCGCCTTCCCGACACTTTTCCTTGCTACCGGTACGGTAAATCTACGGCCTGAATTTTTAGTTTGTTCAATGTACATACGTGTAAAAATAAAGGAATTTGGGTACAAGCTATTGGTCCAGTATGAAGTATAAATGCTCGGAATAATGAGAGATTTTCTTTCCGTCGTGCTATTTATAAGGTGCTATTAATAACTAGAGAACGTCATTTTTGGAACACCCTATATTCCGTTGACTTTTTATGAGCTTTTCAATAATGACCTCGCCCCTTTCAGCAAGAAATGTTCGCCAAACCACACGGATGCACAGATCGAGGGCGGGCCTGAAAGTGAGTCATCGATTATTGACATTGCCGTTTTGAGTTTCTCGTGTGTTGCATCCTCACCTAGTCCCTTTCTTCCCCATTTCCAGCCAGGCCACAAACAACAAATCTGTGCCTTGCACTTCGGGACAACCACTAGAAACTGCCGCGTTGCTTCTTTCCCGGCTATTAACATGTTTTGGAGTTGAACTATGGCACGCGCCCGGATTTTTGCGGTGTTTACGCTATTTTTAGATTGTTCACTTTGCAGGAACATTTCGTAGCAACTTATTTTTCAAAACCCCCTTAGTTACCTGGGGTAGTCAAGGGTCTTTTGCTGTTTCTTCTTCCTTTTCCTCAAAATACATAACCTCGATTCTTTTGCCTTCCAAAATACACTACCCCCGCTAGATTCTGATTTCTTACAATGACACTAGACTGGCACTATCCATTCATTCTCGCCTCATATCAAGCATGCTGCGCCCCTTATCGGCTGTCAATCGCTGGAAATTGTCTGTTTTCTCCGAATCCCACCCTCCGAAAATGCCATCCGGCCCCCCTTTTTTGCCTCGTATACAAATAGATGAGTGGCGAGCAGCAGCCTGTTTCACACAAATGGCACACCTTGAGTCAGTTTTGGCGTGATTTGAAATTCAAAAATGCACCGCCTTGTGTGGAATCTCTAAGTAGTCGATTTTGGGTTTGCCCAGCAGCCTATACGATTTTTTAAAGTCTGGATGTAAATTCTGTTCCACGACAGCGTTCTTTTCTTCCGTTTTTTTGCCTGTCGCCCAGATGTGCGGTGCGTCTGGCATACTCATCGTTGTGGAAAACAACATTTTCCACCACAGGAATCGTAAAGCGCTTCATTCTCATTTATCCAGTATTTTTCTCTCCAATTCGTTCTAAATAACTTTTCTGTTACCAATTTACCACCAATGCGATTTACCACCATTACCAATACCTTACCACCAAAATGACCACTAATACGTTTACCGAAACCTTTATTGGTAGTACTTCCTGAATGTACTTTGCGTTTGTTAGTGGGTTGGTTTATTGAATTTCTTTTTCCATTCTACTATTTTTTTATTTAGTTTTAATAAATTTCATTTTCTTTGTCTGCATTCTACCATTTATTTTTGCCCACTTTTCTGATCCATAGGTTACCAATACATTTCGTGATAACTGGTGATACCGAGATCGTATTCTTAACTTCCTACGACCTCGCGTCACGCCGTTTTAGCTTTGCCACCGCCGTCACGGGTCAGTGACCACCAGATCATCTTTTTTGGGACCAGATGCCAACTGTGAGGGCAAATACTTGGAGCATATGCCAGTTGTTACAAACCTTTCCCACAGCGCATCCTCAGACCCCCTGTGGCGTTGACCCTCCACTGACCCTCACGTGATTTTTGGCCAGCCTTCTTTTCTTCCGGCCGAGATAATGAGCGCTGGTCGCCCATTAGACCATCGGAATGTTGGCTGGAAATATTATTCATGGATGCCTACATTTTATAGGGTATTTCTCGATGAGTTCAGGAAATTTTATCCATTAAATACAAATATCTGGCTAATTGTAAAAGCAAACACCCTTCGTTCTTTTTCCAGGGGATCAGGGGTTCTTTCTGTATCTGATGACATACTCAAGGGTGTCAATGACCTTAAATTCATAAACGCATTAATGACGGCGCTATGGTATAAAACCCGCACCAATGATTTCTTAGATATACTTTTATGTGAAAATCGCTTATTTGATCCACCTGATCCGCAGTTGGCTCGTTGTGGTTTTCGCTGAATCCACTCCGGTCATACAGTGCTAATTTACCTTTAATCCATCCACATCTCTAGACCAATATCCTTTAAGCCCTCGTTGCATTCTTGAATTTCCTAAAAACCTGAAATTTTCAGAATGAGCGATGCATCTCTGGTCTCTCTGGCCCCAGATGGCAAGCCAAAAGGGAATCGAGTCTGGGTTGATGGATGGTAACCTAATTTTTCTCGCTCAAACCTTCGAGTTCAGCTTTGACATGGTCCACTTCGGACACTCGAATCAAATTCGACAAGCGAAACAATACGGGAAGTGCCTAGTCGTTGGTGTACATACTGATGAAGAGGTTCGTTGACGTCATTTTATGCAAATATTAGATGTTGTTTAGATCAGCGTGAACAAGGGACCACCGGTCTTTACCGAAAGGGAGCGTTATGCAATGGTCAAGGCCATTCGATGGGTGGATGAGGTGGTTGAGGGAGCACCATACACGACTACCGTAGAGACACTAGACAAGTATAGATGTGATTATTGTCTCCATGGAAGTAAGGAAATTTGGTATATAAATACAAAATATGTTAGATGATATTACATTGGATGCTGATGGCCATGATACTTATGCGGCAGTGAAAAATGCTGGGCGATATCGTGAGACGCAACGTACTCAGGGAATTTCCACATCGGTGAGTGGTTAAGGTATCGAAAAAATAGTTTGAAATTAGGACTTGGTCGGTCGGATGCTTTTGCTTACAAAAAGCCATCACGCCAAAGATGATGGGCTATCAGATGAACACTCGGAAAGGGCCCGGAAGCTGAGTACGGTAGGTATAATTAAGACTTTAGCACTTATTCCTCTATAGTTAGCATAGAGAGACGCAGCACAAAATCTGTATATCAAGTTAATAACAAAAAATTCCCCGGAAGCACAAGGAGAGCATATGTTTATATGCTTCGCAAAAGTGCTTAAGCCTTCCCTTCGCCATTTCCGCCCGTTATATATTCCCCCAGTTGTAGAAGGGCCTGGCTTCTTCCTCCCCTATTTCTCCCTTCCCCCCCATCCTGCCGCCCCAAAAGCTATTCCTTGCTGTGCCCCAGGCCGTTGTAACAGAGATGTGGAGTAGCGATTCGCCACTAACCGACCCGCAGCTTCCCCCATCTCCCGCGAAAGCTTTTCTTTATCGATTTAATAATCCCTAGTCTAGAGTGTCGGTTGGTACTTCACCCAGATCGATCCGTCGGAGGGGGTTGATAAGGGATTTTTTTGGGGGATCGCAAATTCTCTCGACTGGTTGCCAGTTCTATAATTGACACTGCGATAAGGTGTCGTTGCGCTTTTGGCCGTTGAACGGTGAATCGAACCGGGTTGATCGATTTTAGATTTTTCATATGTTTTTCATAGACTACAGGGTGGCTGATAAGTATCCGGAATGACTTTAAAATTGCCCAACAAAGAAAGCTCCTTCAGTTTTATGACTTGTTTTCTTTTTTATTGTATAGAACATGGCTTCCGTAAAGTTTTTTACAACTGATCATGAAACATTTGACCTGCTTAGAATATTGGCACGCCAAAATCAAACTTTAATTTTGCGGTCAGGGACGTTTTTCGCCGAACTTCAAAGTCACATATCTTGAGAAAGAAATGTTTTTGAAAAGTTTTCCCAACTGATCTTGTCATGGCTCCAGGCGCTGAGCATTTTGACATATTAAAAACCTGATTTGGTGGAGAGTTGCGCTTTTGGTCGCTGAACGGTGAATGGAACCAGGCTGATTGATTTGAGATTTTTCATATGTATTTCATTAACTAGTATGTTTTTATACGTTGGGATTTAATGGGCATAATCTGTGTGTTTTTATAGAGCGAAGACGGTGAGACCCCGTATACGCGGGTCTCGCGCTTTGTCGCGACGACCCGGACGATTCTCGAATTTTCGTCTGGCCGAACACCGAAGCCAAATGACAGGGTAGGAATAACCTTCAAAAGTGTCAAATACTAATTATTCTAATTATAGCCGTTTGAAACTTTTATTCTAGCAATTGCGCATCACCTCCTAAAAAATTCCAGATCGTGTACGTCTGCGGTTCGTTCGACCTCTTCCACTATGGCCATTTGAAATTCCTGGAAGAGGCTCGCAAATTGGGCGATTACCTCATTTGTGGGATTCTTGGTGATTCGGTGAGTGTTTTGCTGCGGCTTTTCCCTCCGTCCGGGCCACAAATCAGTCGTTCCGAAAATTGGCAACTTTGGGAAGAGGAAGTGAGGTGGAATGAACGAAAAAACTTTAGACCGTGAACTCGTACAAAGGTGGAAATCACCCGATTATGAGTCTGCACGAGAGGGTGTTGACGGTTCTAGCTTATAAGGTATGCTTCAACGAATATTCGTAGAAATTTTAATTTTTAGCCGGTTGACGAGGTGGTCATTGGTGCGCCCTATACGCTAACCGAAGAAATGATAGATCGATTTAATATTTCGGTTTGTACTACTTTACCAAGTCAATCGATTGTCCTCAGGTTGTTGCTCAAGGCTGCGAAGTCCCACATCATGAGCACGATTGTCCAGATGCTTTTGGAGCGGCCAAGCTGCGCGGAATTTACAAAGAAGTAAAAATATTTTTACTGCCATTTTATACTATTCCTTTAGGTGCATTCCGGCTCCAACCTGACCACCGATCTCATCATTGAACGGATTATCCGTAATAGGTATACAGTAAAATAATGATTTTCATCTGTCTGATTTTAGAATGCTATATGAGACTCGGAACCGGAAAAAGGCAAAGAAAGAGGCAGCTGCACTGGAGGCTCTGCAAAAATTACAGGTAATCCTGGAGACTGCGCTGCTTTCATAAAGCATTGGTTTTTGCAAAGGCGCAAAGCACAAGGCGATTCGTCACCGAGTTTGATCCCTTGGTTATTTTGCTGACAAAAACATAGGAGACTTAAAAAGAAACGTTCGCCTAGTGGAGCGTGAGTGCTGATGACAGCCTGGCTATGTAAAGTTATTCTACCAAAAGGGTGTCTCTTCCATATTCTGCCTTTCCTTTCAGGGCGACACGACCAAAGCCATTGTGGTGACCGCTGAAGCGGCGGAGAGGGCCGAGCCCACGAACAAGTGGCTCTGAACTTCCACCCACGCCCCTCGAGCCTTCTTTTACTCTACCACCATCAGCCACCCCCACCTTCTCGTGCCCAAACATTCTTCACCTAGAACTTCCAAGAATACCCTGCTTCCTCCTTTTTTGAGAGTTCTAGTTCCTTCTAAAGGATATAATTAATTTCGTGGCTATATTAGCGCTGGCCTTATGCAAAGCAATCCAAACTTCAGTCTTGGGATTTTATAGAGCTTCCGGTTCATACTCAAATCTAAATTTTTACATGCAAAACATCAAAATGTTTACTTTCCTTATATAGCCGACCCACTTTGGACGTGATTTGCATACAAAAATTTGGAAATTTTAATAAAAACAAACAGCTTAATTTAATCCGATTTGACGAAGGTTTTGATTTGAATAATACTAATTCTGGTTTCTCGCTGAATATCAAGTCTATCTAATCTTTTCCAAGCCATAACTGCGAATTTTTGTGCCCACATCTGCCTGATCGAAGTATTATGTGTCCATATGGTGATCAACTCTAATGTGCCAATCCCGCCCATCAACCCCCACGCCATTGTATTGCTTCCTATTTCGTTATGGTCTTCTAATAACCACCATAAGCTCGCACTAGTTTGCCGACGCGCCCTGCCAAACTGCTTAAATGACCCTGTTGACTCGTCGCCCAGCCAAGAGATCCCCCTTCCAAAAGCTAATGAAAATTCGCATCCGGCTTACGCGCTCTCTGGATAATTTACTGCAAAGAAGTGATGACTGTTTAACATTTCTTCCCGGAAATGCGCTGAATCACGCCTTGCAATTACGAATTTCATTTTGCTGGGGTCCTGCAAAAAGCCGTCCCACGCAACACTCTGTCTGACCGCGAGGAATATGACTGACTAATCCGATAATTGGCAAAAATATTGTTGCTTGTACTTTATTAAAAAATTAAAGATACGCGCGCTATAAACACTCAGATTCGTTTGCAAATATTCCCCAAAAATCCCCCGCATCCCTCTCCCAGGAAGCTTTGCGGGCCCCCGCCGTTCAGAATTATTCACCCCACTGATGCCATTTTGACATTTGGCCCAACGTCGGCAAACTATTCGCGCCACGCCCACTTTGTAAAAATGACGGCACACTACCGTAGTTACCCCGTCCAGGTCTGAAATCATGGCTTTAGCCGCTTTTTTGCCGAATCCAAGGAATAACCCAAAATACTCCAAAATAGCCGATGCATCTTTCCCGCCAAAAAATTTCCATTTTTCCCATTACCCCTCCTGGGGGCGGTGCAAAAAGTGTCATTTTTCTTGAATTCCGGGCAGTCTCCATCTGGTGGCCGCGTTGAATGATGCGAGGGTCATTCCTCATTGCAGGAGACCCGAATTTTTTGGGGCGGAAATGTGTTTGCTTTTGATGCTTTTATGAAATTCAATCTTCATCCCTCATCCGCTTTTACCGGGCTTTAGCGCGGTTTTACCCCCGTTTTTTTTTCTGGCATTCCCGCCCACCCGTTTTTCCATGGGGACACGGTATTATGCAAAAATTGTAATCTTTTTGTATGTTTTTCTCGTTTTCGAGTCTTCCCCCTCCCCCCTGCCGACCGGGCCATGAATTTCTCCCAATGGTTAGTCTAGAACGATTAAAAATTGCTCTAGCTTTCTACCTGGCCGATTTTTTCATGTGTTGCCCGGTTCACTTCGTTGTTGTGAATCCCATGTTGTGTGTGAAACTGTATTGTGTGTGCTATGCGCTACTCAAAAATTCCATACTTAACACTAACCTTTCCTCCCCATATTACTAGTGGCAATTTGTGCAAAGTGAGACCAAACACCCGATTCTGAGATTTGATCTGATGCCATCTAAAGTAGTGCATTGGGTGTTTGTTTGTGCTGAATTGTAATAGTGTGCTTTATCGGAGATAAAAATGGCTATGAAAAGGTAACATGGTAACTGGGTGCAGCACACACAATACAAGCAAGGCTGGGTGAAGGTGGGCTGATGTCACTAGATGCAATCGCGGGGATGGAATTAGTTTTTGTGCGTAGCTATAGGCGGTTCATTGGGGGTAAACAAGCAGCTCCAGTTTGGTCGGTCCGGATTGTTGCGTAGTGCATTAAATTTGAGATACTGTAGGCTCGTTAATCATTTTGTGATTTTCTATGCAGGTCATGAGAACCTAATGAGTTCAACGGCTCACAAAAGTGGTCAAATACCACCTGATTTTCAGTTTTAAGGCATTTTTAGGGCGCAGGCACATATAAACTGAAAACAATGGCACTGATTTTTGATGTCACCCGGATTAGCCACCATTTCCTTTTTGGAATTTGTACACCCCGCAATGAAAGGGCATCTTCATTCGCAACTCTGTCGGAAACCAGCCCGGAAACGGCAACGTGAGGTGCCGAAATTCGTGATTTCCTGTAGTATTTTTACGCGTTTCCATCGTCCCCATTTATCCGCATGACGAGGGAACGTTCCCAAATCAAATTTACGCTTTCTAAAAAGAGCCCCGGTGACAAGGTGTTGATATTGAGCCCCTCACCACTAATCCGAGATTATTCGTCAGATACCAACCACCAAATGGGGTTGGACGATTGTTGTTAAAATTGGAGGTCCATTGAAGGGTGGCTGCAAAAACGGGGCCGTCGCACATCTCGAGTGAGTGTTTTGGGGCTTGTAATTAATATTCATGGAGTGCGTGATTATGCAAGTTGGAGCTGGGGACCTTGATCTTACTTCGTATAGGATCTTATATTTATTCTGGGTGCAACGGGGGTGGATGTAAAGTGAAAATCTTTGACGTGTTTCAGGTCCTAAACTCAGAAAAGTTAGTCCTGCCATTGGTTCATTAAAGATCAAGTCCAGAAGGCAACGTTAGTTTTTCTCAACGTCTGAAGCATATGGCTTCCCCGTAGAGTAGTACATCACAGCATGTAATAAAGTCAACCTGCCGGTGATGCCTAGCCAACCAATAGACCAATATCATTTCCTAGAATATTGGCCATATTTTTAAGTCGCACCACAATTGTTTCAAGATCTCCCAGCGCTGCTCGTACTTCCAAAACCAGGAACCCAATTTCGATAGCCAGGATCGTTATGCCATAGACAGCTGCAACCATCCATTTTTTCACAGAACCAGAGCATGTTTCTTCATCCCCTTCTAAATGCCGACCGCCTACCCGCAATGTCTGAGTGACTGATTTCTGTTTCTCTTTCATTTTCAGACGACGTCAGCGGCTAACGGCCCCCCGTGGGCCACCGTCTTGGCCAGGTGCGCGAAGAAGCTTTTTCGCGCTCCGGCGAAGGGTGGGGCTGGGGGTGAGCAGGTGGTTCGGAGGGCGGGCGAGGCCGCGCTTCTGCTTCACCTGGGCTCCGAGCCAGGCCCCGAGCCAGGCCTCCGCTCTCATTCCACCACTTTTCCGATCCGGGGTTGTCCCGCTTGGGACGCTTGATCAGATTATAGCGGGGGAGTGTGTGCCTAATTTTAAGTATGACCTGGGCTTTGGCACCAGAAAAATCCTGGTTCACTTTGGCTAAGTTTCGCATTCTGTGGTTGTGTATTTGGAGCTCAATTTGTTAAATTTGTGAAAACTATGTTGCTCGGGCTACTGTACCGAACTTTTCGAACTAGACACTTTTTCGCTAAATCAAGCAGGTAAAAAAGCGTCAGATTCTTCTTAAAAATACTTTAGACACTTAGTAAAAGATGTACCCTTATTAATCGGAGGATTTGGGATTTGGAGCTTTGTTGGAATGGGCTGCAAAAAATTTTAGCTCGGTTTACGGTGACGAAATTTCGATACTGACCGCTTTTCCGGTAAGGTCGGGGCGATCATACCAGCATCAGGTTCTCCTCTTGCCAAAATTCTGTCACATTCTAGTAAAAGATGTACTGACGCACTCAGATTAATGAACCCCGAATCCTGTGGGACATTCTATAGAAAAAAGTTATCAAAACAAGCTGCCGACAAGGCCCTGCTCAACCCAGAAGACCACAACGCAAATCATAAAATGCAACGAAAACCCAATTTCTCGGCATCGCCCCGATCGGTCCAATAACTTTGTTGCCCTTTGTCATCAGCTAGATTTTTTCGAGTTGCCTCTTATTATATGCATGGAAGACGTGGGGGGTGGGGGAGCGGCGCTCTTCCGCGAAATGTCTGGAGCTCTTTGGGGACTACGCAAAGCGCAGTCGGGGCACGATTCTCGATGGATTGGGCCATAAAATGTTCGGCGCGTCACACTTCGCAACGTTTGGATGGTCTTTTGTTTTTTGAAAAATTGTTTGGAAAGATTTTTGTTGATTTATAATCTATTGTATCATGCAATTGACATATTTTCGGCTTTCCACGGAGCTATCGTTCGCTAAACTTAACATTTTGCCAGGTAATCCACGTCAAATTGTGATGCGGTCGCTGCTAGTCTTGTTCTTGTTCTTCGTCGCCTGCCTGGCCATCAGCAAGGTATTTTCACTTCCCCGAACGCTCATCCGAAAAATGTTCCCCCCTTCGGGAAACCATTGGACCCACGCCAATCACGAAATTGTAGCTTTGCCCCGTTTTGGACTGGCTCCACGTGTTTGACGCAAGCAAATCTATTTTTTCCAGAGATCCACAGATGAATGCAGTGCGAAATGTGTTGGTGGTCGGATGACGATGACCTGCTGTGAATGCATTGGATGCCATCAAGGTTCCGTTACCGTACACCCATCCTAAACTTTCCAAATTCAGGAATGAGATTCGGCAAGCGCGCGGAAGCACCCATGTTCTACGATATGCCCCAGGAACCAGTCATCCAACTCTACGAAATCGGTAAACTTTTTTCTCTGACATTTTCCATACCTCCCACGCCCCGAAAAAGGCAATTTTTGGGGCAATCAGATGAATTTCTTGAGTCTGGCCTCACCACATGTCATGCAGGTGTTTTATAGCTTTGCACCTGCGCAAGCATTTTCCCCTTTCTTGCCTGTTCGCGTTTTAGTACCAATATTTTTCGACAATATCAAGGGGGTTATTGTCCATAAATATTCATTGGTTAGTGTTTTGTTTAAAATGTGTAATATGGACTAAGAGGATAAATACTAATTGAATGATAGATGAAGTGAGGGCTAAAAACACTTTTTTACTTTGCAGACGACAACTCATACATGCTGCCAATCGTGCGACAACAGCGCTCGCCCCGTTACATATTCTATTAGATGCCAAATACAGTATCTCGTCAGTGCGCTTTGTTGTGAACAAAAATCCTTTGTAACCATCCGCTTGATCTCTTATATAAACCCTCCGCTCATCTCATTCCTTGTTCCCCCTGCACTTCTTCAGCGTCGTCGTCGTTGGCCAGTGTGCATTCTGTGAATAAAGGGCAATGCTCGTGTTTTTAAAGCATTCCCGGAACAAATCGGGGACTCATTTCTAACGAGATGCAGGTCGGGCGGAGTGTCGAAGGATCTGGGTCTTAATCGGAAACAGGATGATGATGATTACAAAGAAATACATTCACAAAACACATACCGGAAACTAGGGATATTTTTAGAGATGAGCGTCACTAGCACATAGCGTCACTAGCCTTAAAAAAGCAACAACCCGTCAGACGCCGTAAGCGTCACTACAAATGCAAATATTCCCGACTTACGGAAGCCTGTGGGTCAGGTTTCAGCGGCATCAAAATAGAGACATCTGGACCGATTATTGGGCCATCAACCAATGAACATACCATTAATGTTGAAAAACCCTCGAGCTGCTTTTAGAAACTGGTTGCTTTTACGACCCATTTTGTATATATTTTCCGCCGAATCGTGATCGCAAAAATATGAAAAGCGCGTTATCTGGTCTTTTAGATATAAACTCGCCGCACTTCCAGCGTTTGCTAATTTCGTAATTCCAGTTAATTATTCTCGATATAGAATCTTTTCAAACTTGTGAAATGATTGCAAGATTGCAAGATTTGCAAGCAAATAATGAGATGAAGAAATAGGCGCTATGTTTAAAATCGGTAATATTAATCTGATCGGAGTTCACGACACTGTATCCTCCCTCACATGCACTTACTCCGCTCTCAAACCCACCTGATAAAGTTGATCAACTATCTAAGCTCTTCTTCCCCCATCAACTATTTGCACCCATTTGTTCGATATCAGACTTGAGCAAATGGACATCCTTTCTCCGTGTAGCCAGCCAGCCAACCACCCAGGCCACTGCCCAACCTTGCTGGCCCTCGTTTTGCGGTCCGTTCGCTCAGCAAATAGTCGGAATTGTGGAAAAGATGGCAAAGCCTCCCCCCTCCGGTCGACATCAACCACTCACCCACCCAAGGGTCCACCAACACACAAAAACGCTAGTCGCAAAAAACCTCCTTCTCCACTAGCGATAGGCCGTTCCTTTCTCATCGTCTCTTATCTGGGCTTGAGCAAGGCCAGGCTTGTGCACAGCTGCTGTTACAATATACTCCTGTTAATTTCCATGCTGACTGGTGTGTCAGCGGGGTATTGGAAGGACGTAATAGATAGACAGTTATCATTACGAATTTTATTTTTTACTAAAAAGCTCTAACTTCATCGTTAAAAATATTTTTATACTGCTATGTATCTAATTCATTCACTTTGATTCGGAATTAAGACTATTTTTGACGAACTAGAATAGCGGGCCTTACAAAACCTATATCTTTATAATTTATGCATTCTTCTGGGCATCCTTTATGTTTTAATGTTTTTATTTACTTTTTCTTGATCTAATAAATCTAATTCCAAAATGCCGGCAGAATTACGGTACCTACGATCGAAAATTGGTTAACCGACCGAATTAAAGCATTTTTATGCGGAGATTTTCCTCTAAAATGCCCTGTAAAAAATTTTATATATATTTTTTGAAATTTGCATTGATGAACTATTTTTATGACTCTTGTGCAACTATTTATTTTATTACCAATTTTTTAGCGACCACCGCGACAGCGCCCCAGCTGTAAACGAACAAAACCGAGGTAACTTTTTACTAAAGCGTTCAAATCCCTCCCGCAAATCGGAACCCCTGCATGCGCATTTTTCACAACGCACCGAATTCAGTGGCGCTGGCGGACCGGTTTTGGCGACAAATTGCCCGGCCAAGGGCGGCCTCGCAAATTAACCTTTTTGGTCGACGTGCCGTTGCATATCGTTTTTAGAGACCTATAGTTTTTGAAAAACTATATATTTATTTTCATCGAAACTTCAATCTTTTCCTACATTTGGGGTCAAAAATGTGGAATCTCAGCTGCATAGACGTCTCTCCTTTTTCATTTCTTATGGTGGAGATTGGGATGGTGCCAATTTTCTCGGTCTATAACTCATCGGGTATCGGCGGACGTGCTGGAATTGAGTGGCAGGGTTTTGATATCTCGGCCTGAAAGGGGTGATCCGGCCGAGAAGCGTGGGATAGATCTATCAACCCGGGGCATCACTTTGGGTGTTCATCCTCTCGCTAGAGGAATTACAGCTATTTTTCGAGAAGCTTCTGTTGATTGCTGTGAGTTTTTGATGTTAATTTATTTAATTTTAACAGATAATAAGCAAGGCTGGTCCTATATTATAGGCTATAAAAATCTAGGTGTTTTTGATGTCCCTTTCTCGGTCGTCTGAGGCAATTTCCGGCTGGTTATTTCGATATCCGATTTTGAAGTTATTTATCTTCGGTTTATACACTTTCATACTTTATATCTAGCATACTCTTTCATCTTTATATAGTATTCTTAATCTAGTAACCAAATTGTGACTATTTCCTTTTTGGACACAAAAACTTTGGCTAAAAATAGAAACCCTCAACCCTGGTGACACCTTGCTTACCCTCGTCTAGCCCCCCAATCTCGACACTTACATCTGCAAACTGACAGGGTTTACCACTGTTCAACGCTCATCAACCCACCCCCCTAGCCTGAATCATGTCGGCTCCCCTGCCAAGTTTTTCGAGACCCGGCCAACCCGCCGAAATACTCGAAAAAGCGCCCTCCCTAACCCTTGGTAAGCAGAGAAGAGAGCCAGCTGACTCTTTCGCGCCGCAGCAGCCCCCGCCGGGGCACAGCGCGTTTAAAAAAGAAATCCCAAAAAGAAAGAGATACAGAAAAAAGGAAGGGGATCAGGGCTAAGGAATGAGAACGGATACATCAAACACATGATCCCCATGGACTTGGAGACGACCTCCCCTCCCGCCTATGCCCGCCACCCCTAGCCGCAGATATCTTTTGCGGGCCCCGGCTGATCCGCACGTTTTTGCTTGGAGAAGCCGTTTTGAGTTGGGGCAGGGGAGGGAGGTGTAGGCCTGGCGTGTTGATTAAAGATTAGATACTTAGTAATCAAGGATTCAAATTAAAAAATAAAGTTTTCCCGTGGAAATCAAGTTTTTTAACATCTGAGCCTTTAGGTGGATCAGAAAAGCTCAGCAAATTCTCATAAAACCCGTTTAGTTGCAAAATTAGCATACTTTAGCTTTCTTCACTCCTGTCTGCGGGAGCGTCTCTCCTCCTTCATTTTGCATAGCGTTTCCGGTTGCCTTTTGTAAATTTAGAGAACCGATTCTCCTTTATATCTGTAAAAAACACCCACTGTAGGAAACTCAACAGAGCTTCCCAAACAATTCCGAAACCTCGTCCGGTTTCCCCATTGATTCCATCCAAAATTCATGCAAGCACATTTCATTAGCCAGCGCCTCCTCCCCCCCCATGCCCAATCCAAAATGCAAGGCCAAACCCCCGGTGGGTGTTGCGAGACAAAAGACCCTCAGATTTGGGGGGATTCCCCCCATTCTCTCCTAGTTTCTAGTCTATTTCGCTTCCGTTTCACGGTACCCCACACGTTCCGGGAATCTGGCCGGCCAGCTGATCCAGCAGGGCAACAGTGTTGAGTGGAATGTTTGCGTGGGGGATGAGTAGGGGGACGGGTGTCAAAAAAGGTGCGTCGATCAGCTGAAACGGGCGTTCGAAGCGCTAAATACTATCGACAGATTGGCTCTGGGGTTCGTTGGGTCACATGGTGGGGTGGAAAAATACCGTTTCGGGTGATGTTGCTATTTTTTGGTTGGGATATATAGGGCTTTGGATCTGTAGATAATTCTAAGGCTAGATGCTTTTCCTAAGATGTCTTAGAAATCGGACGCATTTTTAAAACAACTTTAAAGTTCTGTGTTAAAATATTTTAGGTTTGTGGTCTATTACGGTTTGTAAGACTTTGCTCGTTCGTTTAAAAGAGGTTAGCTAGTTGCTACGCATAATAAACTTTCCTGTATATGTTTCAAATATTTTTTCGAACTTCCCTTACACAAAGGATTTCCAACTTTCTACCCAACCACTTGTTTTTCTTCCTCCCCACCCAACCGTTCGCCACTACGACCTCGACTTTGGCTCGTTCCCGCCATTTTCCGGCACTTTGTCCCACATGTGCGGATGTTTTTCCTAGGCAACCCCCAGACGCTGTCCAGCGCCCCCAATATATTCCGAAGCTATGGACATGTTGATAGGACAGTCCCCCTACTTCTTCGCTCCTTTGTATGGAATCGTTGTCTCGGGCCTGTCATGCACTTACCTCATAGAGTCGAGCTCGTCGCGACTGAGAAACAGCTGGGGGGGGGGACCCGCCGGCCCGACCCACGGGGTTACAGCAAGAACGAAACTGAGAACAACCGCTCCCATTCTGTCCTCAACGAGCCGGAGGAGGGTGGATGGGTCCCTCGCTCATGCTCACAGGTTGCATGCATCGATCCGGGGTTTTTTGTTTCGATGGGAAATTTTTTTCGGTTTTGGGGGGAATACGAAGATTTATTCTCGGATTTTAGAATGTAGAAGCTGCTAAGCAGTTTCAAAATGTTATATTTTGTTAAATATACGATCAAATTTAGCTATGAATCTCATAAGAAATGTAATGTAAACAATTACATGTCCGCGACAATGCCCACGTGTTTTAACACTAGTCCAGCGCATCGGTCGGCGTCGGCGAACTCGGTAATAACAGATTAATAAGGTTTTTTAACCGTCTAAATAATATCTCTAGACTGAATTCCTTGCCATAACTTGAAAGTAAACATCCCATCTCCCGATTACAAACATTTTGAAATCTGTCTACATCAATTCCGATCAATCCTATCAGCACCCAATTCCGCGACAAATTGGCTCACCCATCGTCAAGCCGAAATTTCAGCGCCTATCCCCCGGTCCAGGTCCCCCAAGAAAGTGATAGACATCGCCCGGCCATAAATTAGCCTAATCGACACCAATGCGGATCCGGACCAGGCGGCAATCCCAACACCTTCCCGCCCGCCCCCCCTCTTCACCACGTCAAAATTTTCACCCTTTTTTCCTTCTTTTGTTTGCCCAGTTGCCCATAATTGGCGCCACCGATAAGCCGGCAATACGCACTTCCACCCGGCTGTTAAATACCTCATTTTATACACACGCCGCACATTGTTGTCAACCCCTTACGAGGAGTGAAACGTGCAAATATAGTCCGACAAAATTCCACCTCCACGGGGAGGGGGTGCGATGGGCGAGATCGGGGCTCATTTTGCTGGGTCGCTGTTTACGGGCTCCGGCTGTGCACTTTTTTTGCGATCGAGCGGCCGGGGCTGCCCCCCTGGCCACACGTGCCTCAACTGCAAAAACAATCTATCCACAGATCCACCCCGGTCGCGTAACGATTTACCCAGTTTTGTACGGATTGTCAATAGTGGTGTAAGGGAGCGAAAGCTACTGTTTTGAGGGCTAGAGTATTAGTCAGCGATTTTTTTAAGGTGGGTGGGGGCGGGGAAGGGACCATATCGAAAGATCCTAGACAAAATACCTTTTTTCTCACATCAATCTGACACCCAGGAGGAGAGAAAACCCGAACGCCTTTCACAGTCCTTAGGACATATTTATGACGTCCATTGTTATCCAGGTACCGGATGTACAGCCACAATTCTAAAACCTCACAACATGTGTTCAGATCAAGTTTCCGGAAATAGATAGCTTTTTGATTTCCCGGTCGTATCAGTTTGTCGGTCCCTTGCACTCGGAAAAGCGCAGTCCCATTTCGTAATCCGGCAGTCCCTGGTCAGCGACCTTGGACGTAATTTTCACGTTTTCTTGGCGACAATCTGGGGTTGCTCGACTGATCCAACCCACGGTTTCCGGTCCACTCGTGTCTGCGGACTAAATCGAGACTAAATCCACTAAATCCACTTTCAATCAGAGCGAAATATCTATTTCTCCCTCTCTCTCTATCTCTCTCTCTCTTTCACTACTTCTGTAAAGTGCATTGTCTGCAAAGGTCTGCTCCCGCTATCACCTGAAATTCCCGCAACTTCAAACTCATTTCGAAAATTTTACGATGCTGACTTTATGCAAAACCTTCGCACTTTGCATCCCACCATGGGCCCCATTTTTAGAGCGTTCGTCGCTGCGTAACCCTCCTCAGAAACTCTTGGCAACATGGCTGAGCAGTTGCCCCCATCATCCTACCCCTTCTCTTTTTGCAAGTCTTTCAATCTGCCTGCCCCCCGTGTCCCCCTCTGCATCCCTGTCGCTCCCCCTTTTCCACCCCTCGGTTTCCGTTTTTCTTCGCATTTTTGCCGTTTTTCTGCGCATTTCCTTCGACCGGGGCCGCCCGCCCAGTTTTTCCTGGCGCGGCCACCTCCCCCTCCAAACACAAATTTGGACCCCCCACCAAGGTCGTGGCACGCGGGCGCGCGAGCGAGAAAGTTTTCTTGTCCCAACACTTCATCAAATGGACTCCTGGGTTGCGGAGATTTTTTGGGAAAAGACAGGCGTCTTCTAAGTATTTTTACGCTTTTGCTAGACCCAACTTTGTTAAAACCACTTGATTTTATCATAAAACATCAAAAACCTCCCTCAAATCGCAACTTACCGATTTTTTACAGACCCTCTCGGCGTGGCTAATCACACCCTGCCCTACACTTTAATGACGTCTTGACGTTTCCGTTCCCCCAAGTCCACCCCTCCACAAAAACTCCTCACCAAAATCGATGCCAAACAACCCCCCGAAACTTTTTGACCTAATTCAAAGTTTTTTTGAAAGCCCCCGCGACGGAGACATTTTGGGGAGGCGGAGGGTCGAGGGGGAGCCGCAGCGTTGATTCATCGATTTTGAATGGGCCGAACAGATCGCGGCAGACATCGGCCACTCTCTTTTCCCCCCGATTTTCTCCCCTCTTGCTCACCCCACACGGGTCCCACACGGATTTTTTTTGTAGGGTGCTAAAAGGTAGATGGTGTTTATTTTTGAGGGGGACGGCCTAAATATTTCGTAATCATGAGTTGGTGTCTGTTTTCGCATCAATAATTGTTTTTTTGCCATGGATATGAATTGCTCTGCTTTAAAAATAGCCCGAAGCCTTGTTGTTTTTTGACGAAGAGACCATAATTATTTCTTCACGAGCCCCTTGAATAATCAGTTTTTTGGCTAGCTGTTCGGATCTTATTTACCCCGCGACGCCGGGAGCCCATACCCTATTACTCACCCGAGGCTGCCGGGGTCCGACCCCAATTCCCAGCCTCCATTTGAGGGCAAATGGCAACGCTGAAATGAGCTTTTTCAACTGGGTCTCCATCGTCAGCCCGTTCTTTCTGGGCCTGAATCAGTGCCATTTAATTTGGGCTTTGACGCCGGGCGGTGAATAGACTTTTATGGGGGGCTAGGAGTGTCCGTTGCGAACCGTGGCTTTAAATTCCGGTGCTTGTGTTCCTGGGGCGGTTGTTGACGTCCGATTGGGAATCGGGGTTTACGAGGGATTGATGTGGGAGCATGGCGGTGGCTTTTTGAAGTGACTACAGGGCAAGATGCCGTTTGTTTTTGAATGAAAGCACATGAAATAATAGGAATAATATGTGATCTACCTCAAAATGGCAAAAAAAAACATGAAATCAAGTTTTTGCTGCTAAACCATGACTGGAAAAAATTACGTACTTGGGTATCTTTCGGGGGACCAAAATTGTTCGGTTCAACCGAGCAGCAATTTTTTTTCTACATTATTTTACAATATTCCTGGGAGCATTTAGGTAGAAAATGCGTTCCTCGACCCCAAAAAGAGCCAAGCTTTCGACTCTTCAAGAATTTTTCAAGCTCTTTTCACAGTTTGTTTGCTTAAATCATTGATTATTTTATCATAAGCAGCAAAAACGCTGGATTTAGTTACCTTTCTTATTTACTCACACTATTTACCAAATCTTTTTTTTACATGACTTTAGGAAAGAATTCAGCTCCCCCGAATATACTCACCACCAGAACTGAAAATACCCTACGCTAAAAATTTAGCTTTTGCGGCGATTTCCGACACCACAACCTCAGGTATAGGTTTCCAGTGAAATTTTCATCATGCTGCCCTCCCAAAATGGCCATCCTCCGGGTCCCCTTCGGAACCCATTCCAAAAGCCTGGCGGCTCCTATCGATTCCCTGGCCTCTTCCAGCCTTTTCTATTTCTAGTATCTCTCATCCCCACACCCATTCCACACCACCATCCCCAACAAACAGCTGTAGATGCTAGCGAAAAGCGACGCGTAATAGTTGCGAAAAGCCGTCCCCTCCCTCTTTTCCTCCTGAATCGAGTGCCCCCATAGCGCCGTTCCATTCATCGGGGCAGCATTGTTTGCACAAATATTGCCCGTGAACCGCGGAGGAGACATTCCATTTTCAAACATGGCCTTTTCTTAGGCGTTTCACAGGACGTGCCAAAGAAAATATATCACCTTTCTCTCAACATCCCCGCCAATTAGTGCCGGCTCTCGATCCCCTATTTGGAATTACAGGGGATGATGGATTGGAGGGCATTTTTGGTGGGGAGGGGCGGGGTGATATACTGTCATTCTCTTTTTTGGCAAGGCGTTTGGAGAAGTACATGCTTACTGTAAATATTCCATAATCTTCCCCTATTTTTTCTTGCATAAACAGAAAACGGAAGGCTTCTTAGTACGCGTGCACTTTGTACGGTTTACCCATATTTTTTCTCGTTCTACGAACCCTACCCCGCTTTTAAGCACTAAAATTTAAATCACTCTCGTTTTTCAGTTCATCTCGTCTGAAACGGGTCGAGATGAAGTCCCCACGTGCCGTCAATCGAAAGCACGTACGCTACACACCTAACAGCGCCCAGAAGGGCCGCGGAAAAGCTGCTGCCTCGACAGCTGCCTCCCGAAGAGCTATGTAAGTTCAAGCAAAAAATTTTGAAAATTAATTAGCGATTCCAACTAATGAATTGCAGAAAATAAATTAGTCAATTGCTTTAAATAGTTAATTCTAATTTTTCAGCCGCCAAACATTGGTCAACCTTAACCAATATGCCATCAAAGCCGCCATCGTCTTCAACCAGTTCGACCTGAAAATCTCCGAACACTCGAAAAAACCAGAGGTCAGCTGTCTTTCCAAATCGTGGTGTACTCATCAGCCCCTAGCTTCTCCTTCACCCCTCCAACATTCCCTCTCGTGGCATCCCAGCTTTATCTCAAAAACAGGCCCCATCCATGCCCTCTCCCCAAAAAGTTTTATTGCAAAGCCAACAGCGGCGACAGAAAGAAGGATAGCACATTGCTGCCCAGCTGCCGGTCAAAATTTGCGCGCTCCCCACCCCGCTAGCATACATTGAAATTGATGTATGTGGGGTACTGTCCACTCTGCGAGCAGTACTTTGAGGGAAATGGGGATATTCTGACATGTCAGCCGTGCCTGGTAGGAGATCGATCCTCATCGATTGAATTTAGCTGAGCAAGGAGCAGCTCGCGGAGAAGTCGAGGAAAGCTGCGCAGAAAAAGGCCGAAAAGGATGCTCAGTTGAATCTGAAGAAGGAGGCTGAGCAGAAGAGGAAACAAGCAGTAGGCTAGAATACAAACTTTAAAAATTATATCTTATAGAAACAAGCCAAGAAGCTGGCTGATGAAGCTCATAAGCCGAAGGTTGATGCCAAGCTTGAAGCTGCGGTTGGGTTTGAATTCAAAGCCATTAATTACGATTTTAGACCTACGTCCCTCCCACAGTTGTTGTCGAAGAATCTGCACCGATCAAAAAGGAAGAATCAGTATGTACTGCTTTCAATTTTTGATTAATATTTTTGTAGAAGAAGAACAAGAAGTCCACCAAGAAGCCAGAGCCCGCAGTGGAGGAGGTTGTCGAAAAGAAAGAAGTCAAGGTCGCCGAAAAAGCCCCAGAGGTAAGTCATACACAAATATGCCACCAAACCGCTTATTTTTAGCCCGAAAAGAAGTCAAAGAAGAAGGAATCTAAGAAGTCCGAATCTGACAAGGCCGAGGTGAAGCTCGTCGAACCCACTCCTACCCCGAAGAACACCCCGGTTGACACTCCGAAAGAGCAGCCGGCCACGCCTGCCGAGGTAGCATTAATTAGCCTTCCAAACTTAATTTTAGCCCGACCTTGAGCACCAGGAAGCTGTTGTCGAGCAAATCGAAGAGCCGGTAAGCAAACTAAAACGGTAAAACTGCAAAGAAATTTTAGAAATCCAAGTCGAAGAAGGGCAAGAAGGACAAGAAGCATGTCGAGCCTGTAGCTGAAAAAGTTGAAGCCCCTGTCGTTGAAGAGCCAGTTGTTGAAGAACCTGTTGCCGTGAAAGCTGTTGAACAACAACAACAACAACCTGCACCTGAAGTCCATGAGGTTTGTAACCCCCGTTTTTATTTATAGTTCTCTGTAGAACCCAGTAGAAACCACACAAGTCGGAGAGACGCAGGTATAGAATGAATGCCATCTTATTTCAGTTCACTAAACCCCTTAAACAAGTTTGCCCTTTATAGGAATCCTTTTCCGGTGGAAATAACGTAAGTTACACCGAACCTGTCGTGTCTAGTTCTGATCTGGACCTCGAGGCTTCCAATCCGGCCAAAAACCCAAAATTGCAAGAAAACCTTGACGACGCTGGGGTGAGCACTGTCAAGCACTGGCAGATGCCAACAATGCAGCTCAACCAGAATGAATATGCAAAATTCTCTCCCTCCCCTGAACGTGAACAGTCGCCTAAGGCTGAGGCACCTATCGATATTTGGGAAGAATTCGCCTCCGGAAAGCCGTTATTCAAAGATGAAGCGCCGGTCGAACAGGCCCCCGTAATTGAGACAACCAAAGAAGAGGCCCCCACTATTGACATTTGGGAAGAATTTGCCTCGGGTAAGCCCCTGTTCAAAGAAGATAAACCGGTTGAAGAGGAACCTGTAGTTCAAAAGCAAGTGGTCGAAGCACAACAAACCGCTCCAGCTGAACCTACCATTGATATCTGGGAGGAGTTCGCTTCTGGAAAGCCGCTTTTCGAGGAGGAGGAGAAACCGGCAGAAGCTGCTAAAGCTGTGCCGGTTATGGAGACGCTGAAGCAAGAAAACGAAGCGCAAGTTGAAGAAGCACCAAAGGCTGAAAAGGCCAGCAAGAACAAAAAGAACAAGAATAAGAAGGGCCGAAAGGAAAGTGAGAGCAAAGAAGAGCTCGTGCCCGACAACAAGCCTGTCTTTGAGAAAGTTGTTGTGGAGGTACAGGAAAACGCTCCTGAGGAAAAGCCAGTTGATATCTGGGAAGAGTTTGCCTCCGGCAAGCCCTTATTCAAGGAGGATGCTCCATCAGCAGTATTCAATCCTGTTGAGGAATCGACCAATGGCGCAGTTCCATCGGAAAAACCTGTGGACATTTGGGAAGAGTTTGCTTCCGGAAAACCGTTGTTCAAGGAAGATGAAAAACCGGAAGAAACCAACCAACAACAAACTGAGGAAACGGCGACTGTCGAAATCCCCGCCGAAGCACCAATCGATATTTGGGAAGAGTTCGCGTCCGGAAAACCGCTTTTCAAAGACGATGCTGATACTACTACCTCAGAGCAGAAGGTCGAAGCAGCAGGAGATATCTGGGAAGAATTCGCTTCTGGAAAGCCACTATTCAAGGAAGATAAACCCCAAGAGCAAGAAGTCGTTCCGTCCCCAGAAGCTGAAAAGCCACAAGAACTTGATTACGCCACTGAAACCCAACAACAGCCCCAAGCCAGTGGCAAAGCCAAGGTTCCGTCATCGGTGTTGTCTGTGGGCATGATAACACATTTTTCCTTTTTCGTTGCTTCCTCTTGCTATGGTGGACGCGCTTGAGTATCGTAGTATAATCCCGTAGTACTTCCTGGCATTCACATGCTTCTTTAGGAACCATAATAATCCAATGGTTTAGGACAACAAGAAATCGAAGAATAAGAAGAACAAGAAACACAGCGAATCGCATGACGAGGTGAAGAAGGTCGAGTCTGAGGTGGAGAAGCCTGTTGTGCAAGCCGCCGAGCCTGTGGAGATCAAAATCGATGATAAAGTATATTATAAGGTTTTGTTAATTCTATTTTGAATTCAGGAGAACAAGCACACCGAGTCCAAGAAGAACAAGAAGAACAAGAAGTCGAGCGAGTCCCAGGATTCTGGAATCACCGTCGAATCGGTAGGGTTTTTAATCCGTTTTTGTGTGCATGCTTAGCCTGGCGTTCAAAAATTATCCAAATTGAGTTTCCAAATTTCCAAATATTGCTATGCATTAGGAGGCTGCGCCAATCTCGCCGGCCAATTTGGGCCATATCGAGGCCGAGGATTCGGAAGTGAAGGTAGAGAATCTATCGATATTCCAAATGCTTGCGCATGGCACACCGTATTCCCTGAAGCACACAACTAAACGATTATCCCCTATTGCTTTGTGTTGTGGCTGTGGCTCCGCCTAATTCAACCGGAAAAAATGTTGACCGACCCTATTTTTAGTAAAAACACCATACCCAGCTTATCGCTTATAAACAAACGCTTAATGATGCTATGAGGAATTTAGGCTGCCCCTACCCAAGCCGCGGAAGCACCCGTTGACATCTGGGAAGAGTTCGCAAGCGGAAAGCCGCTTTTCAAGGAGGAGACCAAGACCGCAGAGGCTGAGGAAGAAGTTCCGGAGGAGCTGCTACAGAAAGCTGAGGAGACCATCAAGGCTAGCCAGAAGCTGTGGGAAGATGAGGAAAAGCGCGAGACCTCCGCCAAGCCTGAGACTCCTGCTGAACACGTGGAGGTAGCTAAGGAACAGATCACTAACTCACCCAGCACAGAAAATTATGAAAAGCTTGAAAATTCACTGGCAACTGCACAAAACTTTTTTCAAGTCACGGTGAGGGGGTTTGGCATAACCAAAATTCGAGCAAGTGAATAAAGTGCAGATGTTATCTGGCGGTTTTGATAAGGATAGGACGGTGGTGGGTTTGTCTGCGCATTAAAGGGGTCATTGTCTAAACCACCTTCAGAAAATTATACTTTCAACTTTCAAACACACACGTATCCTTAATACCACGTCTTCCTTTTATTTTGCCCAATTCACCCACACAAGCCACTTTTCAGATTCTTGATCAGGCACGTGCTCAAGCCATCGTCGCCCCTGAGAGCAAGACCGAGGTAGGTCCGCTCAAAAACTCTTTCACTCTTTCCGCATGGTTTTCCTCGCAAAAACTGCACCCATATTTTCTTTCTCAAGCCCTCCACAGTGGATCAGGTTTCTTGTGTGTTGCACGGGTCTGGGGAAACAGTTGACATGGCTCGTGCTCCACTCACTCCGGGTTCATCCGTGGGCCTATCTACCGTCAGCTACTCGTTGAAGGCATTCTACTCCACGGAAGATGAGCCCGACCAACCTGCCACCTCGGTGCATATGGCTGAGAGTATCGAAACGAGGCTCATCTATGCTGGTGAAGACGAGGTAGCCGATAATACATCGAAAACCGCGCAATTGCATCGCGCGTTAAATGTAATTTTCGCGGCCATGCTGCTTCACACTCACAACTATTCTATGCTTTTGTTAAATTTGTTGGCTGCATGAAATTCAGTTCTATTTTTTGAGTTTTTGCATGCGTTGGCAGGGATGTGTTGAGTGCGACCAAATTCCTCGTGCTCAAAACCTGAATCTCCATCTAATATCCCCCCTTTTAGCCCGAACCCCAGCCCTCCAAGGAAGCATCGAAATCCAAGAAAAACAAGAAGCACCGCAAATCCGAATCCGAACATAACAACGTAACTGCCAATTTTCTCCTCACCCCTTTTCCTAGAATGCCACGAAATCGCAATCCCCGACCGAAGCGAAGCCAGCCCCAGAGGAGCTGAAATACGAGGAACCCGTCAAGGTTAACGTACTAAAATACCTTTTACCCATGCCTTCTAACAGGTTGAAGAAACCAAGCCAAAGGAAAATGGTGGCAGCAGCAAGAACAAGAAGAACAAGAACAAGAAGGGCAAGACGGTCAGCGAGTCCGAAAGCCCGGTCGTGAAGGTAGAGAAGGCTGAGCCTGTCAACCCCGAACCCGTGACGGTTGCCGAGCCTGTTGTTGAGGTGTTCCTATCCATTAATACCCAAACCAACTCCTACATTAAGGCCCCAAAACCTAAGGAGAAATCCGTAACTCCCCCTGCTGCGCCTGCCCCGACTAACGGCTCCTCAAAGAACAAGAAAAAGAAGGGAAAGCATGATAAGGAAACGGTAATAGTCCTGCACCCGTCGCAATTAAGAAAAATTAAATTAAATTAATTTAATTTTTTTAGAAGGAAGTTCCTCAGGCCGAGGTTGTTGTCGAAAATGGAGAATCAAAGCAAAATGGAGTGGTTGGTTCTGAAAACCGCGGTTTAACCTTATTTTTAGTATAACCCAGCCGATGAAGGACAACACCAGATTGGAGAGGAATTGGTTGGTTTCTAAGCACCGCATTAAACTAGAGATTAATCTGTAGACCTCACCATATAGTGCTCATAATTTAGGTTACTAAGAAGCTTGAGAACGGGGCCCATGCTACCAATGGTACTAACGAAAAAGTAGGGCTTTAGATTAGTTAACCAAATTTTTAACGACAACAGCTATTAATATGTTCTTTAGGTAACTGAAGAAGGCTTCCAAGAGCCAAAGGGCAAGAAGAACCGCAAGAAGAACAAGAGCCGATCCAGCGAATCTCATGAATCCCCGGAATCGAACAAGTTGGAAAATGCTGAAGTTATCCATGTAAGGGTTCAATAGCAAAATCAATATATTTGAATTTAGGAGATTTCTTACGAAAAGGATATGGATAAGGAGGGAACAAGCCACACTGAAGAGACCCAGCAGCCAGCATCCGTCAATAATGTTCACACTAGCTCCCAGGAATCGAACGGACAAAAGAGTGGGTTTACGCATTTACAACCCTAAAAGGAAATGCCTAAAGATAAGCAAATTCCCCCCACCCGCCCTTTCAATTGCATACCATCCAATCAAGACACCGCGCGGAAGTTTCCATGTTTTCCGGGAGGCCGCCCCGGCTGCTATCCGAATTTGAAGATTCCCCCCGACGGGCCCAAGAGAGTCACCCTCTTTCCAAACAGAAGCCTCTCTCACAAGCCTCGGCCACGGCCAGGCCAACTGGCCACCACGTTCCCCGCCCTGCTTACAACATTGTGACCCGCCCCGACATTAGGCGTGTAGCGCACTACCCTATTTGTTTTGTACTACCCTCGGCTGCCCCTATTAGCTATGTTGGATGGTCACACCGCCAAGGAGCACCCCAGAACGAATATTTGCTAGGCGAAATCAGGAGATTCTGTTGAATGATCTATTAAGGGAGCAGTTGCAAGGTATTAGGAATTTTGTAGTTAAACTAGAGCGCCTAAATTCTATGCTAATTTATATTCCATTCCAGTCACTCGTGACAACATCACTGCCACCTACGAATTGGACCCATCTGCCGTGCAGTCCCCCACCAACTTCTCACTCCACGTCCAGAAACTTGTCGAAAACGCCCTCGCCGCCTCCGAACTGAAAAATGCCGACCCGAGCGCCGTGAGTCGTATTCTTCCCACGTCTAAATATTTCAGGTCGCTCTGAACCAATTGTTACTATCGGTAAAGAGGCTTTTTATGTTATGCTTCCAAAAATCTGTTTCTGTATCATTAAAAATCCTTCAAAAAACCTGATTCCCGCTCGAATTCCAAAACAATTATTCAGTCCAAATTACCTTGTATTAAATCTCAGATACCCTTAATGAAACCTCGAAAATCCCCGATAAAAATTAATCTAGACGAATGAACCCCGAAAAAATGGTCCATCTAATCAGGAACGCAAATTAACAAAACTCCAAACACGAGATCCTAATCAAAGGTATTTTTAGAAACTCTCCGTCCAGGCCAAACTCCTGCGATTGAAAGAGAAGAGCGAAGTCCCGCTTGTCACCTACCAACCCCGCACTCTCACCCCATTGGCTTTCGAGCGTCAACGCACTGTGGTAAGTCCAAAAAACCCGAAGTTTATCCATTTATAATCCTTAGTTGGCACAATTTATTGCTTTTAAAAGTCCTAACCAAAATTACCTACAATTCCAGGAGCACAAACCAGCCGGGGTAAGTGCCCAGCCTCATTTTATCGGCTCGCCAATTTTGTTCGGTTGTGTTCGGAAAGACGTGCAAATATAGAAGCATGGTCTAGACGTGCTCGTGCTAGAATAGTATCTCTAAAATTTGCAAAATAATGGACCTTTGTTGTAATCACGACTTTGGAACTATGGCACATCATTGCTGCTACGACTAATGGAGTTAACTATACCTCTCCGACTATCCAAACTTAAACAATAGTGCTAATTTTTCAAAAACTATTTGAGAATGGTATAAATTTTGATTTTTTAGTATGTTGCCCCGGTCCCTCGTGAGCGTGCCTACAAACTGTTGCCGAGGGATGTTCTGCTCTGCTCGCACATGATTGATACCCACGGAGAGGATTATGAGGTTAGGAAGATGGCCTTAATTTTATTAATATTTTATTTTGGATAACCTTATCAATCCGGCGCTATAATATACTTTTCAGGGTATGTCGAAGGACCCAAAGAACGTCTACAGGGATACCGCTCGTGGATTGCAGCGGAAATTGCGTGTTTTCAAGGAATCCCCGCATTTTGCTACCTACCAGAAGGCAAAGGTGGGTAAAAACGTACATGCTATGGAATTCTTTTTTGTCGGCGCCGGCTGACAAGAAGGAGACAAGAAGACCTGCGCTTTTTGTTAACACTGGGTCATGAAAAAGGCAGCAAAAGATACCAATTCCGGCAAGCGAGGAGCCAACATTTTTGGGGTATCGCAGCGTAGGCAAAGGCTAGAAAACCCGACGCTCCTCTTCACACTCCTTACCATTGTCGCACTGCTATTAAAATTTTTCAAACATCTACCCTAAATATAAGTACAAAAATAATCTACGGTCATCGACATATTTATAAAAAAACATTGCCCATTCGCTTAGTAAGTACTACAAATAAGTGAAAACCTGTGCTAGCAGATTTTGATTTTACATACGCCATAAAACAATTATTTTCAGGACACTGGCCGCACCGTACAAGAAATTCTCGATGAGGAGGCCGCCGCCGCTACCCCCGTGGCTGCTACCGCCTAAAGACATTCACCGCAAGACCGAAGATGATCTGACCACTCTATCCACCACACCCAAATCAAGTCTAGCTGCCTAGAATCTTTCGTTGGTCCGCGTGTGTCTTCCTTCCGGTGTTTCAGACGGCATCTCCTTCTACGAGTCCCCCATGAATTTCATCCCCCACTATCCGTTTGCTCCTCATACGTCTTCATCCCGCCCACGGTTCCGCTCGTCATGTTTTTCAAAATAAACCCCCAGCGTGTAGCCAGTCTTTTGATGATGGATCCAAAAAGGAATCAGTTTTTGTCTGCTGCTACGGTTCCCGTATGCTCCAAGTTTTCACCCCCACACATTGTTGCAAGTTTGAACACAACCGGTTCTGCCGCCAAGGCTTACTTAATCCGGGAGCCCTTGAAAAGTTACCCATTTTTTTGGTTGGCCCCGTCCTAATGCAAACCGAGTGAATAAAGCAAATGTTTATTTTGAGAAAAATACAGAAAACAAGCTTTAGCATGAAAAATATTTTTAACAAGGTTGATTTTATCCTAAATTATGAGTAATCTGGATAAATTTTTGAAAATATTACAAGCGCAAAATATACAAATAATAGAAGGATGAAAAATGCTTGGAAAGACCAGGATAATTTGCGCCGATCTACTGAATAATCAACAGAGCCCTTTGAAGTTGCTTTCAAAACTTCGTAAAAAGCAAGGTTGTTAAGTAAAAGTCCCTTTTATGCTTTTGTAAATTATTGTGCGTAATTTTGGCTTAAGTTCATCAATCACCAAGGTAAATTGTTCAAAACTGTTTGAAAAATTTGTGGATAGCTCTTTATTATAGCCATGTTTTTGATGTTTTGTAACAAGGAAAACGGCGTAATTGACGCTCAAATCCATACATGGTCGCTTAAATTCCCGTCAATGACTCTAAAAACCGTACAAAGGTCACATCAAACCATATTTTTCTGATTGTTGTCAGCGGCGCCCAGCAAATTCTAGTCTACTCTTCTCCCCTCTAGACTCCAGGTTCGCAGCTTCTCCCCCTAGGCACACCACATTTTGCGGGCAAATTGCTGGCCGCCGTCTGAACGGGTCGGTGACATAATCTGCGAACTGTTGGAACAATTGTGAAGACCAGTTCTCCCCTCTGGCCCCCAGGATAACGGGTCTTATCCACTCCACTATAAATATGTGTCAATGCCCCCTGGGATGCCAATCTCTTCACACGACCACACGACCGTTATGAAGCTCTTAATACTCAACACTGTATTCCTGTGCTTGGTCGGCAGCGCCTATTCCTGCATTCCGACTTATCCAGGCGGAGCTGGTAGGGTACATTCCAAAAGTATAGAGAATTGTAGGATGCTGCCCGATCAATGTCTACAATGAGGCCGCTGCGACTGGGAGAGCCCTTTTCAACCCACAGCTTTCCCAGTGTCCAGATACCGCTAACTTCATCTGCAGGTGAATTTTTACGGTTGAGAAAAGCATATTCTGAATACAGTGTCGCGGTTGACGGTAGCACGAATCCTACGATGATTGTGATTAACGGGGGTACAACCGTGACCACCGGAGCCAATGGGCAGAATTCGCAAGTGATCTTGACTTGTCGAAAAGCGACGAGGACGTGGACATACACTGGATCGACGGTAGGAAATTTGAGTGGGGGGTGGTGAGGGATGGTATGCTAATTGGGCTCAACTTTGACCCGGATCCCGGGCGATAGTTTTCGATCAGCCTCTTAGTTTCCTCCTTTCAACTTTACAATTCAAGAGAGGTTCTTTATCTTTCGCCTTGTCATTAATCTTCTAATCTTTTTGTTTTCAAAAATTCCTAAAAATCTATGCTCCAAAAACTCTTAAAACCCTTAATTCAGGGCACGGCCACGAATGTCAACCAAATCACCTGCCTGAACAACGCGGCCGGATAAAGGAACAATTATTTCAGCTGATCTATTGATTGTAACGTCGTGAATAAACAAAATAAGAACCCGGTTGTCTATGCAAAGTACAGCTGTCCTTCGCGGTGTCTAATTATGCGCGGGGGTGTCGCAACCCACTGTCCTTTGGTTTTTTGTACTCGGCTAATTAAAGTTGGAAATTCAGAACTGGCGCGGCTAGACATTAATGTTAGCTTCTAGAAATTTTGGTGTTTTTGGTAATTTTTATTAAATTTTGACTTACTTAGGGTAGGCACAATCAATATCTATAAATTTTAGTTCCTACCGTGGTCTTCTCAATCCCTTTAAACGACCCAGGTAGTTCGATGTAGATTAGCATGAACACAAATTTTTACATGAATCGGCTCTTCTTCGTCTTGACTAAACCTTTACTCCTTTTTTACATAGCATATCCGGTTGCTTTATGCTAATCGTAGATGACGCCCGGTCTACCTTCCAAGGCTTTCCATCTCTCTTTAGGAAAATATTTTTCCATTTTTTTTCGCCGTTAGGTTGAGCTGTTTGGAGGAGCGCCTCCCGAGGGAAGGAACATTGTCCAATTTCGAGCCCAGGCAAGATTCGAAGAAGAAGGGCTGGAAAGTAGTTCTTGTTTGGAAGCGGCTGGTGGGCCCCCCGTAGTGGACAGAGCCAAGAGACGACGGCGATCGATGGTGGGTGTCCCCGGTGGGCCCCAGAAGGGGCGCGCTAAAGCCCCTGCCATGATCAAGCAAGCGTGTCTCTTTCACGCACATTGCCACTGAATTTTAGTAAAATGTCAGTAAAAATTCGCGTTTTTTTACCTAATTTTCAGACTGAAAATTAATTTTCGAAAGTGGTTAGTGCGACCCTTGTTATTACTGCTGTTGTGGCTAATTTTTAGGGTTAAACCCTCAGCCAGACGTTCCCCTGGTATTTCCATCTAATTGAAGCTGAACTCCATGTTACATCTGCTTTTTTCATCCATTCTAAAGCCATAATTCAAATTTTTCATCATTAGCTAGCGCTGCTGCTCCGATAACTGTATCTCTAACGAATTTTGCGGGATTAGCCTTCCCAAAACACCCCAGTAATTTGCATAATCTGCAACGTCCTAGCGAACACTGTGTCTTCGGCCCCTCACCTCTTGCCAGTTGCTATAATTGGCCCCATTTTCGGGCCCATTTGCACCCCAATCCGTAGGAAACCCCAAAATAATTCAGTTACGTCTACGGAAACCCTTTTCTAAGAACTCTAAATGGATCCTAGCATACCTCATGTGTTCTGAACTCATAGTACTACTCGCATTTCCACTTTTCCATATCTAGAAAACACGTAAACAACAGCAGCATATTTTTCATGATTCCCCGGCGTAACCCTTTTCATTATTGGCGTCATGGTCCCCGGGGCAGTGATTCAGTGCCCATCCCCCCTTTCTAAAAGGTGGATGTTGGCGCTGTTTGTTTGGCATTGCGACAGATGCGGGGAGCCCCCCCATCAATTCACGGCATTCTGATGCAATTTTCGGACTACATTCACATCAGCCGCGCAGACATAGCTTGCAACGTAGCTTTTGGGCTGCTTTTTCCGGTTGGAATGGTAGTTTTGAATTTCAAAAGCGGGTTTTTGGATTCAGGACGTGACAAGGGAACCACGTCAGGTGAAGGTGGCGTTTCGGTATGCGACCGGACCCATTTTGTGCAGAATTTTTGATGATTTGTCAGCGGCTTTCAATTTTTTGCCAAATAGCCCGATTTAAACAGTGCTAGCGATTCTAAGATCGTATTTGAGCCCGCGGAAGGTTAGCCCACGATGCCCAACTTTCTTGTTTGATTGGTGCCGTCGATTTTAATAGCCTAACCTGTAGACGGTTTTCTCTGATTCGAATAGTATATTTGGCTGCTGCGCTATACCAAAACACCACCTTAATCTGACGTGGTTCCATTGTGAGGTTCCGATTTTTTAGCTGCTTTATTGGCTCTGTAACTTCCGTTTTCAGGAAGTCAGGAGTATTGCCCCGTATCCGACCTAGCGCCCAGCTTTAGGGCCCAATTAAACGACCACACAGCATACGGGTGTCATATAGAACCGACCCCCTCCCCCCGCCAAACGTTCAGCCAATGCCGTGTGAAATTGAGATGCTATTGGGTTTGTAGAGAGGGGGCAATAGTGGGGCGAAAGGCTTCAATGAAAGACAGAAGAAATGGGATGAGTGACCGAGAAGGCCGGTAGGTAAGGGAAGAAGAAGAAGAAGAAGAAGAAGAAGAAGAAGAAGAAGAAGAAGAAGAAGAAGAAGAAGAAGAAGAAGAAGAAGAAGAAGAAGAAGAAGAAGGGCAACGAGACCCCACCGGGTTGTTGGGACAAAGGATCAGCCTGGGTCTTCTCCTAAAAGCCACTCTTCGATCATAAACGGCCAGACGACAACAGGCAGGCGTATTCCCGAAATATTGGGAGTTAATATATTAAATTAGACTGCAGTCGCCCCATTTATTTACGCTTTAAAGGGAGAGTGCGCGGGAAAAGGCCCAGCAAGGATTTTCATATGGGTCTAGGAGACTTGTTGGGAAGCGAGGTTTATTACCTCCAACACTCTCCCTAATTTTTATGCCAAAATTGGATTCAAAATTCTAAAAATTTACAAAAAAATACACCGTTGAACCTTTTCACCATCATTTCGAGTTTTTTTAAGGCCGATTAAATCCCTAAAATCTATGTAGTTGTCCAAAAAGATGTAGGTCCTCCCCCACTACCTTTTTCAGGTCGTAGAAGTACTAAATGCCTCAGGTTATAAGAGAGGAAACAATGTAGCATTCGATGATCTGGAAGCTTCCTTATCATCCGCGTTTACATCCCTCCCCCTATCCACCGGCAGCCACATAATGTTGTGGCTGGCCATACTGACCCCTCGAATGTACAGTCATCTCATCGGCGATTCTGGATACCTCTCCCTCACTCGTTCCCGCGCATTTTGCCACCTCATCACAACTGCCTGGAATACGCAATGACCTCCGGGCCAATTCTCTGGATTATAAACACTGATTCACCTCATATTATATTCTCTTCCTCACCAGACGGAGACCTGGCGTTTTTCTTCCCTTTCCGTTGAATAATTTAGATAAACAACCATCGGCGCGGGCAGGAGAGGAAATTGCCAGTTGCAGAAAATACGCGGCTCATCGCGCGGTGCGCCACTATCGTATTTTTTCAGACTTTTTGGATTTGCACGGGGGTGTGACAAAACAAATAATACCGTAGAAGCGTGGTATTTCGGTCTTTAGCAGAAGGCGCCGTTACCTAGGCTTTTTCCATATACACGAAGTTCTAGCCTTGTGGCATATTTTTGGCAAACATGTCTCCAAGTTTATGCCATTAAAAATGAAAGTGGCGTCTAGTTCAAACTGCGAGCTGTCGTTTCGATTTGTAGGGATAAGGAACGCCCAGTAGCTCGGTATCATTGGCACCGAGCCAACCGGAAATGCTAATGCAAAAAAATGGGCGGAGAGTGGTGCGAGGCAGGAGGAGCAGAGAAGCTTTATGCTAATTTTAGCACTAAAGGCCGCTTTATGCTAATTTTTCTTGTGTCTTCCTGATCCCTTTAATAAAACCAGAATTTTTCAAAAATCAACCATTCAGTATTGTTCAAAACGCGTTTTCCGGAAGTGAGGGGAAAACTTTATATTAGAGTTAATGGGTTAACGATTAATGAGCCCACGCCTTTGTGACCCCTCGATAAGAGCAAAGAGCTTGATTACCACCACATCAGACCGATTTATCCAACCAACTGCCCTTCCGCCTTCCCCCTCAAATTCCCCGCCGGACCGATCAAAGATTCAGCGGAAAAAGTGGGACCCAAGCAATTGCGACGAGTGCATCCCCATACCTTTTCGCTGCCAAAAAGCGCTATTTGCTAAAAAGGATCGACGGGAGAGCAATATATCCGATCGGCTTTCCAGGGCGGGGGCCCGGGCCCATTCCTGTCCCGCCTCGTCATCGATCATTTACCGGAGTTTCCGGGGGGAATGGTGACGCCAGTGTTCTCAGTTGAGCCTCCCGGGGGCCCGTTGAGGTCAACCTCCCACGTGGTTGGCGTTTTTTGCAGGAACACCCGAGTCCTGTTCACCTTTCGCTTAACTTTTTTTTGGGGGCTTTTGGATGGGTATGAAAGGATAGGGGCAGTTGGTGTGGTTTTAGATCTTGGTGGGGCGATTCTATCTTTTGGTTCTCTTTTCCTTATACTGTAATTAGGTTTAGGTGATGGTTGGAACTACTTTGAAAGCTCCTAAAAATAGGGCTAAACCTTGGAAAGACGATACAAATGGTAGATACAAATGACCTTTTTGAAATGCTTGTAGAAATAAATTTAAGCCTCCCACAATTTTTTTACCGAGAAACCAGGCAGTGAACCGTTTTTAGAAAAACATTTTAAAAATTTTTCTGTTCCAAAAATCTTCATCCTCCCTGCGTTACATTCTTGTTTTTCTGCCCGTCTGGGGTTCAATTTCGCAATCCCAGGCTCCTCTCTCGATTGCCAAAGGGAGGAGTCCATTAGCCATTCCACCCCTTCGACATGGGCGGAGTCCAATCGCCGATGAGCTTCACCCCCCATAATCGGACGATGGCCATTCATACCATCCACCGATACCCTCCCTACCCTCCTCATGATCCGACCATCACAAAAAACACTCCCATTTTTGAGCATCGCATACAAATCCTCGGGGTCTTTAGGGTCTTACTGACACCTGGCTGCTCGAAAAGGCCTCGGTGTCCCCCCATGGGGCCCAGCCGGGGCCCATCCCCCATAAGCGGCTAAGGTCTGTGTAATAGTTGAGGGCAGCCTGCAGAAAGAGTGCACCCGGTCGTCTAGAGTTGTTCCCTAAACCACGCCATTCATCATTTTTACAAGGTTTTTGACCACGAAAGCCCGTGAAAACATTCGTTTTTCTTTTAAACCTTTAATTTGCTACAATATTTTTCTTTTTCCTTAGATTTATCTTTTAACATTCGATGCTCTCCTATTCCTTTGTCGATTCGAAAAATTAATTTTTCATTGGCCCGCCTCTCCTCTCCTTCCCCAGACTTTTCCATAACTTCCAGTTGCTAGTCATTTATGTTCTGTCTGCAAATTGTCCAGCTTTAATTTGTCGTCCGGTTGATATCATAATTGTTTCAAAACTTTTCGTTCCACTCTCCTCATAAGTCAGATACCTCAGCTATACTACCTCACCTTTACTTCTATATGTTTACTAGTTTTTCTTGTCCTGTTCCTCCGTCATTGTCCTCGTTTACTACGGGCTTGTGGCCCCAATCTCACTCCGGGATGTGGCCACTGGGCTCTTTGAGTGAGAGAGGGCTAGAGAAAGAAATCTAAGGGGATGGCAGCTGCTCACAATGGCCGTCCCTGCATTCCCACAGTTCGTTTAACGTGTTTTAAAAACATCACTATTACCACACCTTGTAATCGTTCACTTTTTAACATTTCTTGCATGTTATTCATTGTTGACGCACTAATCATGGGATCAACAGCTTTAATTAGATAAAATCGTACCTTAGAAATTGAAAGTAGGTCGGATTTTTTAAATTTAGCGTTGTTTTTATTTCTAAAATTCTTAGAAGGTTGTTTTATTCAATTCTGGTTAAAATCTGGCCAACTGCGCTAAAAGTCGCTAATAATGTGTCATAGGTCCGAGAAGACCCAGTGGAATTTCAAAAATAGCATTCCTTCCAGATCTTTCCGATTCGTTCCTACAAAACGTCTAGATCAGATTGCCGGAGGCTACCTCCATCTAAATATCGCGACATTCCCGATCCCAGGCATGCAGTTCCCTCCCCTCTCCTTATCCCGCTAACATCTCTTAACTGTAGCCGACAGTCCCTACCGTACCTCGAATCCGACCCCCACCCCCCCATTTCCCACGTTATAACTTCCCCGTTCCGATGTCCCCCCCCCCTAGTTGTATCTGTCGACTTAATGACACCTTGTCTTCCCCGCCATGTGCATGTGCTCAGCGTTCTAAAATCCCCAGCACGGGCCTCCGAGACCGATTATTCCCCAGCCCGTTATCAGCCTAATACTGGCCGAAGGGTCTCACCGGACAAAGGACCCTCGCTACACCTAGGCAAAACAAAAATAGACCCACCCCAGCTGGGCCGGGCATCGAACGCAATAAAAACGCCTAGGGTGGCCGAGAGGTTGCGTGAAGCGCGAAAAAAATGGGCCCTGGACTTGGACCAATGAAGGAAAAAAAATCGGGATGAAGGGGCAGGTGGAAGGAAGTTGTTGAAATGTGAAAAATGTCTAAAAAAAAGTGGGTGTTTTCTCGTCTGTCCAGTCCAGTCGAGTCCAGTCTGCACCTGGTGTTTTACGTAATGTGTTTATTATGAATTCCATCAGTTTTTTCTACATTCTTTTTCCTCAGGATCAGGGTGGTTTGGAATTCTCTAGCGGTCACTAGCATCACAAAAAAAACTTGAAAAAGCGTTGCTTTGCAAGTGAAAAATTTAACGCCAAGAAAACGGAAAAATGATTTTTTTTTTGGAAAACTGGATTCGTCTATTACATTCGTATTTCAAGCGGTTCTTTTCTTAAGCCTCATGTCTCAAGCTTTAAATAGTTCGAGCTCTTAACGAATTTAAATAATCACTTTTTGTCTGCTAATCCCATGAAATCTAAAGTACAACCTCCCCCGCTATTTCCCATCCACTAACCTCATCCGATTCACACCCTCCACCACTAACTCTTCACAAATTCCCTTAGCCGTGTGACTTCCGGTTTCCGGGTTGTGGTTTAGGCTCCAAAAACACAAAAAAAAACGCTTGTTTTAGGTGGTGGTCAGCCAAGACTACGACATGGCGGACGAGCCGAAGAATGAGACCGCTGGCGGTGGGTGGTTTACAAAATTCTCTTTTCTATAGTGATTTCTAAAGCTCTCTTTGAATCCCTGGCTGAACGCCAGCCGCGTGCGGCTTGCGCTGCCGTTCATGTGACTGACAAGGAGACGTTTTTAGGTGGGCACGGAGTTTCGTAACGAGACCTAGCTCATTCGAAAGAGCTTGAAAAACTGAGCAAGTTCCCGTTTTCCATTTCTGCGAAACGATAACGATTGATTTTTAATAATTAATTTAAAGAATTAGCAGAAATTGGCATGATTCCCCTCGCGCGGAGCGATTTCCTTGAATAGATTCCCCTCTGTCGGAAAGCCAGGCCCCGTCTTCCCCTCCCCATAGCGATTTGGCGCAGCCGGTACGGCGTTTGCCTTTCACGAAATTTTTTTGGACTTTTTGTCAGTTCGACCCTTGAGCCCAGAATTCGTTGTGCTTTTTAATTTAGGAAGCTGAATTTATTATTTATTTTAATTTAATTATCGCACTGCGTTACATAAATGTTCTGAACAGCATCGGCGTAGGCGCAAGCGGACCAGTTGATTTCAATCCCCGAGACGCGAGTGCAACGCTACCGGTTTGGGGCATACCACAAAAAAAATTAATTTTGGACTAGATTCCACGTTTAGAAAGTGTTCAGGAATTAAAAAGCACAACGAATTCTGGGCTCAAGGGTCGAACTGACAAAAAGTCCAAAAAAATTTCGTGAAAGGCAAACGCCGTACCGGCTGCGCCAAATCGCTATGGGGAGGGGAAGACGGGGCCTGGCTTTCCGACAGAGGGGAATCTATTCAAGGAAATCGCTCCGCGCGAGGGGAATCATGCCAATTTCTGCTAATTCTTTAAATTAATTATTAAAAATCAATCGTTATCGTTTCGCAGAAATGGAAAACGGGATCTTGCTCAGTTTTTCAAGCTCTTTCGAATGAGCTAGGTCTCGTTACGAAACTCCGTGCCCACCTAAAAACGTCTCCTTGTGAGTCAGGGCCTATCTTTGTCCTCTCGGGCTTCAGTGTGTGTGTGGGGGGGGGGGACATTTCCCGTCTGGGGCTCCTGTCTTCCATTCCCGTTCTATCATGAAAAAACGTAGGAATAGTCAAAACTTCTCGTGTTGTTTTTGATTTCGTTTTTTTCATGGAAGCTTTGGGTTTTGTGGGGATTCTGGCTTTTTGTTAAAATTACGATAAAAACTCCAGACGTATCTGCTGGTAGAAAAAGGCTTTGTTTAGCAAAATTCATTTCTCCAATAGTGCATTTTTCTGAAGTTTGCTTTCGGCGCCATGTTTACCATGATTACCATACCAGAAGTTGATTTCGCCAGGGCTTTGGCTTTCAATTCATCTTCTTTACGGCTTTTTAAGCGAGCGGAATTTTAACCGATTTTTTGAAGACGTCATTAAAGGCCATACGCGCAATAATAAATCAAATTCTGCGAATGAATGTAGTTTCTAACACTGGAAACATTAAATATGCCGATTAGCAAACTTTAAACGAAATTTGGCGTGACTGAATTCGCAAAATATATATTCCCGGGTCGAAATTCGGCGAAAAACATTTATCGGCGTCTGGCTCCGCCCTTTGGCTATCTGCCAAAGGTCAAACACGCAGACGTTGAAACAGACCGTCCTGATTCCATTAAATTTTTCGCATTGCGCTATCTTGCAACATTCTCAAGCCTACTCCCTAGCGGCGCCACCATCTTTGCGCTAATCCATCAAAGCTGGCTGGACCAGTCTCGACTTTGCACCTTCTTCCCTCCGCACAGCCCTGAACCCTCACTCCACTTTTGACCCTCACCAAACGGAAGCTTCGGCATAAAAACTGACGCATTCCCCTAATCGACCAAGAGCTCTGGTGTTGATATGGCCTGGGACATCCCACTCAAATGGGAGGGCATCCTTTCCCCGCGATAAGCCCGTGTTTTACATGCCGTCTAGGGCAGCTGGACCTAAATTTTCGTAAGGATAATTGCTATTTTTTTGGGCTGCGACCTGAGCGCTTGCCAAGGGCAATTAGGCAATTTTAGCGTCTTCTTATCATCAATCAGATCGGAGGCGAGGCTAATCAACATCCGTGCAAATAGTCTTGAAGATTTCTGAGCTAATATTGGTTCTATGATCCGGTCCGGACAGTCAGGTCGGCACAGAAATAGCGTTTTGACGGCTTAACGGATTATTTTTTAAGATAAGGATAGGGGAAGTTGCGAGAAGTTGAGTCAGAAATGAGCCCTTTGGATCTTAATAAAATATTAACTCTGCACTGGTTGAAATAACGTCTCGCAGTCATATTTTAGCTCTGGCTCATTCCCTCGCTCTCTCTCTCTCTCTCTCTCTCTCTCTCTCTCTCTCTCCCTCCTCTCTCTCTCTCTCTCTCTCTCTTTCTTGCTCTCTCTTTCTCGCTCTCTCTCCCCTTATCTCTCTCTTTTTCTCGCTCTCGCTCTCTCTCTTTAACGCTGAAGCAACAGAAACCTCGTTTTTCCAAACTTAATGGTAGTCATTACAAGGTCTACATCCACGTCTCAACCTTGAACCGTTATGAAAATATTTGAGAAACAGAGAAGAAGTCTCTTTTGGCGACTCGCTATCAGTTCTCAACCATCCCCACCCTCTCCCCCATCTCCACTAACCGTCCGATATGAGTTATTCTCGCTTTTGTCCGTCCGACTCTCACTTCCCCCCTCTTCTCCCCTTCGGGCTGCTCGAATAGGCTCGAAATTGACGGACATACAGACACACAGATATCTCGCAACCCCGTGGCTGTCCATCATATCGAATCGAGCCATCCCGCCCGATCCCCCGGCGGTTTCGAGGCGTCACTTTGGAAAAGGAGAATAATGAGAGCAATCACCCGGCCGTTAATTGAACGCCCATTTTCCCCCCAACCATAGCACTTTTGGCGGTGTGATCGCTTTTCCTTCGCGCCGCCGGGCCCGTCAAGTCCCACTTTTTAATCTTCCCCCAGTTTCGAGGTGGAATTGCAACTTTCGGTCGGCTTTTAGGACAATGGATTTTTAGAAATAATCTATAAATTCGATATTTAACTGGCGAATAGATAAAATGTCTTTTTTTGTACCTTGGCTAATAAGGCCATTGCACTACTTCTTAACTTGATCGGAAGTGGTTTTTAAAATTCACCAGGGTTGAAAAGCCGCTTCGCGACTTTTCAACCCTGGACCCGTTTGGGCAAATGAAATCGCAAACTTTGCATAATTCCGCCTCAATCAAGCTGACAAAAATGAAAAGATCTCCTTCCATCCCTGTATATAGGCTTCTTCTACTTCCTGTATACGCTAATGTTTCGTAACAACGAGGGTTCCCGAAAATTTTAGAAAAAACTTATTTTTAACATCGAAAATAGCTTATTTTGCTATTTCTGAAAAGTGGGCAGTCATCGCAAAGCCATTATGCACCTAATGATATATATACGTACCATAAAATTCACCCCATATTGAGTTATCCTCCGGACATAGGGTCGGAAGTTGCATGCAAATCGACACACAGAGACAGACACTATTTTTTTAATATTAAAGTTGATATAAGGGGGGGTTTTAGCGTTAAAGGTGGCTGTTGGGGCCTAGCTGACGCTTACCACTTTCCTTTAACATTATATAAAATGTTCTTTCGAAACGTACATAAACTTTTGACTCTAAATGGACCACTAAACATGACCTAATCGAACCCGATCTCGCAACTACACCCCACCAAATATAAACAAAATGGCCCTGCCCTCCCCGTCCTCCATGCCACTCCACGAACTTTCCTCCCAGCCATCCGAAAAATCAGGTTCCCTTCCCCCCCCCCCCCTATCTATACTGATCCTAAATCAAAAAAGTTTGCAAACGCCTGGCAACAACATTTTCCAGATAACAACGAGCAGTTCGACCAGAACTCGCTGGGTGAGAGCGAGTACCAGGGCGGCGAATTCATGTCGCAGCTTTCCCTCAACTACGCCAATGACCGTAAGTCTTTCGCAGGTGTTTCCAGAAAATTTGGAAGTTGGTATTGCGCCGCTAGAATCAAGACTTACCCGGCGGAACATTACCAAACTTAAGTAAGTTTGAGCTTAAAATTAACGCTAAGATCGAATGATTTTGCCAAACCCCATTCAAATGCCAAAAATTTCCTGCAAAAACGGCTAAAATAGCGCAGTTTTGAGTAAAAATCCGGCAATTGGGGGCGAGGGGCCTGGGGCCGTGGCACTTGCGGGTGACTCATCGGAAGTCATGCATACCCAGCTCGCACGCCTGCGTGCAGCCCACAAGTAAGCTCCTTCGGAACATTGCGAAATACCAGGAAACAGGCCCCAGTTCAACCCACCGCCGCTGCAAGGGGGGTTTTGCCATACACTTCTGGATCTGACATTGAACATGCAGAGATGGCAGCGATGAACTGATGCCAATCTGTACCTACTAGCCCACTTTTAACTCGATTCTCGAGCTTTTTCGCTTGGGAAACGAAAAGGGCCGGGTTCGAATTACAGCTATTTCAAAAATTCGCCGCGGGCAGGATTCGAACCTGCGCGGGGTGATCCCATTGGAACTTAAGTCCAACGCCTTGACCACTCGGCCACCGCGGCTTGTTTCTTGGCGGCTGCAAGGGGTTTATAACTGTTAGGTTATAATGGCTTGCACAAGGCTTTAACTTGAAGCTGGGTGACTTACTGGACACAGCTGGACGGTATTCGTGGGGGCCCCAAAAAACCGGGCGATTTCCCGCCCTTCTGGCAGGAAACCAGAAAATTTGGCTGGAAAAGGGGGGTTTTAATGTGTGGGGCAGCGGATAGCGTATATTCTACTTTTTCGCATCACTAATAGAAGAAACAAGCCCATTCTAGCCAATGCGGCCGCCAACCAGCTGGTGATTCGCCCGCCAAATGGTGGCTATGGGTGGATTATCGTCATTGCTGCCTTCTTCTCCAACCTGATTGTTGACGGTATTGCCACCTGCTTCACCGCCTTTAAGCCAAGCTACTCGCAAACTTTCCAGGTGGGTGTGCTGATAATTGGAATATTTAGAAAATTTGGGTGACGAAGATGATAAAGAAAGATTTTTAGTCGCCGGACTCAGTGATTGCTCTGATCGGTGCCCTGCTGATTGCCGCATATTTGCTCGTTGGTGGGTACATTAAATCTTCGATAATAGAATTTCTAAGAACTAGCTCTTATTTTTAACTCATTTGCTTTTCCAGGACCATTCGTCGGCGGCTTGTGCAACAAATTCGGATCTCGCCCGGTTGTGATGGTTGGCAGTCTCTTGTCGGGATTGGCCTTCGTTGCCGCTCCTTTCATGCCGAACGTGTGGATGTACATCTTTGCCTACGGCCTTATTGGAGGAATCGGCTTTGGAATGATTTACCTCCCGGCCATCGTTGTCGTCGGCTACTATTTCGATACCAAGCGGTACTAAGACTTAACAAAATTTGTAGAATTTATATTTTTTTTTAGCGCTATGGCTACCGGACTTGCCGTTTCCGGGTCTGGTGTTGGCTCTATTGTAATGCCACTGGTTGGGCAGTACTGTGTTGACAGTAAGTTTCAATCCATAGTTAAGGGACTTATTAATATCTCTAGCGTTCGGCTGGAAAGTCGCTGTCTGGATCCTCGCAGCCATGATCTTTTCCTGCGCCCTGATGGCCCTGTTGTACCGCGAATTGGCGCCCGAACCCGCAAAGGATGTTGAAATGGAGCCTCTCCGTAATGGGGTTGATCACCAGAATGGGGATGTTGGAAGCCCAAAGGCGACTGGAGGTTAGAAGCCTAAAAAAATTAATTAAGAAACGCGTTTTTAGATGAACGCCTCCGCAACGCTCTTGCCCACTGCGAAGGTGATGGCGACCGGGAAGCACACGCCGACGACACCGCCGAGTTCAACCGCAGCCGCACGAGCAGCCAGACTGCCGCCCAGCGAACCCGCAAAGCTACTATCACCAGGTAAACCAATCTCTTCCCCTAAATATCCTTTTCAGCACCAACTCTGGCATGAACTCCCAGAACGACCTCTCTGCTTCTCGCTCCCAGCTGAATGGTGGTGGCCTCTCGAAAATCTCCGTCCGCTCCTTCGCCCAGTCGATGAGCAAGCTCTCCCGCTCCGGACAATCGAACTTGAGCTTGGCCATGAGCGTAAGCGTTAATTTTCGCTGTGAAAACCAATTTTCAGGGTGTCGATCCCGCCGAATTTTCCAAACCACTCAATCGTCAAGACATCTTCTACGCTGGCTCTGTGACCAAGTTGAACGAGTTCAAGAAGGAGGGAGATGCCCAGTCCTACCGTGCCTCGGTCGTCAACATTCCCGCTGCCGTTGTGGGAGAGGTTCTGGCTGCCTCAAACGTTGGTGGAATCTTTAGAAAAATATGGAAATTTAGTTGAACCTGAATGAGGGACCTGGCCTTGGAAAATTCTCCGGATCGCGCGTCTCGCGTCTGACTGGTGGTTTGCTAAATGAGGATGTTGATCTAGTCGATGACACGTAATTTGAATCTTTTGATCAAAACTTGAATTTTAGGAAATGCAAATGGTTGCCGATGGGAGTGCGCACCACGCTGTCTCAGATGATTGATCTCGAGCTTATGAAGGTAGATGAGCAACCACTTGTAGACGGGGAAGTAACATTCTTAGGATCCGGTTATGTTCCTGCTATGCATTTCGAACTTCCTCGGCATGATGGGCTTCTACATCCCGTACGTCTACCTTCAGGATTTGGCTGAGTCGAAGGGGGTGCCAAAGGAGCAAGCTGTGTTGCTTGTGCCGATTCTTGGTGTCTTGAACACTATTGGTAAGTAAATATAAGGGAAAAAACTCGTATAGTACCATTGATGCACATTCCCCGTTTCAGGCAGGGTTGTATGCGGTTGGTTGGCCGATCGCAAGTTCGTCAGCTCGTTGGCGATCAACAACTTCTCGCTGGTTTCTTGCGGCTTTTTGTGCTTCCTTGCCCCGTTCTGCACCACCTATACCCTGCTGATCGTCTACTCTTCGGTTTTCGGCTTGATTATCTGTAGGAATCCACGGTACTCTGGGTATAAACATATTTTAGCCGCATACATTTGCCTGACTTCGATCGTTCTGGCTGACCTTCTTGGAATTGAGAACCTCACCAACTCGTTCGGTCTGCTGGTGGTCTACCGTGGTTTTGCTTGTCTATGCGGAACACCATTTGCCGGTAAGAAATTTTGAAGTGGCCAAATAAATTTTCAGGTCTGGCCTACGATGTCTCAAAGTCGTACGACGTCTGCTTCTACCTTGGCGGTCTTGTCATCCTGATCGCCGGTCTCGTCTCCTGTGCGGTTCCCTACTTCGACAACAAGCGCCGCTCCAAAGGTCTGAACGAAGGTGTGCTTTTCTAACCCAGTCCAGCCAACACTAACCTTTCCAGGAGATTACCTAAAAGAACCGATCGAGTTCCAAGACAACATGTCTGGAAAATTGTCGGTGCTCACCGAGCGTTCTGAAGAGGCGCTAACTGACTATCAGAGGACGATACAGTCCCTTAGACAGCAACATGCGCTATTGCAGGTTTCTAAAAGCGTAGTGGCGTGTCGTGATGGCAATAGTATCGTTGTGTTGTGAACGCGACTGCAAAATAGGCAGCACCTTTTCCGTTGATTTTATTTGAGCCAGAATCTCCCTAAATTTTTATTTTTAGGATGTGGAGAGGGAGAGAAGGAAATGCTCAAAGCCCCTGGTGAATGAAGTTCACGAAGAAACCGATGATCCGGACCAGGACCAAAAATCTAACGCCTAAGTTATGTTAATTCATCTCGATACATTCCTCCTTTACCCCCAATCCTCCCCCTGTTATGCAGCTTTCCCCAAGTTCAAATTCTCCTCCAATTTAGCATTTTCCCCATTCATTTGCAATTTCCATAATCTAGCAACAAATCTCTGGGCACAAATCGGGAAACCGTCTTACGACTCCTTTCTTTTGTTGATTTTCACTATGGGTCAGTAACACCGTAGTTAATGATCGAAAATTGCCACTAACTCCTGAGCTTATTCGCCACAATTCCACACCTAGGATGCAGATTCAATAGCAAAAGATTGAGGCTATCTTATCATCCAATTGGCGGGTTAAAGCCTCAGTTTCCACGATTTTTCCTGACACTAAAAATCGTCAACTGAAGCTATTCGTGCTCGGCAGAAGCTTTATCCCCTTCCTCCCCGCTCTCATTTCGCTCAATCATCGCTATTTTTCCCCGCACTTTGAATTCTTCCGTGAATGTTTGTGCCATTCGGTTTGCGTATTGTGAGAATCGTATTTCGACCAATCTCTTCGACATCATCGGGAGTTTTCGATGTCCTTAGATTGTGATTTAAAGCCCGCGAAATTCCGGTATTTTGGCTTTATAGCTACTCGTCTATTGCCTTTCGGTTTTTGCTAGAATTTTTTATGAAACGGATGAAACTTTTTGCCTTTTTGCCTGTGAGGAAGATTGGTTTCGGTTTTGATAAATAAAGTAGTTTTATCAAATTTACATAACAATCAATGCAGCAACGTTTGGGCGGTGATTTTCGGAGACAGATATTGAAAGGAAACCGGACATTTCCAGAGACACCAAATACCTGAAACCCAATCCTGGACCGGGTAAAAAAAAATCGGCCTTTGTCGGCTGGGCAGTAATTTAGGCGCGTGAACCAAATCTCTTCTAGCCCAGAATCTCGCAAAGGTCCATTCTTTACTTATTTGCGGGAAAGTCAGAATCCCGAGCCCTGGGGCAGCTGTTCCTAGTTTTGAAATTTACCCTCCTTGTTGCCCCAGCGGCAAACTTTGTTGACACGATGTAATTTGTGAACTTTTGCCGGACATGGCAGCTCATATTATGGCTCGTGACTGGGTGAGCTGAAGGAAAATGGGGGAGAGTCGAGCTCATGCAATGGCTCAGGGGGGTGCTACGCAATTCCGGCGCGTTGACATCCAACACCGTAGGTCTCGGGCCCGAAGGAGGTCGACACAGAGGAGTTGGAAAAGTGTTTTAGCAAGGGGAGGGTTGCTGTTGGTAATGAGGCTTCAGGCGAGAAGCATGTTGCCGAGTTTCTAGTTGTTACCACTTACGTGCGATGGACTGACCATTGGTTGTTTGGATTTTTGGGGAGACTGCAAAGTTTTATTAATCCACAGTTAGACGTATATAGTATTATATTGGTACTCTATATTTGTATTTAAAATTTTCGTTTTTTTAAAAAGATAATGTTTCTTAAAAGGAAAAGAAAATTACGTTGTAGGCGAGGCGTACGCGTTGCGTGTCGCGGACCCAAATACCTGATCAACAAATTAAAAAAGCAAAGCTCTATTTTTGAAAGTATAACCTATTAGTTGAAGAGCTAAATTTAGGGCTAGGAAAATCCATCTAGCAAGTTCCAAAACCTCACACGATCAAAAATGTCAACTCACTCAACCGCCTAGGTGCATTATAAAGCCCATAACTCACCAGCCGCCCGTCCCGAAATCCCACTTTTTGCTCGTTCCATGATTTTGCACGCGCTCAAAACGCCCGGGTGCTCCCCACATGAAATTCGAACAATTAGAGGCCACGTCTTGAGAGTGGGGAGCACAGCTCTTCGGGACTCAAGGAGCACCACGCAATACTGCCATTGTCGACGTCGAAAAGGGCTTGTACCTTGTCGGCGCTTTTTCATGTGGGTTGCAGTTTGTTTTTGGAAATGGGGGGTGAAATCTGCATTACCATCTTAAATGAAAATTCGACTCCTTGATTGGCTTTATCTTGCTTAATTTGAAACAATTACTTTCCTACTTCAAATACCCGATCTAATGCAAATTCGCGGTGCAAATTGAGAATCCCAGTGCGGTTTTTGGGAATCAGCAAGTGATCATGGCTTCAAATTTTATTAAAGCAATGCTGTAGATTCAGAAAGCCGTCCTTTACACAAAATAAGCTAGTAAATCACGTCGACTTGCTGGTCTTTCTTGTCAAGCGGGGGAAAATAACATTATTTTACTTGAGACCTGAGTATGACTTCAACCCCCGCCAAATAAAATAATTTTCTACCATTGTATGCAAGTAACCTTGATTCGTAGCACCTCTAGATTAACAAAAAATCATCGCTTATTGCCATCCGCCATCCACTCACCAGGTAGTAAAGTTTGTTCACGTTTTCACGCTTCGTCGCACGCATCGAACCTCCAGCTCTCCTCGTAGAGGTATTCGCCGAGAATCTGGGTACCCCGCCTCCGAGGTTCTTTCCTTTTCTAGCCACCCGCTTCCCTAGTGCCACTTTTCTGTTCCTAATTGTCGAAAAGAGGAGGGGGGAAAGGGCCTGTTTTGCTTAGAGTGGTGAACCCCCTAATCGTTGTCCCGTTTTGCCCATTATTTAGCACCCAATGTGCAATACTTAGCTTTCCGACTACGATGCACGTCGAAGGATGACTAGGAAACTAGGGTTTACCTGATTTTTCTGCGCTTGTGTCATCAGCTGAATCACAACAATCTATCTTGCCTTTACTTACGTTTCTCGTCCTATAAGCATGTCTGGAGCCATCATTTTAATGCTCAGTTTAAAGTTTTTTTTTGTTACGGCCAAACCACTTAACCAACTAATAACCCCCAACGACAAGTCCATTAGGACTCCGATTTGTGATCTCTTCCCCCCATGATTTATGTCTTGCCAACAGAGCATCCCGGTCCATTCCGAAAAGTCAGTCCACCAAATCCCCGATTTTTCTGTGGAGTTCAAGGATTTTCTGATGCTATTTTGTCTGGTTTCCTGAAAAAGATTCTTCCTCATAGCCACCGTCGTTCTGTGAGTCCCCGTGAGGCACAAGGCAATTTTACCCAAAGCTCCCTAGGGCCTAAACACGGAAGCACTCGAACCTGGCTCCAGACGTGTATCCTAAACACGGCTAAACGGGGAAGATGGGGGGCATTTTGCTGGCGATGTCTGACGACGATTTGCTCCTTAAAATTGAATCCATTGGTTTAGACCAAATTTTTACAGTGAATCTAGGATTCCTGTTATATCATCGGTAACCTAACCCCATCAAATCAATAGATTGGTATACATCGGTAATTTTCTCGTTCTACTTGCTTGATTTTCTCGACTTTACCCAATTTATCTTCATAAATAAATTACATAAAGCTGAGAATATTCTACCTAATTTCGAAGCAAAGTTTTTCTTGAACCTTGTGATTAGGAAATGCTACTTTTAAGCTTACCGTGTTTTTTTGTTGAGATGTACGCATCCCAAGATAGTTCCTCCTTTCACCCCGGTGTTAGAAACCACAAGCCCCTTCCGATCTTTTACCTAACCATTGAACACAAAAATACCCATTCTATACCCTCCTCTGATTCCTGAACGTCATCAGCGGAAGTAAACAACCCGAAGGGGATGGACAGCTAGTTGCCACCCAACGGGGAGTTGGGCGCAGGGCGTGGGGATGGGCGCCCCATCACCCCCCTTTATTCGTGTTAAGGTAATTGTTTTCCGGAGGAATGGAGAAGCCCTGGGGGCACACAGGAATGCTTTGCGTCTTCCTCCTCTTCCTCGGACTGCGGTCAACCCTTCCCCATCCAGGGGTTGGCTTCTGCATCGCTAAGATTAGTGTAAAGCCGGGCCGCCTCCAATTAGCTGCTTTCCAATTATGGAGGAGGAAGCGGTGTAGAGGGGGGAGTGGTGCTCGTCGACGCGAGACCACCTTCTCTATGCACCCCTTCTTTCGTGGCAGCATCATTTGTTGATTCATGGAATTCATAGGCTAGCCGAGGTTTTTATGCCCAGGCCATGAGATGAGCTTCATCGGAACCAAAATACGGGGGAAGTTGAGATTGAATGGGTACGGGATAGGTTATTCTATAAGATGTATGAAAATTTAAATGGGAGCCATTCCAAAAACCGGAGATTACTAGTATCACGTTTGTATGTCTCAAGCTGTGGTTTTACAGTCAGATCAGAGAGCTAGACCGTATCTTGAATCTTATCCGATGAAAATATACAGTGATGGATTACTCTGAGACATCGAATAAAATCAAAGGTCAATAACGCTAATCCTGTAGTTTTTTTGTTCCCGTGGGGCGAACAAAAAGGTGAACGCAAATTAGAGTGTAGCCGTTAAGTACATTTCTACTATCATTTTTCGGATTTATTTCTCTTTTGCAGCCGTGATCTATTCATTATTATTATCTGCGTATCAAATTACTGTTTGTTTTGCTGTTTGTTGGCAAACACATCGACTTCCTGAGGATTTCATTAATGTGTTGAGTCGTCCACAATAAATAGGACGCTATCACTACACAGCCGACGGTAACAAACCTGACTCTTATGGTTTTAAAGCGCACGTACAGAGTATTTGGCCTACAAACCAATAAAAACGTGCGCGGGTCTCTCTCTTTTTGACTCGTTCACTCTGTATGACTAGGTATCTACGTAGTAAGCTTTACCCTTCTGAATCTTCCCTCCTTGGTCACAGTTTTCAAGGAGCCGTCGGCAGCTCTTCGTAGAAGGGTCTGGCTGAGGAGGGGGATGGCTGTCGGGGCGCGAAACACAATTTCCCTCGTGTGTTACCCAATCGCCGAAACGCTTAGAAGGCGGTTAGGCGAGGGGAGGGGAAGCCCTTCTTCTCTCGCTCGGATAAAGCCAACTAGGCTCGACTCTGACGCCTCTCACGGTTCTATTATTGTCGGGTTTTTGGGGATAAAATTTCTGCATTATTTGAAGTTTGGGGCTACGCAGGTTCATCAGCTTTGATGGGTAAACCCGTGCAAATTGGAAGTGCAAAGTAGCGGCTT